ATCCACTTCTCGATCTATCTACTATATAAAGGGAGTGCCTAATATATAGTTATAGATATAGGCTTTAGATAACTTTACTTCTACGATTAATCTATTAATTAGGACTATATCTATATACTAGATAAAAAGGCTATATCGGAAGCGCCCGTATAATAACTAAAAATTACCGCTAACCTCTCGGAACGGTTATATTCCGAGGTAGCGTAAGTAGTGTACCTTAGTTCTACTAAAAAAAAAAATTGTTGCAGAGTTGTCGCTAAAAGCGCACCGTACCCGGGTAAACAATAACGCTACCAAATATAGGTTTAGGGTTCAACTGCTCGATGAGCCATTATTTGGACGAACGGTGCGCCATCGTTGGAGGAGATCTAATCAAACTTTTGCATGTGACGTGTTGCCTTCTGCTATCTGCGCAGTAGTAGTAGTCTTTGAGTATGATTTCTACAGACTTTTTGATTTTGAAAGTTTTGAACACGCCCCCAAGTTGACGATGGCCGCGAGCCATGCCTGGTTTTATGGTGGCGTAAGATGGCGCTCAAGCAAAATCTTCATCTTCATTGTCGTTGCATACGGACTCTTTGTCGACTCCTTACTCTATGGTATCGYCATCCCTTGCCTACCATTTATCCTCGAAGACGAACTCGGGATACCCAAGGATCGAGTACAGGGCCATACCTCAAACTTACTGACCACATACGCTGTAACATGCGTAGTGACTGCACCTTTCGTCGGATTCATCTCCGACCGAATCGGTTCACGAACGATACCTTTCCTGGCTAGCATTGCTGGGCTCCTTGCAGCCAACATCATGTTCTTTCTGGGGAGATCTATTGCCATACTCTACATCGCGAGGGTATTTCAGGGGGTAGGTGCGGCACTCGGCTATACGTCAGGTTTTGCTTTGTTGTTCGAAACTGTGGGAACAGACGACTTGGGCAAGTCAAGTGGTCTTGTAAGTTTATACACCGTCTTCCCTCTCAAAATCAGACGCTGATCATGGTTACAGGTTTTCGGCCTGATATCCGCTGGCGCGCTGCTCTCGCCCACGCTAGGCGGGTCCATCTACACAAAAGCTGGTTCGCGAAGTCTACTCATCTTTGGTTGTGCTATGCTCGTGCCTGATCTCGCCCTACGTCTTCTTGTTCTAGATACAAACCGCGCCAAGAGACACCTTGAGAGGGAGGGTKATCCGATGCACGCCAGTCAAGACACGGGCGTTCTAGAAGCCAACGAAGCAGACCTCGTGCAACGCATAGAAGATGCCGAAACAAGAACATCACAAGCAAGATCAGAGAATTTCGAGCTATCCACGACTCTTCCTAGAATCGTTCGGCGGCTTCCAATCCTAGCCTGTCTGTCATCACCCCGGTTCCTCGTGGCCTTGCTTACGAACCTCTTGCAAGCAACGATCATCAGTAGCTTCGAGGCGACCATACCTTTAACCGCCGCGGATTTGTTTGGTTTCGATGCTCTGAAGTCTGGCTATCTCTTCGTCCCACTCAGCCTCGCCGAAATACTTGCATCTGCCTTGCTTGGATGGGTRGTTGACAAAATCGGTGCCAAGACAGTTGGCGCTATCAGCTTCGCATATATCACGCCTATGTTAGTGCTTCTACGCATTTGCGGCGCCGGCGGGACTAATCAGATCGTTCTATTTTGCGCTCTCCTCGCTCTTATCGGAATCGGCATTGGAGGTGCCGGAGTACTAGCAACCGTCGAGGCTGGCATTGTATTAGAGAAGATGTCCGAAGCTAATCCACATGTCTACGGCAACGATGTGCCATATGCGCAGATGTTTTCTATGCTAGAGATGTGCTACCATACCGGCTTGACGTTGGGTCCCGAACTTGGTGGTGGTCTAAGGAGAGCGATTGGCTTCGGCAACATGGCGGCTGTTATTGGCGGTATCTGTGCAGTTGCAGCCATATTGTGCTACAGATTTTTGGGCTCAAAATTTAGTGGTAGGGCTGTGGTATCCAAATACTTACTGCGGGTTTTAAGGTCACCGACAGGATCGTCGTAGGGATGATATGCCTATAGTCTATCTCTGTATCAATCTGCATAAGATATCGTGCATCCTACGATGCACAATGTGTAAGGTGTGTATACCTAGGTAGCCAAAGGCAGCCGACATCTGACTGTGGTCCCATCATTATGAGTAGGTAGGGTAGGGTCTACTCCGCACTATTCTTTGTTACCTCCTCGTCATGCTCTTTCCGGATCGGGACTGGTCCTCCTACGGACCGGCGGTGCGCCGTGGGGTTGACGGAGCTATATCCCCTGCTATCATTTGTACATATCTCGTACAACTGTACAACATGCAAGTGGCGCTCTCCGTTCAAGTTTCCAAACATGACGTTCAACATATCCGAGTCGTCCCAGGAGCCCGGCTATGATTCACCAGCAGCTGACATGGTGGCTTCGCCAGAGCACACAATCTTTGCCGACATCACAGGTCCGATCGTCATAATTGGATTTGGATCCATCGGTCGTGGGACGCTGCCCCTAATTCAACGCCACTTTCGATTCGACAAATGGCGGTTGACCATCATTGATCCTAATCACGACGCGGAAGAWCCATCTACGAACCCAGGCAAAGACATCAGGTTCATCAAAGCGGCTGTCACGACTGACAACTACCGCGATCTGCTGGTTCCACTTTTGACAGAAGGAACAGGACAAGGATTCTGCGTCAACCTTTCAGTTGATACAGGTTCCGTGGATCTGATGCGCATGTGTCGAGAACATGGGGTGCTGTACATCGACACTGTGATAGAACCGTGGTTAGGCTTCTATTTCGACGACAGTGCGCCTATGGCTAGCCGCACAAACCACGCGCTTCGCGAGACTCTGCTCGCAGAGAAGCGCCGTAGCCCGGGTGGGACAACGGCAGTGTCTACATGCGGTGCCAACCCCGGGATGGTATCGTGGTTTGCGAAGCAGGCTCTTCTAAACGTCGCTCAGGACATTGGACTCGATTACACAGAGCCTTCCGTTGACAATCGGAAGGGATGGGCAGATCTAATGCGACGAGTCGGTGTCAAAGGAATCCACATCGCAGAGCGCGATACACAGACTGCGAAACGTATCRGGCCTCCGGGTACTTTCTGGAATACCTGGTCCGTAGAAGGCTGTTTGTCCGAGGGAATGCAGCCAGCCGAATTGGGCTGGGGAACTCACGAGAAATGGATGCCTCCTAACGGCAGACTTCATGATGGACAGCAAAACGATTGTGCAGTGTCAATGTACTTGGAGCAGCCTGGCGCTGACACGCGCGTCCGTACTTGGTGTCCGACTCTGGGTGCTCAGTATGGACTGCTTCTGACTCACAACGAATCGATCTCCATCGCAGACTTTTTCACCCAGCGTAACGACAGTACCGGCCAGGTTGAATACAGGCCCACGGTACATTATGCGTATCATCCTTGCAACGACGCGCTTTTGTCTCTGCGTGAACACTTGGGCTCCGGCGGCACAGCTCATACGCTCCTCCATGTCCTCGAGGAACATGAGCTTGGCGATGGCATCGATGAACTTGGTGTGCTTTTATACGGCCACTCCAAGAACGCATATTGGTACGGTTCTCAGCTTTCGCTGGAAGAGGCACGTCGTCTTGCGCCCGACCAGAATGCCACGGGTCTGCAGGTCACTTCTGCCGTTATCGCTGGGATGGTCTGGGCGCTCGAAAACCCTGAAGATGGCATCGTCGAGGCCGACGAGATGGATTACAAACGCTGTCTCGAGGTACAGGGCCCCTATTTGGGTCCTGTAAAAGGTTACTACACTGAGTGGACTCCCCTCACAAACCGTTCACGCCTATTTCCAGAAGATCTCGACGAGGAGGATCCCTGGCAATTCAAGAATGTGCTCGTTCGTTGAGTTAGTTGATGGACCTTTGCTGCATCGCTGACCTCTCTGCCATGAATATGTACGGCAAGAGCTCCGCTCCTTCCACATTCGGCCATAGATGCATGAAAGCAAGCCATCCCGTCCGCTCTRGCCTATTGAACCATGTAATCGTTTGATCAGTACTCAGGTGGGYGACCACTGGGGAATCCCAAATGTTGAATGTATTTTCTTTTTTGCTGTTTTGTGATCGAAAATGAAGTGAGTGAGTGAGTGAAAATTTTCTGGCTTGGCAATATTCTCTTTGCCAGACTAGCGCGTGTCAGCAGCCGATGCACAACATCGCATCACTTTAAAGAGGGTCATGATTGATCATTATGCCTGTTTCATTTTAGCACTCAAGTTTAAACGCCTACTTTGGGATACTTCATGTCGAGTGTCCATAGCTTTTGACTGGTCAGTGGTTAGGCTGGTCGTGTAACCAGCTTGAGGAGCCTGGTTTGCGGGCAAGAGCAGGATACAGCCTACAATATCAGATTATAGCAGCGTTCGTCGCCGCGGCTGGGAGAATATAGCTTTGGGCATTGAAAGTCACAGCATTTCTCAGTAGATTGGGAAGCCTAGACTAACCAGATAGCAAATGTATTCAGGTCCTTTGGCTTTTCAATACCAGCCATTCTTGTAGCTGCTGCTTACATCGCTCTCTGTCATAATCGTCTGCCGGCCATCCATTACGTTTATAGATGTAATATGTATCCTGTTCTTAGATTAGCTGCTGTTTGCCACCACAGCTAAATGACTGACCTTCGTATCCTGCCACATCTGCTTCATTCCGGCGGGTACGTCTTCAAAAGCAACATCAGTTTCATACTCTTCCTCGTTACGATGAGCGGTTATGACACCAGCTTCTGGAGAAGGGTCGGGTCGGTTCGCCAATTCTTCGACAGCATATTGTCCGTCCGCACCAGCATCTGCCATGAGCTGATCGATCTCTATATTGGAGATATTGCCTTCATCGTCGTCTACGGCATCTTCAGAGGAGGAGCCATCGCTGCTTTCATCTTCCGACATGTCGTACTCATCGTCAGAATACAGATAATCATCCTCAAAACCCCTCGTCATAATTCTCGCAAGATGATGAGCCGTTCCTCTAGAGTTATTATCCTTGAGCCCAGGAACGGGTATCCAGATTAACTTCTCATAACGCCTCCTACAGATGTCGAAAAAGTCGCCCACAGGCAAAGTTGCATAATTCATCCATCGGTCCTGGAGCTCCAAGGAATCCTCGTCGAGAATACTGTCTGGTAAGGGAGGTCCTGGGTAGATAGGATTCCATGTTGTAATAGTTCCGAGTTTTGTATCCAGAAGAAGATAGTGACCCTCCTTATTGGTCTGGGTAGTAAGCCAGATGATATGGCCCGGAGTGGGTTGTTGGTCATGAACCCATGCAGGCTCTAATTCTCCATCGCAGTAAGCAATCGAAAGCGAATCGTTGGTAATGTTGTGCGCGGTTCTGATGGGGAGATCAGGATTGCGTAGGTATGGCAGGCGACGCAGAATTTCGATTGTTTCGTCCGTCCTTCCGCGCGCTCGAAGCTCGACTTCGTTTATGGTCTGCCAGCCCTCTGGTTCAGGAGGAAATACCAAATCTGAGGGATCAATATGTGGGAGTCGTGTTAAGAAGCGATAATAGTCTGTTATCACGTCAATGATGCGGCTACGAGATGATGGTTGGCCGGCGATGGCCTGCTCCTCGGCGGGTCTGTGAGGAAGCATCTCGTAAAAATGGCTTTCAAGAGACTCATTTGTAGGAGAGCGTTCAAATTTGAAATACATACGCTTCGTCAGGGCGGGGTACCCCTAAACGCAGCTTAGGAATACTATAGCCATAGCTGCTGATCGTCCTTCCGTCTACCTAGCTCTCCCAAGGCCATTCACAACGCCAGGAAAGCCACACAGTGTCTAGCGACTCCGTACGAGCTTTGCAAAATCACTTTTTTGATTCACATAGAACGTGTTGCCCGAATTGCAAAAGCCATTAAACTCGGTGCGGCAAGCAGAAGTGTAAGCTGCCATAATTGTCATGTCAGATTCAATCCACCCTTGCATCGATTTGTATACACTTACCACCCATGTTTTGAAAGATGAGCCAGTCTCCGACTTCGACTTCGTGAGACATTAACACTGTATCGGCGACGAGATCCAGAGAGTCACATGTCGGTCCCCAGAGAGAGTATGCAAATCGACCTTTACAAGACTGAACATTGACCGCAGTTCCTTTGTGCAAGATCATGGCAGGTTTGTAGACTTCATGCTCGAGTATGGTGGCCATGAAATTCCCGTATACTCCATCATTGAGATATAGCCGAGCAGTAGGGACTCCCCCTTTACTTGCAGGAGTTTGTCGTTGTCCGATCACTTGCACGGCAAGGCTAAAGATAGATTCTGTAAACAACCGTCCGGGCTCCGCGATGATATCGACAGAAGGGTGACGATGAGCGAGATCATTGGCCGCGTTTCGAATCGCGGAAGCCGACTTTGCAAAATTTGTTCCTGTGAAACCTCCACCGACATCTAAAACTTTGACTGGGTGYCCGAGAGTGACAGCAAAGTCGAGAAGCTTTCCAGCATTTTCGATTGCTCGGGTAAAGGCAGTAGGATCTCGTGATCCCGTTCCTTGGGATGATGTTAGAAAAAACGCCATGTAATCAGCGCGGAACGTACCAATATGAAAGCAGATCCCGATGCAAGTCATGTTCATTGCTGCTGCAGCTTCGAGCAGATCTTGAGCTTCTTCAACAGTAGCCCCGAACTTGGAATCCAACTTTATAGCAGCTGTAGGGTCATCTGCAACGATCCTCAAAAGGAGGTTTGCCCCTGGAGCGTGATGCTGAATCTTACACAACTCCTCGAAATTATCAAACACCAAAGTCTCGACACCATTCTCACCCGCAAATCTGATAGCTGATGCTGACTTGATGGGGTTAGAGAAGACGATGCGTTTCGCAGGTATTCCCTTCTCCAGGACGTCCTTCATCTCGGAGATGGAGGCACAATCAAAGTTCACATCTAGCGAGGCAAGCTCACTGATCAAGCCAGCGTCTGGGTTGCATTTCATTGCTTTGGTATTTCATCAGTCTCAGAGTTTGAGGGCGTGTTTCGAGTTTGACCTACCATAGTACGGTTGAACTGCAGGTAGAAGCAGCCTCCAATCTTGCAGCACCCGTCCCAACTCGCCAAAGTCTGCCACGAAGAACGATTGCGTTTCGTGGTCTGCGTTCTCTATCTCGAAGGAACGTTTGAGAAACGTTCTCAACACCTCTGGAGCCAATTCTGAGGGTTGATCTGTTATCGTCATCTTGAGTGGGGAACGAGGCTCAGCTCTTGACACAAGATGCTGGAGTCGTCTCGTGTGGGGGAAAGGCGTTGGAAAGATCTTGAAGAAACTGTAGTGTGTTGTACAGCGTTCAGAATTGGAAAGAACGACTGTAATTGCTCTGAGGTTTGGTATATGCAACATCTTCTTGGCAAATGCGGGTGATGGGCGGCCGAACCGTCCGCGTAAGCGGAACGCACAACTAGCTGATCAAGGAGACACGGAGGGATTGACGGTGACCCATTGGCGATCGTGTCAAACCTTGCGGAGCTGAGCTTTCTCTGTGGTCGGTCTCTGCGCCTTTGTTGTCATGCTAGCAGGTCTCAGAGTATGTCGATCTGCAACACTGGCACGAAGACTTTATGCCTCATCAGTTACAGTCAATAAGAGCTGAATCCGAACAAATGGAGCAATAGAGACGACGACGCTTGTCACTCTTGATGAATAGTCTTTCACGAGTAACAGATGTGGGTTCCAAGGAGCCCATCTGAAAATAAGCAGCGGTGAGAACACAATGTTCGTAGTCGTCTGAATCCTGTTTCTCACTATACATGTTGAGTTGTTTGCATGGAAGGAGCGTCTCTATTGTTCTTCTTCGAGGCCGCTTCGACCTCACCAGCAGATATGTCGACGCCGACTACAGATACGGCTCTCGCCCCGTACGAATAGGTTCCGGGTCCGTGGGCCATCGTGATCCGGGAATCAAACAATCGATGAGGGAAGCACGAACTCGCGTTCCACRACGGCGCAAGACGCATCCGCTTGTCGGTCGTACAGTTCTGAAAAGTTGTTATACGCAGCCATTGTATCGAGCGATTGTGTAGCGAGATCCTCATTGATTGACAGAATGGATTCTGAATGATGGATACTGTCTTTAAAGCCAAATCAATGGGTGTAGATGTGCTGGAACCGATGACAGATATTTCAATGTGCATTGCCTGCTTTGGGTTAGCAGCTGCGCGACGGGTACAGGCTGCGGCGTCGATCGAACCGACGACGCTCCCGGGCCCATTCTGTTCTCATCACGTTCAGAAAGTCACGGATGAGCAGGATGAGGAGGGACCGGCTCGTACTCGATGATATTCATACCTGGGATCTGACTTGAGGGCCCGAAATGTATGTAGCGAATAGAGGAAGAAGATTGGTAGGCTGCCAGGTGGTTGGTGCGTTACACCTTCCCCGTTTCGAGCAGGTCAGCCGAGGAGGCAACTTCACCTCTTCCCTCGTAAGATCAACCCGATGTTCTAGGTCCATTCACGACCCCATCGGTCCATGGGCAGATATCTCTCGCATGTACAGATCTCTGCTTCCTCATATTGCTGCATGCATGGCATCTCGCCACCATCTCAGACATGCAGACCGCGGGTGGGTGATGTGAGTACACCATGGTGTAGAAGCAGCGGAAAGCTACGGTACGAAAGAGGATGAACAGGCGAGTAATGGTCAGAGTGCTTTTGTCCATTCACATACGAGTTGCAAGTACTGCGGCTCGGATATCCATCCCTTGCGAGACTGCCTTCCGGCCTAGTAGCCTTCTCTCGACACCGTCACAGCAATCCCTCGGCTTTTCCCCCTACACATCTCTCCCCCAGCAGCCCTCCATCGGCCCCATTCCTTCCATGTGCTTCCAGGCAGCATCTAGTTCACACTCATCCGGCCCAACAACTAGACCCCTGTGGTCCGCTGACGCGAGCTCTGCCGAAGGGCGGGAATTTCCTCCTCCGTCGCCTCAGCACCCGCAGCCTCTACAGCCTCAGCATCCATATCTCCTCCCTGACTCTCATCTTCCTTCCCATCACTCTGCCCATCTTCCGCTAGCCCTGCGTTGTAACACGGAGAACGGCGCTGTTCAGGCGGCGATTGGTGGTTAAAGGCCAAGCCGCCAGCACCACTTCCTCTAACTCGCGGGGTCGAGACGTGGGTATCATCCTCCTCCGTCGGTGGTCCATGTCCCAAACGAGATCGGTGGCTCTCAGTTGGTGAGCGGCGGCCGAAGGCCAAGCCGTCAATACCACGACCGAGACCGCGTCCTCGTCCTGTCTGGCTCGGGAAATGCGCAGACCTTGCGGTCACTGTTACGCCTCGCTCCCGACTTTCTTCTCTCGACTCTACCTCTTCATCACCCACACCATTGTCTTGCACTACCGGGCCCGAGTCAGGTGCCGGCTTTTCAGCCATGCTCGTGTCTCGCGCCTTAGTGGCGTCCTTCTCTTGCTGGTATTTCCTCACCCAATACTGCCTTGCCTCCTCCACGTTATCCTTTGCCATCTCGTACTCATTCAAGGCCGTCCTGTTACTTTCCTTCATTTCCCTCGTTCGGTCCTCCACCCTTTGCATGTACGCTTCCATCCTCTCTAACAGCGGCGCCACGATCTCTTCGATCATTGCATCGAGCTCCTCCCCGAACTCCCCCAAATCGTATTCCTCGGAATTATCCATGTGGGCGCGGGTAGCGTGAGAATGTGAATGATAAAGGGTGGATGGATGGGAAGGAGACACGTTCGTGTGACGCAGCGTAGTTCGGCCGATCCCGCACGCACGCTAGTGTCGTGCCTGCCGTTACATTTCGTTTTTCTCTTGTCGCCGCTGCCTCACACATCACACCCACGACACGATGGGGCGGAGAGAGAAATCGTCATCAGACACAGTGCCGCTGCCGCTACAGCTTCCGCTACCTACATACTCACCTAGCCTGCCGACGTCTCAGCAGCCCGTTCGCCCAGGAGATTATCCCGCCGCGAGCTACTGGCACATCTGCACAATCATATCATGTCGTTGACCGGCAAACTCGTTGTCATCACTGGCGTCATCGCAGATTGCAGGGATCTCTGCGCACACATAAATCTCCTCATCGCTTGGAAGATGGGTGGAAGGGGCTCATTCTTCATCCCTTCGCTTGGAGATCTTTCGCCATGTGCCAATCTAAATGTTCCAGAACCGTCTCCTCGGGTATGGAACCATTGCACCGTGAACACAGATACCCTTCCTCTTTCCAACTCCTTTCTACTCGTCGCTGGTTTGCGAACATATCGATAACATTCCCTCGTCGGGGAAATTTGCTGCTTGTTGGGAGAACTCGAGGGCTTCTTGCCAACGTAGCCATTCCCAACGATTGCGTCGAGCGGGTATAATCAGGAACTTGCCTTCCAGGCTTGAAGAACGCCGTGATGGATTGACTCCCCGAATCAAGTTCCACGAAATTCGACAACACCACACCCAGCGCCGCACAAGGCCAAGAGACGGCTTCAAGCGACATCTCCCGCAGTTTGCTACTCGCGACATTGTAGATCATATCCGCGGTGAGAGTGCCTGCGAGAGGAAGCCCGGCTTGTCTTCTGCGCGTAGGACCAAAGCGACCGTTGATGTGATGGTTGACGGCCAGCGTACGAGGTCTCCGACGACTCCCCGGCGTGTCCAGCGCAACGACACGATCGAAGAGTTCCGTTGCAAACATGCGAAGCCAGGGATAAGCCTGCTCTATGCCTGGAAGGAGCGGCGTGAAGGTCTTTTGGGATAACATGCTTTGGGGTTTGCTACGGGGGGATACTTTGCTGCTTTCTACGCCGCGGATGACGTTGTAGACCCATGCGCCTTCTTCAAGACCGAGAGTTGATTGGATTTCGTGCAGAGGGATGGAGAGGAGGTMGTTGATGCTGGTTGTTCCTTGGAATGCCTCTTCAACAGCTTCCCCGAGCTGTCTTCCTAACCCGCGGATTTTCTTGTACGGAATGGAGGAGAGGAAGGATGGGACAGAGGATGGGCGAATAAGAGTCTGTTGATTCGGTTTCTTACAGCCTGCTCCTAATTTCGCGAGAACTTTGTTGGAAGCGATGCCAGCGGACGCCGTGTAGCCCAGTTCGCGGTGTACAGTGAGTCTCAGCTCACGGACGACCTCAGCGCCAGTGTGCATGACAACATCATCCCAATCAAGGGCACGCCCTTCTTCCCCGACGATGACATTATCCCCTTTCCAATCGAGAGGAGCAGTGTCAGGCAAAGGTAGGTGATCTTCTGGTAAGGACTCAAGAGCCGTCAAATCAGGATACCTCTCCACAAGTACGCCATGCACGTAAGCAGAAAGATCCAAATACATCTCATCAACACTCGCCTTCTCCATCACAACCTCCGGCGACAAAGCAGAAAGACACTCCGCAATCACAGCAAGCGCCTTTCTCGATTCATCCCGATAGGGCTCCAGCGCTGCCTTCTCACTCCCCATACGATCTCGGTCTTCTCGATACAACCAGCGCTCATCGCCTTCCCTCCGAGTCGCCACGTGTTGTAGTATGATCTCGGGACAGATTCTGCGACACTCGTCGACGGACATGCCGCGTTTGAGACCACACTCTCTCGCGGGGTAGTTCAGGGCGATGATTGCGTGCCATTGTTGCACCGCGAGAGGTTTCTCGGGGGGAATGCCCAGACGGACTGTCTCGCATTGGGCGTAAAAGGCATCGAAGTCGATCAGCGCTATCACGCGTAGAGGGGAAGATGTGGAGGATTTGCTCAGGAGACGTAGGTCTTGGTGTGTGAAGCGAGAGTGTAGATGTGGTGCTTGAGCGGTCTGAGAGGCATGATATAGATGATCATCCGGGGAGCTTCCGTGAAGATGCTGGTGTTCGTCGTTGTATGTTTTGGGATGATGATGTTCATGGCTTTCCCGATCATCGAAGTGGTTGCTTAGAATCTCCTCAGTCTCTGCTTTGGTTGGGCCTGGAGAGTCCACGCTGGTACGTCGGAAGGAGTTCATTGCTAGAGAGCTAATGCACCGGTCAAAGTTTTCGAGACATCCATGGATTATGTCATGTTTATGTCATGTTCATGGAAGGCGTTCTTGATAATCCTCTGGCTCGATCGATCTGCAAGGGTACCACGTGGGAGGTCACGGAGATTCGGATTCCCCGGCTTGACGAGATGCGTCAATGGCCGACTCCGATGAAACTTCGACCATGCGTCATCGACATCGCGTCGTCCCCGAACGCGATGTGATGTGATGTGAATGAAGATGTTGGTTTTCAATTATTCTACATCCGTGACCAGACGAGAGAGTGCTCAGAATCGACTCGAGATCAATCTCAAGCCTTACCTTACAAGACACAATGCGACGATCAACTCGATTGGCTTCCGCGCCTCGTTCTTCCCTCCAAGCTCGGAAAATCAAGCATGGTCCATCCAGGGCAGCATCAGGGCAAAATTCACCACCACAAGACGATATCAAAGCAGAGACTCTACCACACGATTCCGAAAACCAGCAGAGTATCGATGCTCCTAAGAAAGAATCCCGTCTCGCGGACAAGAAGTTCCAAGCTTGGTCTGCACATGCCACGACATCCCCTTTCCCGGAATTTCCACGCCCGACACCCAAGGAATGTGAAAAAGCCAACAGCATACTTCATGAGATGCACCATCTGGACGTCGAAAAGGAATTCAGTGATCCCAATACCCCAGAGACAATCCCACACGTCCTGGATGCCATGGTGGTAGCCGTGCTCAGCGCAGCAACCAGCTGGAACAATGCCAAACGAGCAATGAATAGCATGCGAGGAGAGTATGGTTCCATCTTCGCATATCCAGACATCTTCGAAGGAGGAAAGGCCAAGTTGGAGGAGACGATACGCTGTGGAGGTCTACATATCCGGAAATCCAACATCATCATGAACATGCTAGAAGAAGTCCAAAAGCGCCATGGAAAATGGGACATGGACTATCTCTTCAACGTCAGCGATGAGGATGCCATGCAGGAGCTGATGCATTACAAAGGCATGGGACCGAAGTGTGCATCGGTCGTTATGAATTGGTGTCTCAAAAGAAATGCTTTCACGGTCGATACCCATATATACCGAATCGCTGGACTTTGGAAATGGATCCCGGATGGTGTCAGTCGTGAGTTGGCACAATCGCACTTGGATGCTCGTGTTCCTGTGAGCGTTAAACAGTCTATCCATTTTCTGCTGATTGCTCATGGGAGGACTTGTCCTGCTTGTCGTGCGCCGAGTACAAAAGGAGCGAAATGCATTGCTCGCAGCAAAATCAAGGCTGACGACGAGTGAATGACACTTGCGATTGAGGCTCATCTTTGGATTTCGTTGATCCATTTTCACTGTTACCCTCACAACTCGCAGAATCTTTCAGCCAGGAGGGTGTTGGCAGTCAACGCGCTTTCAATGCTCAAGTTGGTTATTACAGCGCGGCTTCATCAGCAGCAGAATTGGGGTCGCTCAAGGGAAGTTTCGTTTGGCATCGTTTCTGGGACCTCTTCAATATGATAGTCAATCCTGGTCACTCTCTGCCCCTGAAATTATTTCCCGGATCCTGGCAGAATCTCGGACATAGCCATGTCAAAGGGCGTAGTTATTGACTCAACCCACATTCTGACAATGAGAGACTGAAATACTTGCAAAGCTCGCGCGAAGGATCTAGCTGATTCTCCGGCGGTTACATTGCAGGTCAGCTCCGTCGCACATGCTCCTTCCTATATGGGAGCAAACACGAGTAAATATGCTCAAGTGCCAAGCGTGGTATCCGCATCTAGTGCATATGTCTGTGGGGCGAGATGACTCATGCTGCAGCATGGTGCTACTTGGTATTGATGCCGTTCCCAACACAATGATCATCTCAAGCTGCCTTAAGCTTCCGGACCGAGATGCGTTCCTCGATCACTACTTTTGGGCTATATGCCTTGCAGGCGCTCCTTTTCCTAGGGACTCAAGTCTGCGCAAAGTACAATACAACATACACCGGCTATCCTCCTGAGTATTGTACATTTTCCCAACACCCGTCCATGACCAACTACTCATCTCTCACAGGCGTCGGCAACAGCACTTCCAATCCAGTTCCCAGCAAGTTCGGAATCATCCTTTTTCCCGGATGGGAACCCCTCGACGTCTTCGGCCCTTACGATGCCCTCTACACCCTTGCCCGTAGCCAGAGAATCGACATTTCGTGGATCGCCGAATACATGGAAGATGCAATCACCACAGGACCCCGCAACGCGGCAATGAACCCCTACAATTCCACCGCTTTCATCGGTATCAAACCCACCCATAACTTCACCACCGCACCTTCAGATCTCGAAGTCTTATTAGTGCCTGGAGGTCTTGGTACTCGTGCGCCTGACCTCGACAATACGTTGAATTTCATCAAGCAAATATATCCCAAACTGCAATACTACTCACGGTTTGCACGGGCTCGTTGATTGTTGGGAAGACGGGTCTATTATCTGGAAAACGCGCTACTTCCAACAAGGCTGCCTGGAAGACGGTCATCGCTACRGATGCTACTGCGCATTGGATCCCTGAAGCGCGGTGGACGACCGATGGGAATGTTTGGACTTCGAGTGGGGTTTCTGCTGGTACGGATATGCTTCTTGCTTGGATGTCTTGTGTTTATGGCGAGGAGCCGACTTTCAGGACTGCGAGGTGAGTTGTATCTTTAGGAGAGAAATTTGTGGTGTTTTGTGGGGTGTCAATTCGGAAGACGATTTTTTTTTTCTTAATTAAGCTGCTGACTTTTTGGGGTAGGGCTATGGAGTATGTGCGTCAGCTGGATTCTTATTATGATCCATTTGCGAAGATGTATAATGTTACTGCTCCTGAAGGGGCGTTGTGAGTTGGGGAGCGTGGGAAAGGGAGAATACCGAAAAGGAGGAGGTCTCAGAACACGATGTTCCACTCAAGGGCTATATGGCCGACTTGATGCGGCTCATCATATTGAGAAGATTTTGCGAATATTCACTTGCATGGATTCACTCACTTGGATTTGTGACCAGAATTCTGGATGAAAGATTTGAGCATGTGATGCACAGGAAATCTAAGGAGGCGTCTTCCTTCACTCACTGGGTAGTGAAGCAGATCACACTCTTCGTGATTCCACGTCATGAGCGAAGAGAGAAGCGCATTTGGGAAGGGAAGCGTAAGGAATATAGCTTATGATTTCACCGTTCATCTATGCTCAGGACATGCCTCTTCGTTATCGAAAACGGGTACCAACGCCATTCCGAAGGCAGTCTTTCGGGAGTATCATATCGACTCTCAGGATCTCTGACAGCGGTGGGTGGTACTACCCCAACCCTAACCCTGAAGCCGAGATCGGCTGGAACCATTTCCATCTCGTCATCTAGGTACGATCTTTCACAACCCGAGTGAATTATCCAGCGTCATCGCTTTACCAAGATTGCGGCTACAGAAGCATTCACTTGAAAAAGTCAGCACTTGACAATAATGGCGTGCGTTCTAACCAAGCTATATCCATGGCTACGAATGCCCGTGGTAGTATCCGCGCCGATGCTCGGCGCCGCAACCCCAACACTGGCCGTGAATGTCTCCACGGCTGGAGGACTAGGATTCATCGCTGGAGGAACCAAGATTGACGCCCTCGAAGATTCCCTACAACAAGTTGCCCAGCTCTCACGTGAAACAACAACCACTCAGATACAGCAGGCTCCACAAGATGTTGTCATCCCAATTGGCGTCGGCTTCCAGCTTTGGAGTTGTAAGTTGAATTTGGCAACGACTGTGTTCAAAAAGTATGTACCTGCTGTCGCATGGTTATATGCCCCTACAAAGCAGTCGGAGCTGGCTGACTGGGCGAATGGCATCCGCGAGATCACCCAAGGCAAGACGCATATCTGGGTACAAGTCGGAAGTGTCGATGAGGCTCGATCAGCAGTTAGCCTTGCAAAACCGGACGTACTTGTCATTCAAGGCAGTGATGCAGGAGGCCATGGTCTGTCACAGTCGGCGAGCATTATATCGCTCGTACCTGAGGTGATGGACATGCTCGCCGCGATTGGTCAATCCGATCTTCCGGTCCTCGCTGCGGGAGGCATTTCAGATGGTCGTGGAGTTGCGGGAGCATTAGCATTGGGTGCGTCTGGAGTCGTTATGGGAACGAGATTTTTAGCTGCACAGGAAGCTGGGATTTCGCGGGGCTGGCAGCAGGAGGTCGTTCGCTTGAGTGATGGTGGTCAGACAACCATTCGGTCTACCCTCTGCGATAGACTCAAGGAGACAAAGGGCTGGCCTGCCTGCTACGATGGAAGGGCAGCAATCAACAAAGGTCACGAAGATGAAGTGAAAGGTATGTCCGACGATGAGAATGTTGCGCTGTACAAGAAAGAATCAGCAGAGGGTGAATCTGCTTGGGGACCTAATGGTAGGATGGTTACGTATGCCGGCACTGGGGTAGGTCTAGTAAGAGGCACTAAACCTGCGGCTGCTATTGTCGACGAGGTTCAAGAAGAGGCGAGAGCATGCTTAATACGTTCTGGAATGTCGGCTGGCCACGAGAATGGTCGATCAAAGATGTGATTGTCAATTTTATATATATACGCAACCTCGCCGAGGACAAGATAATCACGTGTCTCTCTCAACGGTGAAAGATGACCAGGTAAAATGTAGCCATCGATTGCCTTGCGAAATCTCCGACTGTCCGAGGCTTTGCTGGGTCTGTCACGGATGCGAATTTGGTTCTTTTGTTGCATGCAGCCCTCGAACAGTTTATGCGCTCGGTGACATTCTGTCTATAAGGATAACTTGGGATAGGTGCACCTCGAAGATGATGATGTTGCTGGCACTCGATCGACCTTCTAGGCTCGGCGTCATCTCCACGATGATGATGGCTATGGCCTTCCGCCACAGATCCATGAGCGCGGCGACGATCATGTTGCAATGTATTTTTCGAGGCAAACCAGTTGCCGAAAGTAGCCTGGCGGGGATCGTACTTTTAATTTACGCACATGGGTACTTTCGAGTGCGTGAAGCTGGGAGACATGCCTGTTGAGATGAATGTCTAATCTCAGGAGGAATAGAGTTTCCAGGCAGGTGAAGTTTTGAGTCCGACACGGCGGCTCTGGACTGCATTGGAAGTTAATCCGGAAATCCAGGCACGCCTCTTATCGTAAACATGATTCGTTTCGTCACGGACATACAAATCCTCAATCGCCCCCTTCCAGACGCACAGAATCCCAGCCAACCGCTCCTCCATGATAAATTCAAGATAACTCACCATCCATGATCTATCTTTCTACTCCCCCTCAAAACTCCTCRCGCGACTCCAATAAAACGCCCGATCATTCCTCAATTCAAACCTTCCCCAATCCCCCGTCAATTTATTCCAACTCCAAAATCCCTTCCACGCCAATTTATTGCCCCGCGTGACTTTGCCCGCCGAACTGACGACCAAGCGCATGACATATAAATACTTGGGCACGACGCCTTGAGTTTCTACACATACTTCTCCTTCCTCCTCTCCTTCCTCCGCACCTGTGAGTCTCCAGCGTCCACTTAGAGCATCCTTCATGACGGAGCTGGGGAGTGTTGAAGAGGAGGATGTATGATGATGGAGGTTGGATTTTGTGAGATGGTGGACGACGTCTGCTGGTTCGGAGGTTGTGAGGAGGGAGATGAGAGAGCCGTCGCGGAAGAAGCGGAGGTAGCGGAAATAAGTCACGACGTGGATGGGATTGCCCCAGGTGAGAGTGTTGGTTAGAGGACCGCCGGCTCGGGTGTAGTTGACGGTGGAAATGTAGACGCCTGCGAAGCGGAGGCGGGGACGGGAGCGGAACATTTGACGGTAGGAATTTGCGTAGGTGGATTGGAGGAGTTGGTCTGTGCGGGTTGAAAGGGCGATTGCTGTTTCTGATTGGGGTTGGGAGGGAGGGTCATCGGAGAGGAGGTGGGGATCGCTGGCGAAGGAATTTTCTAGGGGGCCGCCTTCGACGGTGCAGGCGTAGGTGTAGYGCATTCCTCCGAAACCCCATTCGGAGCCGAGGACGACTCGTTTCCAAATGCTGGATTCGGTGTGGGTGAGGTAGGCGAGGCGTTTGCAGACTTGGGGAACACGAGCGAAGGCTGCGACGTCCATGATGGCGAGGGTGGTGAGGATTTGAGTGAGGAGTTCTTCTGGAAGCTCGGCGATGGGACACTTTTCTTGGGGAGAGGCATCGGTGGGTGGATCGGCGGGTTCAATTCGTAGACCGCTGAAGGCTTCGATGAGGGAGGAGGTAGTGCCACCACCACCACCATTCAGGGAAGTGTCACCACCATGTAGGGACGCGTGGGCGGTTCCCGGCACGGTCTCGGAAGCGTTGGATGGATTGGGATTGGTGGGTTTTGATTTGACGAAAGAGGAAGGAGGGAAATGTTTCTTCTTGTAGGCTTCATGCACACCATCATCGAGCTACGAATTGATTTATATGAGCATACATACACATTCTATCAGACATCCATGTCATGAGGGGAGGGAACGCACCTTGAAAGCCTTGCGGTAATGTCTCATGCTTTCGCTGAGATTGCCTTGAGTTTCCTTTTCCACGGCACGTTCGTAGTGTTCCAAGGCAGACGAGGGTTCCTTGAAGAGGTCTCTGTTCAGGTCTTGACCTTCAACACCCAACCGTAGCTGTTCTTCCTTATCGGGGAGGTCATGATACGTCCGGGGTTCTAGTTCCTCGGAATATTCGTCTTTACGACGGGGATTGGAAGGTCCGGATGTGGGTGCAGGTCTTGTGGCATCGCTCTTCTGTCTCTCCTTCTTTGGCATATGGTGGATCTTGGATACAGGCTCGTCGGGTCTTTTATTCCTCGCCGATACTTCTTCTCGCCACTGTCGTCGGAAGGCCTCCAATTCGGCTTCTGTGCTCGGGATGGATTTGTCCATGTTGGGTGATGAATTTTCCGCGTTCATATTTGGATTTGAGAGGGTTGATATGGATACATGTAGGTGTAGTAACCTAAGGCAGTGTCACAGGACCCCTGAAGGAGTCATCCATGACTGTCGGGAGCAGGTGAGGTCCTGCCTGGACTGGACTGGACTGGATTGGGTGTCGGGGTCGGCTTTGTTTGCCCCGATGTCGGTCCATGAATCATCGCTGCCGACCCTGCTTTCTTGACTCAAGCCGGCCAAACTTTCGACGCGATGCGATGCGATACCATCGTCACCACCTCAGGCACAACCGTCACCACCATCCTCCGCCAGAAAGTGCTTTCCACTTCCCGATACCCACCCTCAGTCCACCAAGACCGATAGATTTCCACCTCCATTGAAGGCTAGCCTTTTCTCCATCCACGCGCCCCGCCCAACCGGGCAAAGATGGCGTCCACTTCCACTTCCTCTCACATTCCCGGCCAACGCCACGAACGGATAATGGATTCTCCTCGACCCAACACCACCACCCCCGACCCGGAGACGTCCATGTCGCAGAAGATGTTATCCGCCGTTACTGGCAGCGTTTTTACATCTCTTCTCGGTATAACATCCCATCCCATCTTTCAATTCCATCCTTCAATACCATCCATCAATTCCATTAATCCCATTCAATCAATCTCATTCAATCGACACCCTAATACTGACCCAGCATTGATAGTCACTCCCCTCGATGTCGTCCGCGTGCGACTGCAAGCGCAACCCCGCCGTCCGTCTCCCTCGTCCGCCCTGCCCTCGTTCATCCAACTCCCTCCCAATCTCGGCGTCACGGCGTGTTGTCGCGAGGTCTTTTGGGTGCAGAATCAATCCCAGTTCTGCGTCGCATCTCCCCCTCCGCCTTCATCCGCTTCCTCCTCCGCTTCCTCCCTCCTCGCCTCGTCCGCTGCACATTCCGCCCAATCCACCGCTTCTGACTGTGCGGCAGAGGAAAGTCAACGGAGAACCTTCAATTCCACCCTCGACGGATTGAGGAAGATTGCGCGGAATGAAGGAATCTTGACGCTATGGAGAGGTCTATCGCCCACCCTCATGATGGCCGTGCCGGGAAATGTCATCTACTTTGCGGGATACGATTGGCTGCGRACGAGTAAGTTAAGTCCCATCGAGGGACGGGTGAGCGATGTATACGCTCCCTTGGCCGCTGGTTCTCTTGCCCGCGTCTTGGCCGCCATAGTCGTCAGCCCGATCGAAATGCTCCGAACGCGAATGCAGGCCCACCAGACCAAGGAGAAGAATGTGATGAGAGCGACGATGGTGGAATTGCGGGACATGGTCGGCACACAGGGTTACACCTCCCTCTGGCGCGGTCTAACCCTCACCTTTTGGAGAGACGTGCCCTTCTCTGCCCTTTATTGGTGGGGCTACGAGTTTGGGCGAGAACGTCTCCATGAACAGCGTCGGCGAAGAGGTAGCATGGCGGGAAGGGAACTTGGCACAAAGGAACTCTTGACCGATTCCTTCATCGCCGGCGCTTCCTCGGGTCTGATTGCCGCGCTGGTCACGACACCATTTGATGTGGGCAAGACGAGGCAACAGACGGTCGTCAGCTCCAACATGTCGCTCGAGCAAAAACGCGCCCTCCCCGAGAGTCGCACGATGCCACGCTTCTTGTGGCACATCTATCGAAACGAGGGCATGAGTGGCTTGTTCAAGGGCTGGGCTGCGAGATGCTTAAAGGTCGCTCCCGCCTGTGCCATTATGATCAGCAGTTATGAAATTGGCAAGAAGATGGCCGTCAAGGTTAACGAGAAGGAAGACTGAGATGACGGGAAGAACATTATGATAAGAACATCATGATGGCGGGAAGAACATCACGACGGCGGAAAAGAAACAGTCGCTGCTTTGGGGGAGTTTGTGAGCGTTTATTGCATGGCATGCATTATTGGAGCGAGCGAGGTTTTGGGTGGCACTTTTCGCATCTCTTCTCTTCTTCCACCGCCGGCCCTTTTTGGTAACACGATACCCGATTTTATTGTACGATAACGACCCCGCCTGCTTTGATTCTCACCGCGCATGTATATATATCTATCCGGAGCTGTCGGGAGCACTGGAGGCGCAAAAAGCAATACAAATGCAAAATGTTTAATGGAGAACATGAGCTTGTTTTTTGAAATGGTTGAATTGGTCATGGTTTACAACAACTTCCATCACTGGTATTGAAATTGACGGAGAAAATGACGGATCCCTTTCAACTACCATCTCGAGCCATACTAGACTAGTCTTTTCATGCTTGATCGCTTTACAAGCACGAGTATCAACTCTACCGGCTCGCTCGAAGAATTAAGGCTTCAGTGATCGCCTGCATGTCTTATAGCATCTGGTTGATGGTTCAACATGAAGATTAATTCGGACGAGAGAGAATGTAATATTAGAAGCTCAATACGTTCTGCTTTGCGTCGCTGGCACCTTATCAGCTTGACTTCGCCAAGGCGCTRAAGTTGTAGCTTATAGCTGGGTGAGTGAATGTATAGTACAATCTGGTCAAGATGCGAACATGGATCGCGAAATCGCGCGTTGAACAGCTGTATCTTCGAGACCTTTCAGCTGAATGCTCAAGGTGGATGGCATCGAAACACTTGGGCTCGTGGGGATGGTTGAGGAAGATAGACCTCGGTGGCTGCTGTACGAGGAAAGATACTCACAATACCAAAAGTGACACCTAAAGGTACGCCCGGCTTTTCATGACAATCTCTGCTATGCCACCCTCTCCAGCTCGCCCAAGTGTAAAAACGATCACCTATCAAGATCCGCATTCGAATAACTCCCTTCCTACGGCACAGACACATTTTTTCCTACCATGTATGTCATTAGAATGGAGAGTAAAGTCATCAGCAAGCCAACTCGTAGGTCCCGCGGAGAGCCCTACTGTAGCCACAATGATTGTAAGACGGTATGAATCGAAGAGTTGAATCAGGCATGCAAAATGATAGGCTGATTACTCGAATACGTGCTCTTCAGCGACCAACAAGACTCTGAAGCACCGCTTCAAACAAAACCCCAAAGATTTACAACTCATGCAAGCCGAGCCACAAAGAGAATTTCATAGTTGCCCGTGCTGAAAGAGCGGTCGCGGAAAGGGTGTTTTTCCGGATCGGTGTAGCTAATACCAAGGACCGTGGGGCTGAATTTTCTGCGCTTGTGCAGACTCTCTCCGGTGACTGGTTTTTGGGTGGAGGAGCAGTTTCCGCCGGCTTGTCCCCGACGACACTTGGAAGGTTCGACAAGGTTTGCCGGGTGATGGATACGGGCGAGACGACTTGCGTGCTGCTGATGAATAGCATCATGCCGCTGGATGGCGTATCGCTGCTGGATGGCGTCCTTTACCGGGCGATGTGTAAGGCGAGACGGCTTGCGTGCTGCTGATGTATACCATCCTGCTGCTGGATAGCGCCTCGCTGCTGGATGTCGTCCGTTGCCCTCGGAGGGTGACTCCGGACATCTGAGAGGACAGTCGTTCTGTTGAAGGTCCAAAAGTACCGATACACGTCGGGCATTCCCCTGTGGTCAGTCGCAAATCGCTCTCCTAGAGAACGAATGCGATGCAGGTGACCCATAAGACTGCTGTGATGATCTCGGTGAAACGACCTCTTGAAGGGGGACGACCGACCCGGAGTGGAATCCTAATCGATGGCTTCTCCTGGTGAAGCGTGGGAGATTCTTGAGTGCCACTGCTTAGTTGTGACTCCTCCGGGGCGACAGAGGAAGATGATAGAACATCACCACCTGATCGTGCCTCCTCGGAAGTAGTTGAGGAACGTTGTCCACCGTCAATAGTTGATGTTGACTCCTCCGGAGTCGGTGGAAGAGAGTCTCGGTTCGATGTCGTTGTCAGATTTTGACTTTTCCTGAGCCGGCGAGGTGCTTGATTCTGACTTGCGGTTGAGACTGACCGTAGGCAAAGAAGATGGTCCGACGTCGACGCTTGATCGTGACTTGTCTTGAGTCGGCCGAGGAGATTGTTGAACGTCGCTGTCGGATTCCGGGGAAGACCCTGAGAGAGCATCGAAACGGTTGGCGGATGGAGACGCCGGGGTCTTTGTGGAGGGTCTGGAAGAAGAGGCCTTGGATGTAGGCCGCCATGGTGACCGTCGTGCTTCGTCCATGCTAACGATTCTTGCTGCGATGTGGGTGGTGATGGTGGTTCAGCGGTGACGATTGCTGTTTTGACAATGGTTGTTGACGATATGTGCTGACGAACGAGGTCAATGGCGGGTGTGTAAAGTATGATTGAATTGGTGTTGACGATGAAAGTCGATGCAGAGTACCTTATCTAAGATGTTGATGGAGAGGAACAGTGGTGGAGAACAGAAGTGTGGTTGGAGTGCAAGAGAAGGAAACACCGTCCCATTCCAAGCAGGAACGTCTCCAACCCGACGTCGATAAGGGAGGAAGGGCATTCTTGCTGAAGAAGGTGACACAGTTCGACCACGTCGTCTCAATGARGTCAATGAATTGATACTACCTCATCAACCCAATGACCGGCAAAGGTTCAGAGCATTTAATGACCTAAATGTGCCAGCATCACAGTGAAAGAAGAAAAGGGAAATGGAAGGCCTTTCTCCAACCCATCCGAGCTCAGTCGAGATGAGCCCAACGAGAGCAGTAGTAGTCTGAAGTGGATGACGGGGGAGGGAGGAGCGATGTGGTGGAGATGGAGTTGGATGTGTCCCTCGGACCTCGCACCGCTCGCACTCGCTTCCGTCGCGCTATATTTAATATCCCCGTCACGCTAGCGGCCTGTACCTTCCTCGAACATTTGGAGCTGTCATCGTTGATGCGCCTCAACCATAGAATGTCGCTAATTTGAAGAAAGTACAGCAAAATGACCTCCCTCACGCCGACCGCCTTGTCGCGTTGGAGCTGCGATGCCGTCCGCGCGCTGCCCGCCATATCAACCATCCGCGCCATTACAATCATCGATTTCGACAATACGCTCTTCGCGTCACCACTCCCCAACAAACAGCTGTGGAATACGGGAACATGCGGCCAATTACAGGCGCAAGACTTCATGACGACGGGTGGATGGTGGCATAACCCAACCATTCTCGCCGCCACGGGACAGGGAGTGGAGGTGGAGGAAGCGCGAGCATGGGCTGGCAGTTGGAATGAGAAGGTGGTGGAGCTGGTGCAGTTGGCCATGGAGGATCGAGAAAACCTGTCGGTCATGCTGACGGGACGAGGTGAAGCTGCCTTCTCCTCCCTCATCAAGCGGATGCTCAAGGCCAAGGGACTGGAGTTCGACATGGTCTGTCTCAAACCCACCGTTTCGCCCGCGGGAGAGAAGTTCGGCAGCACAATGCTCTTCAAACAGGCTCTTCTTCGGGATATCGTCTTCACCTACTCCAATGCCACGGAAATCCGCATCTATGAAGACCGCATCAAACACGTCAAGGCCTTCCGCGACTACTTTTTCGACTTGAACCGCTCTCTGCTGGCATCAACATCACCCACTCGCGCTCCCATCACCGCCGAAGTCATCCACGTCCAGGAAACAGAAACCCATCTCACCCCGGAAACGGAAGTCGTCGAGATCCAAAAGATGATCAATGTCAACAACTCCGCTCTTCTGGCAGGCACCGCTCCCCCAGGCACCCGTCCCTGGAAGATCAAGAGAAGCGTCTTCTACACTGGCTACCTCATCTCCGATCCGGACATTGAGCGCCTCCGAAGTCTCATCCGCCTTCCCGAGAACTGCCCCTATGAAAACGACCTCCGTCATCTTGCTAACAACATCCTGATCACCCCTCGTCCGGCTCCGCGCAGTATCCTCGATAAGGTCGGTGGTATTGGTGCTCGTCTGAGATGGAAAGTCACCGGCACTGCAGTCCTCGAGAATCGAATCTGGGCGGCGAGAGTCGCTCCACTGAATGGAGAGAAGATCTACACGGAAAACTCCACGCCAATGGTGGTACTTGCCACGAGACGCACGGCCAAACCTATCGAAGCCGGAAGAATTCAGAGCTGGCAGCCTGTGAGTGAGAGTTCTGCTTTGGAGTTCGAGACGGTGGTCGGGGAGAAGGTGTTGTTGAGGATTGAAGAGGAGGTGAGAGGCGAGGATGAGTACGAGGCCAGTTTCCCCAACGGCAAGAATGCGCGGAAGCATCCCAGAGAGGAGGATGGCAGGGAATTTGTGAGGCCGCCACCCAGTGGTGGTAGAGGGTTGTGGAATGGGAATGGAAACGGCAGAGGCGGTGGAGGTGCGAGAGGTGGTGGCGGAGGTGGTGGCGGAGGCCAGTATGGTGGATCTCCTAGAGGTGGATTCCAGCAGAGAGGTGGCGGCGGTGGTGGCGATCGTGGTAGAGGTGGTGGAGGTAGAGGTGGACGAGGTGGTAGAGGACGAGGTGGGAATGAGGGACGTGGTGGAGGAGGTGGTGGTGGTGGCGGTCGGGGTAGAGGTGGTGGTCGTGGTGGCTACCGTAGTCTGGACGATAACGTCGGCCAGGGATATGGTGGTGGTGGGATGCAGTACTGAGTCACGGATACGTGATCGGGAGAGATGTCACCACGCTGCGAGAGCACGTGTACGATGGCAAAGCTTTATTGCACGCAAGGTTTTATCTGCTGGAAGGCTGCTGTTCGGTCTTGCTGATGATGAAGAGAATCTGTACGGTTATGGCTGGGTATGCTCAAAGGGATGAGCGGACTGGCTTCTGAAAGGGTTTAGCGAGGTGTTCTGGGCGCGAGTTTCTAGCGAATGTATAGATCAGTGGGGTTTTCAATTCAAATGCTTGTTTTGTTAAGATGGACTTATTGCTTGGGACGGGCTCTGTGGGCGATGACATCTTCAATCATCGCCTATTTTTTTTTTTTTTCCATTCTTTGTGTAGAGCAAAGATCCAATGAGTTCCTTGCACTGATTGTGGTATGATGCGGAAGTTGCTGAGAAAATGGAAGCGGGCGGAAATTGCGATGAGTAATGGAGAGTTTGTAGGAATTTTGACAAGAGGTGAGTGGCACGGACGACCGATAGCATAAAGCTCGATGATTCAGGCATTGGCGTCGCTTTCATTGCTCAAAGCTTCACCCTCCAACAAAAAGGATGATGATGGATGCTCAAGGGTATATATATGTCTTGGCGTTCATGTGAACTTAAGTGTTCTTGGCTTGGAGTCTGGCTTTTCAGACTTTTGCCAATCGAATTTGGCTCTCGAGGACAACAGACTTTACCTTGGATTACTTTTAAGGCAACACATTTGGTACCACTGAATTGACGAAAGTATTTCTGGTACAGACCAACTGTCCATTCTCCCTCCACACACCGGACAGTCCCGGTCCAAGCCCTTCAACTTCTCCCACTACAAGAACCACACTTCCCTTCCTCCAACACTCATCTCTCCCACTTTTGAAAAAAAAAAGCCCAGCAACATACTCAACACCACCACAACAAAGATGAAACTCCTCCTCCTGCTCACCGGCCTTCTCGGCTCGACCCACGCCTCGCCCCTCGCCTCCCTCCTCGCCCGCGGGGACCCAATTGATCATACTCCCGGCCGCTTACCCGACCCCCTAACGAACAACAGACTCCCCTCACTCGGCAAGCCCGAACTCCGCAAACCCATCATAAACGTAGCCGAAGGTTTTCCATGGGTCACCTCCCCCTGTGATATGACGCACCCACACCCCCAGGTTGAAGGGCGACCCTGGCAAGAATTCGCCATTCCAGCTATAGATACCTGCATCGAATTCCCCAAATGGGGACCTTATCTCCCGAGTGGGTATACCTTTCGCGTGGAGGATTACTCCATGATTCCCACCTCGGATGATTTTCCTTGCCGGTTGATGATGTGGTTGGATCCGAATTGCACGGCGAATCCGGATGAGTTGATTGGGGAGCAGTTGGTGTTGGATTACAGGGTGAGTGTCGCTCTTTGTTTTTTTCTTTCACATGACTATTGCATTGGGATTTTGGCTGACCTTGTTTGTCTTGCTAGATCAACGGGGAAGAAACCGATGACAAGTCTCGCTGCTGGTCGCATGATACCGAGTGTACGGCAGTGAGTGCCATGATCAAGTGCGGCTGGACACCCCAATAAGCATTCGATGTGCGATCTCAGGATGAGTGGAAACTACTCGATTTGGGCGGGCTGGTGGATGATTTTGAAAAGGCGAGGTTATGAGATGTGTGCTGCCTGTGGTTTAAATTTGATAGTAAATGAGATCTTTGCGCGACAATCATACTGATATGTCTCAACTTATGTACTAAAATTTAATTCATGCAAAAGGGTCCACAACGCATACTGCTCAACGACGCTTCTTGGTCGGCCGGTATTCGTCTGCCTCTTCAGTGGCCGGACGCTTTCGGGGAGGAGGTCTGGTCATTCCTGTCGGCTTCTTTCTTGGTACCACCACGTTTGAATTCTCATTCACCTCGTATTCGTCCCCATCTGTTCCTTCGCTACCCTCCTCAGTAGCCGGGCGCTTTCGAGGAGGAGGTCTATTCATTCCTGTTGGCTTCTTTCTCGGTACCACCACGTTTGCATTCTCAATAAGCTCGTCTCCACCAAAACTTTTTCCACCAAAACTTTTTCCACCACCACCTTTTCCACCAACACTTTTTCCACCAAAAACCTTTCCACCAAAACTTTTTCCACCACCACCTTTTCCACCACCGCTTTTTCCACCACCACCGCCGCCGCCGCCGCCGCCATCAGCGTCACCCATCTCAACATCCCCATCCGCATCTTCGACTTCCTCCTCAACTTCCCCAGCAGCCCCATCAACCTGATCACATTCATCACAAGTCCCCTCAACACAAGTATAAACAGTCGCCCTCCTCCTAACCCCATCATCATACGCATCAACCTCAACCAAACCAGCCTGCAACTGCACTGTCGTTCCAGCCAATAGCTCTTCATAATAAGGCTGAGCACCAGGATGATACGCCCGTCCCGGTCCCGTGACATGTCGACGATGGCACCAAGGATTTCCATTCGAGAGATTGGGCTGGTTGGTCTTGCGTCTATGACAGTAGCAGGCCCTGAACGTACACACCATCACATCTCTAGTTCGTCCATCGGGGAAAATCACGCGGTGAACGGGCCCACCGCGTGCATATTCAGGTCTATTATCGGGGAGGAAGTATTTGTCGACAAGTGTAAGTACTTTCCGCATATTCCATCTCACAACGCCATTATTAAATTCGAGATGGCTTTTGTGGACCATTCGAAGCGGTCCGCCCAATGGAGCCAACGGAGCGGGAGGGCCAGTCGGACCAGGGGGTGGGCCAGGGGGTGGGCCAGGAGGAGGGCCAGGGGGAGGACCAGGAGGTCCAGATGGTCCAGCAACGGGTGAATCTGGATCTGCGACAATAGGGACCGAAGTCTCACCACTCTTCCAAGCATCTCTTGCAGCTTTCAATCGGTTGAACCAAGCAGCAGCCGGCTCACCCACCTGAGCTCCATCACCTTTCGAACACAAAGCACAATCGCTCGCCATGCATCCCTGACCCTCTATCTCAAAGTAAGCCCCTGTATTCTGTACATCAAGTTCCGCCTCTTCATCATCAAGCTCTATACGGTCCAATGTGGGTTCGATTCCAGTACTGGCATCCCGCGGCAAGAAACGATCGGCACCATTCACAAACGTGACATCGCGGACAGAGTGGAAGAATGGGTTATACCATGTGTTTCCATAACTTTTCGGTGTTTGTGTGCAGACTGTACAGCATTCAAAATTGCAAATCATCGTGTCCTCTTGTCGCTGGGGAAGTCCATCCTGAGCGGCAAAGATGACGGGCCAAAGCTGTCCGCCACGTCTGAAGATCTCTGTATCATCTCGGAATTTCTTATCGTGCGTGCTGCAGTAGATGCTATTCTGCACATCTGCATAAGGATTGAGGGTCAGGTCGGAGAGATGTACCATGTAGAGCTCCTGCTCAGAAATCATATCCGTATCCTCCTCTGCTGCTGCTGCAACAATAGGCACACCTTGCGCAGCAGCTTGGACGGCGGCAGCAGCTCGGGCAGCAGGACCATTAGGATTCCTCGCTATCGCCAACTCGTTGAACCATGTAATAGCCGATTCAGCAGGTGGATCGAATAGGTTTGGGGAGCAAACTCTACAATGTTCCCAGTAGCACCCTTCGATCTCAACATTGAAGTTGTTGGTAATATAACACATCATCATCTGCGCACTATCCCGAGGAAACTCATCAACGTTCCTCTCAATCCCCAAACTCTTATCCGGCGGCATGAAGGAATTCTGGCCGGGTCCATCCCTCTCATAGCAGTCTCGTCTGATATGCATAAAAGGTCTGGTGGAATGGGTGGGTGGGAATGGTAGGGGATTCGGGGTACAATAGGAACAATGCTCGAATGAACAGATCATGGTATCTTCATGGCGCTCTGGGATACCCAGCGCGGGAATTCCTGCGAATAGAACGGGCCAGACTTGGCCGCTGCGATTGTAGACTTCGGAGTAGTCGCGGAACTTCCTATCGTGTGTGCTTCGGTATATACTTGTTTGGGCATTCGCCAAGGGGTTGATGCTCAGATCCGCAAGGTGGACCATGTATAGCCTGACATCTGGGCCGCCCCGTAGGGTGGGATTCATTAACTGCGCCATGGCAATTCTTGTAACGCTATACGAGGGTGCGTTGATGGTGTGTAAGATTATTCTCGAGTTGGATTCTGTCGTGGAGCGGGCCCGAGGGGAGGAAGTATGGGAGTGTTCATTGTGTTGCTGTGAAAGAGAACCCGAATCATGTTAACAAAGAAGAGTATCTCCAAATGCGGTGGATGGTTCAAAGAGATGAGGTCGCTCGACGGCCGTCTAATGCACGCACGCCGGATTCGGTTGACCTCTCTCCATATTGCAATGTAGATTGACGTTGAGACGCCGCCCTGGAAAAAGGTCAGGAACCTGGCTTGAACTGTTGTAACTGCATTGGAGAATTCGTCGAAACGTCCGCATCGCATCAACACCCTGACAGAGAAGATTGTTCAAAGTACATATACATTATTCGAACATTATCATAGTCGTAACTTCGTTAATCTAGCATCACACGTTTTATCAATCAATTTAAACCGAAAAGTTGCTTTTTCCTCATACCATCTTGCCCGCCGTGTCCGACTCAGAGCTGTGCACAGCAGTGCTGGTCGACGGCCGAGCAACATCCAATGTAGGTCCGGTGGTTGCGTGAGCCTCCGGATCTGGGTTGGCAGTGTCATACTCCAGGATCTTGACTACCTTGAACAAGATCACTGCCAAGATGGATCCTGCGCATGGTCCTACCCAGTATACCCACTGCTCTTTGTCGAAGCTCGCTGTTGCGACGGACGGTGCGAAGGAACGAGCTGGATTGAGAGACCCACCGGTCCAGAAGACGCCTGGTTGATGTTTTCAGTGGAAGGTGCATCGTGCAGGGAGGTAGGAGACTTACCGGTGAGCTCTGCGATGAAGAGCGAAAGACCAATTCCAACCGGGGCGATGAAGTTACCGGTGTGCTTTTCGGCCGCAAGCATGAAGATTGTGAAAACCAGCTGGGCGGTCAAGATCATTTCGATGATGACACCTTGTGCATTGGTCGTGGTGGTGGAGAGTGTCGTCGCGACGTTGAGCTTTCCTGTGAAGAGCGCTTGTACGACGAACGCTGCGGCAATCGCTCCGAGCATCTGAGCGATGAATAACAGTACTCCACGTAGATAAGTGATGGCATTGATGATCACCATTCCCAAAGTGACCTTGCAGAAGAATCAGCATCCGAATTTAAACGACGACGAGACGTTTTGAACACTCACTGCTGGGTTGAACAAGCCTCCACTGATGCGAAAGAACACCCATGCGTTGACGGCGAGGGAGAATCCAAAAGCGAGCGAGATGTACAGTAATTGCGATGGGTTCTTCTGGGCCGTTTGCGTGATGACCGTCGTTCCAGTGTTCGGGTTGGATGATACCTAGAAGTGAAAGATGGAAGGGTTAGCGAAAATATTCCGATCGGGCTCATAGCCTGAGTTGCCCGAGAGGCTTCTTCAAACTGCTCTGTATGCCGTCTGCCGTTGGAATATGCTTACATTTGCTGTTTGTGCTCCCGTAAAAGCGAAGAACAAGAAGCAGAAGGTTCCGACGAACTCTCCAATTACCGCAACGATATGTCCCTTAACTACGGGACTCAGGGGAATCTTCCTGACCAGATTGCGACCAAAAGCATGGCGGTGACGGTGCGGCGGCTGCTCCACATCGACATTCATCTTGAAAAGGGCTCGGTATGGTTGTGGTRGAGAAGTGAAGTCGGAATCGTTCGTGAAGAAGGGCAAGGATGGCTTGGGGAACACTAGATCTCCAGAGCCCCTGTGATATGTACGTGTATGCCTGTGATGATCTCCATGACGTCCATCAGCCACAAGTAGTATGTATCTTTCTGGGAAATGCGCACAGTTTATGCAACCTCGTAGATAAACTTTCTTAGCTTTGAGATGCGCGGAGCTTAAAGGACAATTGACAGGTTGTGGGTTGTCGCTGCAAGTTCAGCGACGCGCTGGCTGAATTCCACACATGGAAAGCAAGATTCTCGTTTGCTTGCATCGAATGGAATTTCTCGACAAAGCCCGGATCCAGCTGTCATGAAGCCTTTGTTCAAGTCTTCGCTGCCTTCTCTGATCACACTGATCAACGCTCGGTGACGGATGGTATAGCAGCATCGACCAATCAGGAATCGACTTCCCGCGTGTACRGTGTCGTGGGCTCCCACATGACTCGCTCTTGGGTTTTCGGGATACCAGTGACCACCACGACGCAGTCATGTCCAAATAGCGCGGCTCATCGGGCGTCCGATCTGTAGTTTGACGTTTCATGCAGGTGCCGTCACGGCCATGAGAAGCTCCCAAGAAGCTAATCTGTCGACCTCGTCGGGCCAGAGGTCAGCGTATGGCTTGAACGACCTACCACGTGCATACCAATGGGCTAGAACCGTCTTTGTAGTGTGGCGGCTGGGCGCGTCCGAGTGTTAGCAGCCGTTGGCTTCCCGCTTTCTTCGAAGCAAGACTGACCAATTGGAGCATTTGGCCTCCAAGGAGCGGAACGGCCGTGATGGCTCGGTCGCGGGTAGACACCGTAGAACTGTTAGCAAATGAGCAAATGAGGCTTGTGAGCATCGAGTGAGTGCAGAAAGCAGCAAGCTTCGCTGTACCCTGCAGTCTTTGAGAAACTAGGACTGAAGCCAAAAAGTCGCACAGAGACTGGAGTTGATGTGCCACCTCATGTCCCCAAGACTCGCCACACTTTACTTGTCAATGAAAAACATCCAGCAACACGAACAGATTCTGTCAAAATTCCTCATGACGCCATTTGCGTGCGAAAAAGCAGCAAATGTTGGCGCGCAGGATGCTTGGCTGATACAAACCGGTCTCGAGCAGCCACATTACGTCCACAAAACAACCAGATGCCGTGCAGATGCCGGCAATGATTACTATAAGCGATGACATATGCCGTGTCTCCACAGTCCTTTCGAGTACATCCACAGTACAGCATCCTAACTTGCCGGAAGGTCTCTCCTTCGAATTGATGCGGTAAGTGCGGCTCGCAGCTGTTCGCAATTTGTGTTGGTTGGAATGATGACTCCTGAGCCCTGACGGAGCGTTGACACGAGTCGTATCAAAGGGGAACACCTTCCGGCGTGGCAGGATGCTGCATTTGGTACTCCAAGCATCACCTCGAGATGGCTCCAGCACAAATGTACCGAGAAAATACCTCAATCCGGGAGGATCCTCCAAGGAATGCAACTGCGCCGCAACAATCATCCAATGTCACGCTTTAGCACGGAATGTAGCGTCATGCGAAATCCTGAAGGATCCACGATAGCAACACTGTGTTGTTTGCAACCCCGCYCTCTCTCCACAGATGACCACTTTTCACAGGGCGCAGCTCCGCGACCTCAGCCTTGCGTTCACAGCTGCAGAAATTCCGCCGACGTATACCACACAGTCGGAGGCCGAATTGTTGATAAGCTGAAATTTCCTTTGCTCTGCTTTAGCTGTGCCATAATACCACATAACAGAGACAAACCACCAACTCTCGCTTTAACGAAAGAGAAAAGTCATGCTCGCGCCATCGCCATCGAGCAAATCCTCATTCTGGTCCAAGACCACTTCAAAGGTGAAGAAAGCCGCTTCGACCATAGTCTCAGGTGACCCGATCGCTCGCCTGACCAGCACAGTCGACGCACAAACTCTCCGACCCTCATCACTGGACCATGAATCACACCTCGCATCCCTCATTCTCCGCGGCTTCTTCCTCGACGGTTATGTAATCCCTTACAGAACTCTCGGACAAGTTCCGCGAGAGGTCTTGCGGGATTGCAAAGGACTGGCAGTCTTGCATGTCCTGAGACCAGAATTCGGCTGTCAGGATGTAGCGGGGRGTGGGGTTGTAGTTGCGAAGAAGGCGGATGGAGAGTGGTCTTCTCCTTCTGCTATTTCTGTTCGCAGAGATGAGGCCAAAGGATTGGTGTTTCCCGATCGAGTGGACTGTTTGGACGTGGTTTGTGTCATCAATGATTTCGCTGGGATGAAAGGGTTCTCGGATCCGAGWTGCAGGGTTGGGCAAGAGTTCAGTGTCTCAGCTGGTCCAATCTCAAATCTTGGAGCAAGTACGGGTGGGTTCAAAATGCCCGAGGTCGAGGGGAGGCCGGCTGTATGGGTCTATGCGAAGGGAAAGGGACATGCTGTGGACTTGAAATCGAATGAGGTGATGATTGAAGAGAGGGTGGAAGAGAATGAGACGTTCTATGGTGAAGAAGGTATTTTGGCAAAGCAAATCTTGGCTGGGAAAGTGCAATCGCCCGCTGGGGAGTCCAATGAGCTGTTGAAGACGCTGAAGGTGATCAAATCGCAGGAATCGGACCATGGCGATCTGCCATACGGGAAGAGTCCCGGCGACTGTTCAATCAAGAGCCCTTGATGGCGGTGCTTCAAGTGGGATTGCTGAACGTTTGTCGAGCTGCTTGTGTCGCAATCAATCACTTCCCTTTCGAGCGCATGGCTGCATTACTGTGTCTTTGCCGTCGTATGAACGTTATCATACATCTTCCCAATCCTATCTTACACCCGATTCTGCTTGTCGATTTGCGTCGGAGTCCACATTGCAGTGCTCCTGCCGGGAGCGACGTCTTATTGAACGATTCCCTCGCTCCGAAGCTCCGAGACGTGGTGTCTTCGATGTACATGAAGGCGATGGAGCAACCTGTCGAGCACGTTGGACGTCAGGATCCCTTCCTTGTCGACCGGACAGAGCGGCCATACCAGACTTTGGTCGCAGCCCGTCTTTGGTGTTTCGTCGTCGATTCGTGACGATATGGCGAATACTCGCTGCTTGCCACCGCCCATCCGCTTCCCCTCTAATTTATCTTCCATCCCTCAATTGAACCTGACCATGTTCTTCAGCCACTTCATCTTGCTGCTCCACCACGTCTCATTCGGCGCCTCAGCCAGCTTCCTCTTCAAATCCGTGTAGAAGTCCGGATTACTCGCCGGTCGTAGCAGCTTCTCCTGTAGTGGATATTGTTTGGAAATGGAGTTTTCCAGCAGGAGATATGCCGCATTGATCTCCGCCTCCTCGTTGCGAGCAGGAGAGGGCGCGTTTTGAAGACGTGGAATGAGAACTTGAGCGGCAAATGTGCGCTCAGGGCGGAGGACGTCGGCGGGCCAGAGTCGCAGAAGACGGGAGTAGTGTTGAGCTGTCTTGATGCGCGACATTTTGGGCAAAGGTGTAGTAGTTTGGTTGTGAATGAATGCGAGCTGGCGTGCCGCGTTATTATCATCGTTTTGGAGGAAGTCGATGATCATTGCATCAGATAATGTTCGGCCTGACGATCTTCAGGCACCAATCATCCCCAGAACATCACCTTCCCGTTTCCACCATCCTTCCTCCTCAACCTCTCCTCATCAACTCGATGCGTGTATGTACCTACCACACATATGCCAGCATTGCTATGCCTTACCATTCCACGCATAACGCCGCTTCGATCTCTGAAGAAACCAATGAATGGCAATGAGCCATGACATACCGACTTGATCTGGCACGAACCTCCTTCAGACATCGTTACAGCATAGACGATATACCCCGAATTTCAACCTCTCTAGCTTGCTAACTTAAATCTTGCTGCCGAGTGTTGGTAGAATCTGCTCTTAGGCATAATGCCCTAGGATGCTAAGCTTAACTTCGGTGGCTACTTTCAAATACCAGATCCTCCAGCAAGATCAAATGAAGCAATCAAGATTCAAAACAAGACGAATAACAGAAGTACAATGTCCCTTCACATCGGAGGCTGAGGTATTCCTGATAGTCAAAGTTCCGCGTTCATCATACTTTTGCGAAAAGTGATTCGCCGCCAAAGCTCGAATGCCAAAATACTCGAAAGAWCTGGATAGGTCTAGACGATCTCGGATGCAAAAAGACGCTGTACAGGCGCTTGCGTGAATGCCCGAACCTAAGCGCACCCKCGCTTCTGGTAACACGGACGTTACACAGATGTCAGCGTACCGGCCAAAGAGAGCGCGTCGGGATATTCTTGTCTCAACCGCATGCAAGCCACTGCTTAGGACCGAAAATTGGCACATACATCGACCTAATATTTCGATTCTTCGGTAGCACGGCTCCCCACGTGGTCATGGGCCTCCGCCTACTATACCTTACTTCATGCCGGTAGAGCTTTGGCACCTCGTCTTTACTCTCATGACACTCACCGTTCAACGCCGCACAACCATTGCACAGCATGCTGTACCTATTTTTGACATTGGTATTTCTCGCACGTTCTGGCAGTGCAGTGCGAGAACTCTGCGGCCAGAATGATGTCTATGCCCAAAAGCCTTACCTCTGTAAGGCGTCCCTCAAAATTCATGGTTGCGAAGTAGCAGACTGACATTGAGTGAAGGGAACAACAATGTCTGGAATGCGGTAGGTGCATCTCCATGAAAAGTAGATATTACTTCACTGACGACCCAACAGGACGAGTCTGGCTCTTCTTGTACATACGTATGCCGCAAGTCCGGTCGTCGTCGGTGTGAAGCCATGACTGATCCCAGCCTTCCAGACACCCGATGATCCAGAGTCGGAGGCAAATATGTTCCAGGTCTTATGGCAATGGCCAGGTGCACCAGTCGTTCGCGGATATCCACACGTTGAATTCAAGGCCAACATGTTGCCACTCAAGCTCAGCAAGCTAGATTCGCTGGTAGTCGATGCATCGTGGGAGATGGCGCCGTCGTCCTTGAAAGTAGGCGCTTCGCACGATCCTACCACAGAACCCAATGCCAGTGCTTTGAAGAAGGAAAATGTGGAGGCAAACGTTTGCATCGATATCTTCGCGGACCCCGACAAGAAGACCTCGACGGAGTCTCCAAAGCAGATGTACGAGATCATGATATGGTTTGGGCATTTCGGAAGCGGCGCTCTACCAGTTGGCAATACCGACCTCCTCGATCCGCCTGTTGTTACATTGATACAAGACACCGAGTTGTAAGTAGCCATTCCATAATTCGCTCTCCACGATTGCTGACTTCTTCCAGCACGCTGTACACAGGCAAGAACTTCAACGGCCAGATTGTCCATTCTTGGGTGGCCAACAGAACTTTGACATCGTTCAACATGGACTTTGCGCCTCTCCTGAGCTTTCTCTCGGCCCAAGACATGGTGCCGGATGATGTATTTCTCGGTACAGTACAATTCGGCACGGAAACATTCTCAGCCTCCAGCCAAGTGAACTTCACTGTGACGAGGTACCAGGCCAGCATGAAAGCGACTGGCGGGAAATCCGAAGGTACTGCAACTGTAGGAGACGCAGCCGCGCCGACTCCCTCGAGCTATGGTATTCGGAGGATATCGGCCTCTTCAGCTGGAGTGGCAGTCTTTCTCTCCATTGCGATACTTGGATGTAAGGTATTCGCATAGCTCGTATCATCTCCGTTCCCTTTACATGAGTAGTGTCGATATGTATACATTCTCCGCAGACTGTGGTCAAGTCCTCGGGGTCAAGTATCTAGCCTACCTTACCTCTTCCAAGAAAGCGGAAAGCGGAAAGCGGAGCCAGACGAACCGTGGACCTCTAGAAAGGGACGTTATACCCAAGCATCATTCTCTTGGCTGCTGCCCAAACACGCTTTTATTGGTAGGGAAGAGCGCTACTGTAAGTCATACGTACTCTGTTGAGGCATACTGCGCATGTTGTGTATCATTGCTTGAAGCTCAATCCGGCGATGGCTTGGTATATATCATCCTTGAAGTATTCTTCGTTTGTGGGTCGTGTCCCTTCCTGAGGAACGTCCTGCCGCACGCTGCTGGAAACATGAAAGCTTCTACCCCAACCCTAACCCTAACAATATATATATATATCATCACCATTGCCAGTGAAAGAGTTGGCTTTCATATGATTTGAGTCGAGCCTGAATACAGTTGTGGCATCGGGATTGTCGGTATTCTGATTTCTTAAGCAACGGCAAGGCATTGGTTGTCGCCGCAATTTTTTGAAGGCTCGTCAAACCCAATGTATTTTCTCTGAACTAGTCTCTGCATCGCCCGCTTCGTGCCGACAATCATCTATCAAGCACGCATGCCGATAGGCCTCGATCACCACGCGTAGACCAACGATTCAATGGACATGACAATCGCTCAAGAAAATGGCATCCTGCTCATAAGAAATCTCAACATACAACGTTGTGTGGCTCTCACACCTAACAAAGTGCCAAGGAATTACAGCATAGCAGCGATGCTGGACAGCACATCGAATCTCAATTTGTCGCAATCATAGTCACCCCAATTCCTTACGGCGACGAACACGGACAACAGCTCATATATGGAAATACTTCCACACCCACGCGGTATTCGTGTACCTCGCGAATATGCAGAATCGTGACGTCCATAGCGTCGATCCAAGCATGGACTTAAACTAGATTAGCTGTGCGACTCCGCAACTTGATAGCCAAAGAGACGAAATGCTCCATGTTTCATAAGCCTGCCGCGGAGGTGCCCATTCCGCGGCCGGGCATCGCGCCTACAAGAACAGCAGCCGTTCTGTAAGCACCAGCTACGCAGCCCTGCGAAGTCAAGGCTTGGAGCCTGGAGTACGACTCCGGATTGGATCAAGCTCAGGAGCCGACGATTTCGCGGCCCTTTGACAAGGGAACGAATGTTGCCCTGTGCAGCGGGGTGTTTGAGCACACCGCGCTTACCGGGGTCAGAACCTTAGTGGATTTGACTGAACCCGGAAAATAATATTGTCGAGGGTTCATACCGGCCTTCCGAGGATGTTAGATTGGACCAAGCGCATGTGTCGACGAGCATGGCCGGAGTGCATGCAACATTTTCATACGTATTCCACAGTCCACTCCGCTCTGCATCGCGCGGAAACGACTTCTCCAAGAGGGAAAGCATCACTGGTATTTACCAGCTCGTAGATATGTAGGTCGGACTTTGGATTACCGCATTAGGAAGTGTGGTCCAATCCCTATTCCAGCCGCGTGTTCCCACAGCATAGTTGCGTCCTCTCCTAGATCCGGCAAGTTCGTATAGCCTATCGCAGTGCTCTGGTATCAGCAGTAAATACACCACCGATCTAGGCTTTAGAGGCAGTTGCGGTTCTATCGCGGGAAGACAGTACATCGTTGTGTCAATTAGGTTGGCCTGGAAAGGCCCTCCGATTTTGTGCAAGGCCCTTCAAGCACTGTCGGAGACACGACCAGAATAATCATGAATGTACTTGTTTCCTCGGCGCTGAATTAGTCGAATGGATCCCGGCTCCTTTTGTCTTTGATAAGTATCGTGTACTTGAATGCTTGTCTTCCAAGCGATGCGTCGAGGGGTCGACAACGAGGGTGGCCTCGGTGCAACCAGTCATCTTCTGAACCTTTATCGGACAGATGTCTCATGGGGAGCTGAAGGAGCGTATCTCAGCAGATCGAGCCAGGCAAGGCAACGCACGCAATGCAGCTGGCCGAGCTGGCGGCTGAAGGCACGAGGCAGTGCTCAGATCCGATCCTGCGATGCTGCGCCCTGTGCGGCTCAATGAAGCCTGCGCGTTGGTAGGCAGAGCAGCCCGACTGTCAGTCGATGAGACTTTCCTGCCATGAGATGGATCGCTGGACCTTTGCCATTCGTGTACATGCTTGCCCAAGTCGTCGATGGGTATAGACGGCGATTCGGCCGATGCCCGTTTGGTGGCTGGAGCTCCGCGAATGATGAGGTTTCATCGACGATAAGATAAAGATGTGGCGTGCTTGGCACTGTGCCTCGTGAAAGTGAGCTTCGACCAACAACAAGTCACGCAAGCTTGTAAGGTAAGTTATTCCCCACGCAAGGATTCTTGCGATTGTGCATGTGCAGGCTTTGCTTGATCGTGCGTGCAGTGCTGCTTGAGTCGCGATCTTTGTGACAGGTGGGTAATGCAGGTGGTGGTGGCAGTGTTGGAGCCAATCATGAATCTGGATGGTCAACCTCCGGCCCTTCTTCTTTATTATGTACATATTCTATCGTGTGAGAAGAAACCCTTTCGCCGCTCATCCGCAATCGCCCAATGGCACAGGCCAGGCCAAGCGAGAGTCCGCTCGGCGCTCGCACGCGGCACAGCGGCCTCCCCGCCAGCGATGCGCCAATCCCATGCCCCCATCGTCTCTCTCGACCCACAATAATCCGACCCGATGGATTCGGAGAGAGATGATGACCGCACAAAACCGCGTTAGGGCTCAATTAATGTCGCGTGGACCCCATGGGTTCCTTCAAGAATCTGTACTACCTAAGGTAATCGCCCTGCCCCAACCTTCTTTCCTCCAACCCTCTCGGCCTTGCTCTGTCTGCACCCATTGTCGCCATGGGTCTCTTCAGCAGCGACAAAGACGCACCGCGCGGGAGCGATTCGTCGCAAGGCCCGCCCGCATACAACATCGACAATGACGATGGACTCACCTCCGATAACGCAGACCAGCTCCAGCGCCATTTGGGAAACCGACAGATTCAACTCATTGCTATTGGAGGCTCCATTGGTACTGCGCTCTTCGTGTCCATCGGATCGGGACTATACCGTGGAGGGCCGGGCAACCTCCTGCTCGCATACGCCGTTCAATCCATCGTCCTCGCCATGGTCAACAACTGCACGGCCGAGATGACAACCGCATATCCCGTCTCTGGTGGCTTCATTCGACATGCTGGACACTGGGTCGATGACGCGCTTGGATTCATGGTCGGCGTAGGTCAACACGGAGCAATAGGTTCGCTGTCCATGACATGACACGGAAATGTCCCTCATGCTAAGCGAGCTTTGCCCTCGAAAAGATTTAGACTTTGGGACACCGCTAACATCAATTTCTCGCTCATGCAGTGGAACTTCTTCTTCTACGAGGCACTGCTCATTCCCTTTGAGATATCGGCTTTTGCATTGGTCATATCATTCTGGAGCGAGTCTGTTACCGAACCTGGCCCTACAGCTGGTATCATCATCGGTGTCATTGCATGCTATGCGTGAGTGCTCAAGTCTTGTTTCGACAATGAAAATATGCTAACGTCCGCGAAGATTTATCAATCTTCTTGCTGWTGGGGTCTTTGGCGAGGTGAATATGCACCATCCACAACTCAGAGCGAATGACTGCTGATTTGTTGCAGGCTGAATTCTGGCTCTCCGGAGGCAAGGTCATCCTCATCTTCTCCCTCTTCTTCTTCACCTTCGTGACCATGGTCGGCGGCAATCCACAGGGCGACGCGTATGGTTTCCGAAATTGGACGATGGGCCAGGCTTTCTTGGAGTATTCCAATGGAGCTCACATGCCGAAAGGCGACCTTGGCCGATTCGAGGGATTCTTGGGCGCTCTCACATCCGCAGTCTTCACGGTTGTCGGACCCGAGTACATCTCCATTGTCGCCGCAGAAGCTATGCGTCCTCGACACTACATCAAGAATGCATTCRAGACGGTCTACTTCCGTTTCGGCATCTTCTTCATCGGCGGTGCCCTGGCCGTTGGCATTGCCTGCCCTGCCCGCACCCAGGCGCTCGAAGATGTGGTCCTAGGCGGAAGCAACGGTTCTGCCGCGGCCTCGCCATATGTCATTGCYATGAAGCTCATGTCAATCTCCATCTTCCCAGACATTGTTAACGCGTAAGTTCATCGAAAGAGCGTTACAACACCAACAACTGACAGCATCGTCGCAGACTCATCCTCACATCCATCTTTTCTGCCGGAAACACTTACACATACTGCGCCATTCGTAACTTGTACAGTCTGTCGCTCGAGGGCAGAGCACCTCGATTTCTTCAGCGCTGCACGAAGAAGGGTGTTCCCATCTATTGCTTCGCAGTAGTAATGGTCTTTCCACTATTATCGTTCACAGCTGTCTCAAGTGGCTCCGCTGTGGCCATTACTTGGTTTGCCAGCCTGGTTACTGGAGGAGGTACGCACATGCTTTACTACGCATACAAGCACGTTTCACTGACGACTTCTTATCAGGTTTGATCAATTACATTGTGATGTGCATAACATACATCCGCTTCTACCAGGCCTGCAAAGTTCAAGGTCTCGACCGAAAATCGCTCCCCTACACCGGTTGGTTGCAGCCATGGTGCGCCTACTTTGGACTCGCCTGGATGTTCACTGTGGCCTGCATCTACGGCTACACAACCTACCTTCCATGGGATACGTCCACATTCTTTTCGAACTACACCATGCAGCTCTTCATCCCATGGCTCTTTGTCATCTGGAAACTCGTCCACAAGACTACATGGATCAAGTCCAAGGACGCAGATCTGGTGTGGGAAAAGCCAACCATTGATGCGTATGAAATGACGTTTTTGGAGTCGCCCATTGGATTTTGGAGAGAGATGGGTCACTTGGTGGGAATTGGTCTCAAGAAAGACAAAAACGCGAATCGTAGGGCTAGTATCAACCCGCAAGACGTCGCGGACTCGAGGAAGGAGATGCAGGACGCTATGCACAGCAAGTGATGGTGAAGAGAGATGAGCTCCTCCTGTTGAAGGATTAACGAATTGATTGAACCAATGAATACTTTCAACCTCCAGTGAGTTAGTTGAACTCTTCCGCATTGCCGTTTTCTGTCCCTTCCTTCTGTAGCCTCTCGGAGATTAGTGCAGTTGCACGAATATCATGTCTCTTATCCGCCATGGACGGAGGCGGCAATTGGAGGTTGTCATCCTGACACTCTCCGCTGGAATGCTTGGTCCTATGCTTTCGCCATCTGCCAGCGACGTACTCGCCGATTCACTATAGGGWGAGCAAGGAAGCTTCGATTTCGCGGTTTCCTGGATCAGAACGTACCTTCTCGAGCAGTCTGACCTGTCGCCATTTCTCCATGAGTCGCTTCGTCATTTCCTGGATAAAGCACTCCATCCTCACGACAGAACACGCATCACATTTCATCCTCACGACACTTTATCATCACCTCGCATTCTCGAGAGCATTCCGTCATACATCTTCACAAAGGCATCTTACCTGCTGCCTCCGCGACCATGCCAGGCTTAGAGATCAAACCGCCAATTCGCGTTCGATCAGAGAGCTATAATTGTTGGCTCAGCTCCATCAAGAATTGCTATGGCGCGCCTGATGGGTCTGGTACACGATACGAATATGCCTTGACCTTCCCCRCTGAAGAGAGAATCTACGCCACTGTGCACGACGTCCCGGATTGCATTGCCCTCCAAGAAACTATCGCCGAGTACGCACGTATGATGGAATACGGGAATGGATACCGGATATCTGACGTGGAGAACGAATTGACTCGTGGCGTGGCTTTCCTCGGTGATCGAATCACCCACCGGGTTGAAGCGGACGGAAGATGGGGCCGTAAGATCACGGTGCGTTTTGGTGAACGGTTGTTTGAGGGAATGGCATGGCTTCCGTCGTCGTACCATCAGCTTCACGTGGACTCAGAGATGAGGAAAAGAAGGGAAAGACCGGTATACCTTGGCGATCCAGATCTGAAACGATGTTTGGGAGTCACCGTGCAGGCGCTGGTAGGCTGTGCGGAATATCTTGATGGAGATGAGTTCCGGGATGAAGAAGACATGAATATGGATCTGCATGTGGATGCTCTCATACTGAAACTGAGAGATGGAACTGGGCGGGACGGCAGCCGCATGCAAATCACATTTCGCCTCGATATCGACGGGCAGCGGGAGGTCGTAATGGATGGTGAGATCGATCGGAAAACCAGAAAAGGGCGGTTTGTGAAGAGGCTTGAGCCGTTTCAGAGCGACAAGGACTATTCGCAGGAGGAGACTTGATGAGGGAGACGAGGAAGTTGRGATACATGACATGGATTATTTCTAGGTCACTCAGGACGATCGGAGGACTCATTCGCTATCAACGCACGTACGTCAGGATGATTGAGAGGACAGTATGGAGTTGAAAACACCATGAGCAAGGAGACGCTGCATTAAATACAGCCATCAATATACATACGTTACGCTTCCCACTCCTCCACAACCGGATACAGGATACGTCCGGACTCACCATGGTAGCTGCAGCGGAGTCGGCAGCTCACTTTTCTTCTTACCAAGAGCAGGTTCCGCAGTGCCAATGTCTCTGCGCGAAATGTCAGCTAGCTCTCTCTCACATCGATAACAGGTAGTCATCTCACCCAGCGCCTCTCGGAGCCCAATACTCTCCGGTACTACTGATGTCGAACCCCTCGATCCATTCAACCAACGAACCAGCACTGACATCTGGTGTAACGGCACCACCAACATCCCAAAACTTGTCGAATCCAACACCCTTCGTCTGAGTGTGGAGCGTTGTTAACTGACGCAACTAATCATATCAAATCACACGACACGTCAAACTCACCATTTCAGTCCTCATGAAAGCAGGATGCACCAAACCCACCGCCACACCCTTCTCTTTCAAATCGAAACTCAACAATTTCCCCACCATGTTCAACGCAGCTTTACTCGCGTGATGTCCATACATCCCGCCACCTTCACTCTCGTGTCTCAAAGTGATGCTTCCAGCCTCCGAAGACACCAAAATGACCTTTGATCCTTTACCCAGCAATCCAGCCTTCTCCAACGCATGAACGATGAAAACAGGCCCAATAGCTGAGGTCTTGTACATCGTGACCTGCAATACTCATCAATTCGTGTTCCATCATTAGGTAGCTCGTAACACTAACCTCAGCTTCGAAGTCCGGCTCATCAAAGCTCTCCTTGCCAAAATATCCGGCAGAGATGATGACAATGTCTTGCTTCTGGCCTTTCAGACCTTCTGCAATCTTGCGGCCAGCAGTCTCTTCAGCAACATCGACACCGCTGATCCAGTGGATGCTGTCTGGTGCATCCTTTGCAGGGTTCGAGCGGGCTGTGCCTGAGACGGTGTAGTTTTTGGCCGCATACTGCTTGACGAGCTCGAGGCCCAGACCGCGTGTAGCCCCGACGATGAGAACGGAAGGCATTGTGAATGTGAATTGAGAACTCGTTGTTGTTGGTGGAATCTGATATCGAGCATCAGATGGAACAAGGGAAGTAGCTTGAGTGACGTCAACGCGAACGCGATGGCGAGATTGGTTGGACTGGAAGTTGTGTAACATTCATTTTCATGCAATGACTGCCCGAATGTATCATCAATCATACACTACAAGAAAGGTATACAAAGCTTTTGAAGATGCAAGAATGTAAAAGTGCGTCGCTGCAACAAGTCTTTTTAGGTAGTGAGGAGCACCTACGAAGCACCAGGGAGCGGCAACTGTCCACGCTCTCTGCCACGATTGGGATCCGGCATCCTATCACAACGTCAGCTACACATTTCTAGCATGCAGAAGGGAATACAAAACATACCTGAATTTCTTCACGTCGCCTGCATCAGGTACCCGGTCCATACTGTTCGGCGTAATCAATATGAACTGTCGTCCTACGCTCCTCCTCGCAGCATCGACCATGATATTGATACTCRTGTCCCGATTTACGTTATCCATGAAGACATCAAACTCATCCAAGCAGCGAATGGGACTGCCCATTGCCTCCCAGATGCTAAGAAGTAAGCAAATCTGGCTGAAAGACTTCTCACCGCCACTTAGAGTATTGGCTTGCCGGCCCGAGTCAGACGTTCGAGTAACATCAGGCTCGACGCTGATATTGAGCGTCTTGTCCGTATGATCCATGAGCACTCTGCCACGGAATTGGCGTTCGGAGAGGAGGTATTGAAAGTTCGACCGGGCGCGGGCGGTAATGTACTTGCGGAAGAGACCCCAGCGGCGTCTGCGTTCTCTTCGTGCATCCTTCAAGCCCTGAGCGGATGACCCTTGTTAGCATGCGAATCAACGACTGATGTTCAAGACTGACCATTGCCGTAGCTTTCTGCGACTTCAACGCCTTCTTCTTGTCCTCGTACTCCTTTTGCGCTTGCCGATGAGCGGCAACAAGCTGCTCCATCGAGCCACCTGCCTGCTGCTCTTCACTCCGATACTGCTCTTCAAGCTTCTTAAGTCTTTTATGGAGATCGTCGGGTGTGGCACCAGCCTCAACTTCGATGCGAGGGCAGACACCGTTGGCTCCCTCCAAGAAATTATCGAGATTCGCTTGCTGCGTTGCTACTTTGCCCTGCAGGCGCACCAGGTGCTCGTCTGTTGCTTTCGCAAGGTCGTCTACCTTTGCGTTCTTGGAATACAAGGCCTCGGTCCGTTTCTCTGCGCAATTTTGAAGTCGCTGCTGTTCTTTGAGAATACGGCCATTCAAAAGGTCACGCTCCCGTTGAGCACCGTCCATCGCAGCTTTCAGGTCCTTTCCAGCCTGGTCGAGCACAGCTTTTGCCATGATGGAATCCTCCAACGAGCCTTTGGTACTTTCAACATCCTGCCTTGCCTCCTCAAGCTGTCTCTTAAGTTCCTCCAACCTGCCCGTCTGAGGCTTGTTACTGTCAATCTCAGTCTGCTTGGCTTCCACGCGATCTTCGGCCCGCTGAGATTCAGTCTTGAACTGCTTGAGCTGCCGCTTGTGAAGTTCGAGAGCCTGGCTGGCCTTGACGACTTCCTTCTGCAATCGCTTCTGCTCTTGGACGACCTCGTCCTCCTTCTTCTTGGCGTCGTCGACCATAGACTGCTGGAGTCGCAACTGCTGGTCTCGATCTGTTTTCATCCGGTGCTTTCCAGTCCATGCTTCGATTGGGTTCGTACGTTTTCCACCTGCACGAGTGCCATCAATACGCAGGCCATGACCTCGCTTCGCAGCGTGCGTGAGGACGGCCCGGATGTTGATCGCTCGACCGTTGGTCGGGAACATGGTGTTCATGCCCTCCGTCTCGTCTTTGGCCAGGACAAGCTGCTCAATCGCCTGATTGATTATGAGTGTGTTGCGGACCGCGACGTTGTCAATACGAAGAATCCTGTAAACGGTTGACAAGGTCGGGTCTGGCTCTTTACCATCTACGCTCAGAGGATCTTGCGCGCGACTGATAAAGACGCTCATGCCGTCTATACGATGTCTTCGGATAATCTCACTCAAGATGTTTTGATCGTTCTTGTCCACAACGACGAAAGAGTTGAGAATAGCACCAAAGCTCTTCTCTAAGATCGATGTCCACTCCGGCTCGGTGATGCGGATGTGGCGGCCCATAGGCCCGACTGGCTTCACACGCCAGCGACTCTCCCTCTCAATTGCTCTCAGCACGTCATGTATCCTTCTATCGTACGCGTCGAGTGGATTGCCCTGATCCCGTTGTAGGCCATTCAAAGCGCTTTCGGCAGCCCGTAATTCGTCCCTGGCTCTGTCCACGTCTGTCTGTTGGTTGTGGAAAGCGCTTTCAGCCTCCGTCTTGGCGTCTATGAGCCCCTGGAGTGTAGACTGATGGTGGGTGTAAGCTTGTTTGGCGGCCTCCAATGCAGTCTTCAACGTTTCCAACTCCTGGACACGCAGCTCGTGGGCGTCTCCTGCGGCACCCGAAAGACGGCGGTTCTCCTCACCGAGCTCCATCTCCAGACGTGTGACATTTGCCTTGGCCGAGTTCCAGCTGCCCTTGATGTTGCGCTGCTCGGTCTGGGATTTCAAGAGCTCTTCCTTGTTGCTGTCGAACGCTTGTTTCGCTTCGAGATACTTTTGCTCCGCAGGTCCCGACTGCTCCCCGAGCACTTCGATAGCGCGTTGGGCAGATTCGTAGGCGGTGTTGTGTGCTTCATAGGCGGTTCCCGCWTCATCCGCCTCTTTTCGAAGCCCTTCAATATGCTCTTCGTAAATATGCACCTCCTCCTGAAGTTGCCGAAGAAATTTCTCCTGCTCCTCCACCTGGCACCAAGCATGCTGTCGCTCAACAGCTCTCATCTTTTCCTGCATTGCAGCGGCGCGATCCAGACGCTTTCTCCTCTCCTCTGCTTTTTGGGCCCTCTCCTTGAACATGTCCAGATCGCCAGCAGCAATCTTCACTGCTTCTTCGGCCATGTCCAGCTTTTCCTCCATCAGGTTGTAGTCGCCGTCGAGCGCTTGCAGCTGAGTGCCTTGGATGAAGAACTTGTACTTTTCCGCAGGCGTGCTGTTCGACAGGAACTCACGAGCACGGTCTTGGGTGAGGACATTGATTGGATTTTCCAGCTGCAAGCCAAAGGATTCGGTGATCTCGTCCAGGTCTCGTTTCTTCGTGGTAATGATCTTGCCTTGGTCATTCTTGATCTTGAAGTTTGAAGTGCCAGCGCGAGTAAAGTGGCGCTCAACCGTGATACTGGAGCCGTAGATGCTCGGCTTGAAGGCGTCCTCGCCCTCGTTMTTGATTTTGACGGCTAGGGAAGCACTTTCCTGCCCAGTCTTGATCATGGAGGACAGGTTGGCCGCGCGATTTGTGCTCTTCGCCTTCGTTCCCAGACACACCTGCAAAGCAGTCAAGATGGCACTCTTCCCGCTTCCATTCGCACCGGTAATGAAGTTGATGAGCGGCCCAAACGGCACCCGCACATTGGCGTGACACATGAAGTTCCGGATGTGTATCTCCATGATTACGCCCTGTTCAGACGCCAGGTTCTCGCCCAGTCGCTGCATCTGCTCCTTGACCATTTGCGTTGCCTGCAGCTCGTCGACGGGCTCGCTTTCACTCTCATCGTCGCTAGGTTCGTCGAGCATGCTAAGATCGACATTGTCTCCACGCACACTTGAGCCAGCGAGCAGGTCTTCGTAGTTGTCCTCTTCATTTGGTCCGGCAGATCCGTCGCGGTCTGATGCGCGAACCACACGCGACCGTTTATTGCTGAATGTCTGCTGAAAGCTTGAGCTGGCGCTGTCCACCTCAATTCCGACATCCCCGTCGATATCTTCATCCGGCCGAGAGCGCTTACGGTGCGCCATGACCGCGGGGGGTCCAATTGCAGCGGTGGTGGTGATGTTGACTAGTGAGATGGAAAGTGATGTTCCAGTCAGCCGCCGTATCGCGTCGACGCGATTATCCTGGATACACACTAGCGTGGGTTATTTACAGAACTGCCCCTCGTCAATGCCCCTTCCAAACACCTGGACTCCCGCCCGTCCTCCCGTCTTCACTCCRGCCCGCCGCCTCGATGTTTCATCAGCGGTGCCTGGCATCGCCCGGTCGATCCGAGACGGCGTCACACTGGAGTTGTCTGCACGCTGCGTCCCACGCTGTGACGAGAGTGTTCGCCGACAAAAGCCTAAACACGGTACGGTATCGTCTTCCATCGCAGCCAATATAGGCCGGGACTTTGTGGGAATAGCTTCTGCACACAGCGTAAATGCACTCGAAGAAAGCCGCAGTGCATTTCCAGCAACCAGGCTTATCCCTTTCGAAGAGGTAAAAAAAGATCGCAGCCCGATTCTGCAATTTTTGACTGCAGACCTAATGGTGCCTGCTGTGCCAGGTGCATTAGTCAGGGGATTGCCGCAGGTTTAAGCATTCCATCACCATGTGTTACACCTCAGCACGACTCGTTGGCCAAGATGATTCAGTTCTTCAGAAGCATACTGCTGCTTCACATTCATCTTTCCTTGCTTTCYCCCCCTTCCCACTGCGACGCACGCAGGTAGTATGAGGCTTCCTGTCACCTTTGCTTTCGGCCTTGTGCTCAGCGGATGGGCTGCAGCCGAGCAGAATGTCGTCAATGGAACTGCCATGGCAGAGCTGTCTCCTTGTGTGGTATGTATTCCCTTTGGCAACGGCGAACATTGCTAACGATCACACCCAGATGCAATGCACAAGCCAAGTGCTCTCAGAACACGACTGCATTCTGAGGGRTGCATGCTTCTGCAGTGACAAGCTCACCGCCGACCTCACCCATTGTACTGCAGCGTGTCCTTTCAGTGAACAGCTCGAGGCCATCTACTTTCAAGCGACAACCTGCAAGCGTCCGATTCGAGATCTCGGGGCCATGGATGCTCTTTTCTTTGGCCTTTATGCCATTGCAACACTGTTCACAATCGCACGAATCACATCTCGCTTTCACAAATTCGGAGGTGCTGGATTCGGCTGGGACGACTTGGCCGCCATTATCTCTTATATTCCCTTGACCGCATTGACCATTTGTGACGTATACACGATACACGCGGGAGGAGGAACAGACATCTGGGGCTTGACTTCACAGAATATCTATGATTTCATATTTGTAAGTTGAGATGCGCGGCGTTGGAGGAAACAAAGCTCACCCAAGGCAGTGGTTCTATCTGGATACGATATTCTACACGCCGGTCCTGTTCCTCACGAAGATCTCTCTGGTCCTTCTCTACTTACGGATCTGGCCGTCCGAGGTTTCTTTCCGATCAGCTTGCTTCGTGGCATTGTCGTTTCTGTTGGCAGCATACGCAGCCTTTCAGCTGGTTGCGATTGTTCAGTGCACGCCAGTGGACTTTCAATGGGCTCGTCTTAAAGATCCAAAAAGAGTTGGGACCTGCATAGATCGAGAGGCGTGGGTTTGGAGCCTTGCAATTATCGCAATATTGATTGATCTGGCGGTACTGGTCTTGCCGATCCCGAATATTGTCAAGCTGAGAGTACCAATCTCAAGAAAAGCTGGGTATGCAAAGCTTCCAGATGCTTCAAGAACGCTTCGGCTGACAACGCTTCCGACAGGTTATGTGCTGTGTTCTCGGTGGGAGTGATTGTGACCATAATCTCATGTGTCCGTCTGCAGTACGTCCGTGGCTTCGCAACTCGTCCTAATCCCACGAGGCTATGGGGATTTGTTGGGATCTACAGCAATGTTGAGGTGTGTTCAAGCTTGGGTGAATGGAAACCACCACGAAACGATTCCACTCAGAGATCCATGAGAGATCGAACCGTCCAACGCCGAGTGCAAACACACTGACAAAGTTCCCTGCAGGCATATCTCAGCCAGATCTGCTGCTGCCTGCCAACGGTAAGCCCATCCTGACCTTCTCCACCGCACCAATGCTAAGATTGACCTCTAGATACCCGGACTTGTCCGTCGTTCCTATCGCTACGCCACCGGCAAACCCCTAACCTCTGTCAATGCTACAGCAGACCGCCAGGGGTCCCTATCGCCGAGACCACCAATTTCCGGTCCTATCGCCATACCGAAGCATGACTACAGCAGGAGTACAGACAAGACTCGGACTTTTTCGAGTTCGTCGAATTACTCTGCGACAAGCGCCGCACCCGCGCCTGTCGTACGACAGTCGAATCCGTTCCCACTTTATGTTACCCCTTACTCCGAGAAGGATTATAGACAGACGGGATACTTTGGTGGAACCGCCATCCGAGACGAAGATGAAAATGACGGGGCGCAACCCCCGCCGGCAATACAGAGGACTTGAGGTTGTGCAGATAGATTACATAATGCTAGTGATGCCGAAACAGAAAATAGAAAGAGGGGTGGGATGTGTTGATAAGGGTTGTGCTGTGTACAAGTGTATCTATTTAGCATAAATGAGACCAACGGCTTGAAGCATTCATGCATGGTTTTCATTTCATTCGTTACTGGCTACATCCAAACGGACGTAAAGCACGTGCTCCTTCAGAAGTACAGTGTGTCAAGCTTTGGACTTGTGTTCCCCTGCGAATGCATCCACACCGCCAAGCCCCCTTCCAGTCAGTCATGCAGCCGACTGATCATTCTTCCAAACAACAATCCCAACACAATTAATCATCCCATTGTGCCTCCTCGGCGTCAATCTGGCGGCGGCGGAGTTGCTGCCAGTGGTCGTCCAGCTCCCCCATTGGCTCTCCTGTCCGCAAACCGAAAGTCTTCCTTGAAGCCCGACTTGCATCCCTTCACCACCTCGTCCTCAATATCCTTCCATGCACTCTCCAACATGGCCACTTCTATGGCACCTGCGCTTTTCACCAAAACTCTCGTCTGCATGATGGATTGTCCTGCCTTGATCTTCTCAACCATGTCCTGCACATGGGCCTCCACCTCCGCACCACCATTCTCCTCCCCAAAGCAGACCTCGCAGTCGGCCGGTACGCGCTCTAGAATAATGCCCAAGTATGTGGACAGCTCAGACGAGGGACAGTTAGCAGGATCAATAGCGATCCCACAAATTCGAAGCCTCTTCAGCCCGATCATGCCTTGAGCGACCCGCCAGTCGGCAACACGAGCAGTGCGTACAACTCTCGTGAAGTCAATGACGATGACCAATGACTTGATGAGAGGAATGATATGCTCTGGTAGCTGCGCTCGGTGGATTGCCGAACGGCTGCCCCATTCCAGACAGCCATTGACAATGATGGTGTTATCCAAAAGCAGGCCTTCTGCTTCCTTGTTGACAGCCTTGGAAACACCGAAGATGGAGGTTGCAATAGCTGGGAACACACCGGCGGGCATGTGGTGCGCGCAGCTGCGTAGAGAGATGAAGCCCGTGGGTATAATGCTCAATTTGTACACCCAGTCTCTCAATTCCGCGGGCAGGTCCATGAACCGAAACTGTCCATACCTCGACTTCGTGTCGGCATCCTCAGCCGACTGCTTGATGCCGTGAACCTCTCCATTGGTGTCTGTTTGGAAATCGCCAAAAGGCTGAAACACGCCACTCTTGTCACCACAACGACAACTGGTCCCGCTGTCAATAGCATTCGCATCTGCCTCGGCCCGTCCACCACCAGAAGGTTCGCTGCCCTTAGGCGCCCGAACCGCCTTCGCGAGTCTTCTCTCTTCCAAGATTGAAGGCCGAAAGAAGTCAAACGTAGAGCCAACGAGCTTGGCGTCCTCGACGATGCTTGCCTCACGTCCACGCATCCACAAGACCAGTTCCTCGACCTCCTCCGCCGATACATGATTCTGACCGTGAGTAAAGTCCATGTCGGCTTTGACAGCGGCGCGGATTTCCCTGGGAGAGAGACCATAGACGATCATACGCACGATGTAGTCGCGGAGATCTTCGCTCCACCCGTACTGTCTAAAATCAAGGTAGAGGTCGAAGTCGAGCGCACTCTGTGCGCTGATCTGCATCTTCGATTGATGTGATCGTTTGGGTGGAATGGGTACGCTGCCGTTGCCACGAGAGGCCTCTTCAAATATGTGCCGGAGAAAGCTCATGGTGGTAGGATGAGTCTGCGAGATCGACACGAGATCTTTAGTCAAAGTCTCGACGTCTGAAGATTCACCGTGGCTGCTCAGGTAGCTAGCCATTAGATTATCGGCACCAATTTCTGAATTTCCGATGATTGCGGGTCGATTGACGGTAGCGCGACGGACTGCTCTGGATAACACATCGTCGCCTGGTAGGGCTGGAGGCTGCGCGCGCCGATTCTGAGGTCCCGGAGAGGGTGATGGAAGGCCCAGGATGGGATTGCTTTGACCAAAGGAAGCTGAGCCGAAGGAGGGTGATCCAAAACAAGATGAGCCGAATAACGGCTTTGCACCGAACGAGGAAGCGCCAAATGCGGAGGAGGATGAGGTATAGGAGCTAGCCTGCGCGCCTACCGAAGGATTGAACTTGGAGGTGGAGAATCCAAAGGACAATGCTGGTTGTTTGTCGGCGTTTCGAAGAAGTTGAAATGCGGTACCTGCATCCTTATGCGCGGACGCTGGCGGCGTACGGAAGCCAGACCAGACGCTCGTCTTGGGACTTGGCTCGACATGCTGATTGGTGGCCTTGTTTGACTCTGCAGACGAGGGGATGTGCACGCCCGGCGAGGGCACGAGCTGCGATCGAATCATGGCCGCAGCACTGGCGATCGTCGTGTATCTGTTGAGTGTAGCGTGTTGGGTGTCGAGTGGATGGCGCCAACGGTTCGCGGTAACGTAAGGAACGCGCACGAAGAATGGCGCAGAAGTGAAGATGGACAGATGAGAAAAGAAGGAAAGTTTGCTATTCTTAATTCTCAACTTGGAAGCAGCACGAGGCACGCACCGCCCTACCCACCCCAMTTTAGATGAGTGAATGGAACTTACGACCTCACGAGTGCTCTGTGAGCGGCCTGACGATTGTCGTCAGTCGCCGACTCTTGTAACAGAGGACACTTACACATGACCATGGATGAATTGTTCTTGTCGTAACTTTCATGTTGAATGGAGACGCTGTAGAGGGTATCTTCGCTCGCTGTGACCGTCACAGAACATGAGTAAAATGCTAATCCGCCCCGACACTGCCCATATTCCAGCCGTGATTGTGCTAGGATAGGAGATTGGCTAAAAGCCTTTCCATTTTCTTCACAAGGCTCCGAACTCCCTATATCTTGGGAATGTGCAGGGTCTTCGAGAGCATACAGCATGCGTGGATGCCGAACAGTCCCACCACGGGGTGGAACTCGAAGATGGTGCCCGTCGCGATCGTGCCCATCGGGATCGCCTCTTGAACCCAGCCCTTGGAAACCCAGTACGCCATGAGTCCAGCAATGGAGAGACTCGTAGGAATGGGCAAACCCTCAAAGTACTTGGCCTTGCCTGAAGCATCCTTTGGTACATTTCCGGTGGTGACGTTGAAACGCGCCAGTCTTGCCAGGCCAGAGAGCACGAAGCAAGTCAGCAACAGCTGATCCAGGCTTGTGCGGACGCCGAGGGCAAATGCACAAGCAGCAGGCGCCACTCCGAATGAGATCTGCGGGTGGTCAGTGTTATCATTCACAGCTCACAGCGGAGAGGGAATCGCACCAAATCAGCCAAAGAGTCCAGCTCCGCTCCCATCAGACTGCTCTTTTTCCGCATACGCGCAACCATGCCATCGAAGAAGTCGAAGAAGAGGCCGAAGGGCATGAAAGCCAAGGCGGCCCACACATGTCCAGTGTGGGATGGAGTGAGGCAGTAGCGCATCGAGGACATGACAGACATGACACCGCAGAAGCCGTTCATGAGGGTGATCAAATCGGCGAGATGGTAGGCGCGGATGAGGGAGAAGTGACCCGGATTGGGGTCGTTGAGGAGGCGGTTTTGCTTGTCGGGCACTGCAAGCGGTGGTTAGCTGATGCTCGATGGGACGAGGAGTATGCAGGGCATCATACAGGCGTCTTGAGCGACATCCTTGGTGGACTTGTCGACGACATTTGAGCCAGTGTTGCGTTTCGACATGCCGGCGGAATGGGTGGGTGTGAGGTGGTGTTGTTGGTACGGAGAGGGATGTTGTTGAAGGGTAGCGGTCAGAAGACTCAAGTGGGAAGTTGTGGTCGACGGGAAAGTATTCCTGCGTCGGTAGATGTCAATGTCAAGAACGAGAGAGTGGGTAGTTGTCTTATGCCTGGCAGCAGGTTTCTCTCGTGTTTCACGCCGATGCGGGAGAATCGAACCAGGGCAAACAACGTCATACCTTGCTTGCACCGCCACACGCAAGCCACACGGCACCTCAAACTAAGGTAAACCTACATCGACGCGTCCTCCAAATCAATGGAACAACAGATCGACGCGGGCGAGCCAAATTACATTCCATCTTGCAAGATGAGATGAGATCTGGTCATGCAGCAATCGACATGGCCTCAACACAATTCCACGCCGACGTGGACTTTGACAGGATCTTCCAGTCCATCTTTCCGGCCAAGTCATACTCMACCCCAACACCAGAAGCTACGCCCAACATAGGAGTATTCCCATCGCCAGGAGGATTTGTAGCACCGAGTTTTACCAGCCAGACATCACCCACGGATGAGGGTCTCCGTCATGTGCGAGYGTGGAGTACTGCTACCCGATTTCTGACCATATCTCCTGGTCTAGGGAGCGAAGCCAGAGATTTGAAAAACGACCCTGACGCGGAGAGTGCCCTCCACCTTTTGACAAGCAACGATGCCACCAATAAGGAGCTCCTCGATTGGTATCTCCACGAGATTGACACCCACTGTCGGTACGATGTCTTACCAAGGCTAGACTTCTGGACTCGCCCGTTAGCTGCCACCAAAGTTACGGCTGCCTTTGGCGAAACAGTGGAGGTTTTGCAGCACGCGCAGAGGCTGTATTTCACCATCGGCGAGCTGCGACGCGACTTCACCTCGACCAAGTCTAGGTTGAATGATTTCATGAATCAGGCAAGAGAGATTTTCCATGCACGTTTACTGCAAAACTTGCCGAGCCAGCGAGTCGAACGCAGTCTGGCCTACTTTTTGTTCCAGTCTATGAATCATGGTCTAGAGAACACCAGTGCACTGGATTGCTCTAAACAAGAGCACTGCTCTTGCTCAGTAGAGATGGATGTTGCCTCCCTGACCGAGCTCCGTGAAGTCGGACTCGGCGGGCCCATTGCGGAGCGTGCATTTGCACTGGCAGTCCATCGTATTCTGCAAGGGCCTGCGATTGAAAGAAAATGCTTTCGAGTGGACTGGGTGGGAAAGACCTCTGTCATGGCCAAGCTGCGGACCTGGATCGAGGAGTATTTCATGCCATCTGCCCAGCGTGCGGTCACTGCTCTTACGGGAGATGATTCCGTGCATCTTCCTTCGGAAGAATTTCTGACTGCAGCTGTGAACAACTTTGGGCAGAAACTGCGGGTCGCTTCACTCTTTGACCACGTTCGCAATTGGCCCGCCAGTCAGGGTGCAGTACTCGACATCAGGGAATATCTTGCTGGAAACAATCTGCCCACCGCAAAAGCCCAGGTGTGCGCCAGCTTCTCGGAGCAGATGCAGCGCCGTTTGCTTCATGCAGGAGCAAGCACGTCGGAGATCTTGAACATCTATCTCAGCGTAATCCATGTCTTTCAGCTGCTCGACTCTCGTGGCGTACTCCTTGAGAAAGTGGCCATACCCATCCGCAATTACCTCCGCGAGCGTGAAGATACTGTAGCGATCATAGCCGCGAGTTTGTTAGCCGACATCGACGAGAATGGAGTTGTGTCTGCCCACGATGAGGACAAGATCTGTGCCGAAATTGCCACTGAAGTAGCTACATCTGCAGTAGACGCCGACAAGGATCGGTCCTCTGACTTCAACGATATGGAATGGGTTCCGGATCCCATCGATGCAGGACCGAACTACAAGTCCTCAAAAGCAGACGACGTCGTAGCACATATTCTTGGGCTGTTTGAAAAGGAAGATTTCATGGCCGCCTTCACGTCGGCATTCGGCGAGAGTCTGTTAAGAAACACAACCAAGTCGCTTCTCAAAGAGACCAAGATTATTGAATTGCTCAAATCGCGACTTGATGCCTCGCAAATGCAAGAAGCGGAGGTCATGCTAAAGGACATGCGCGACTCGGCCATTCTTGTCCGTCGGCTCGGAGACAAACTGTCCAACATCGCAAATGGTGCAGCACGCGAGCCTCCAGCTACACCGAAACAGATCCAAGCTGCCATTCCTGAGGAGGGTATCACCGTCGCTTCTCTGTATGCTTCATTCAAGGACAGAATGGACAGGAAGCAATTCCAGGCGGCTCTCATGCTCGTCTCCGTTCATCGCGATGGTCTGCATTTCCCAAAACGGACACGTCTCCCAGCAGAGCCACGCGCGGCGGAGCTTTCGCCGCAGACTGAAAAGCGTGTAGAGGATACTATGCATCTCGAGGTGAAGGTAATATCTGCACACTTCTGGCCTGAGCTTCGACATGACGAATTCGCCCTTCCGGTTGAAGCACAAAGACGCTTGGACACATTTGCTACCAGGTACCAGAATGCTGGCGGGCAAAGAAGACTGGTCTATAACCACTCACAGTGTAAGGCAAATATCACACTGGAGTTAGAAGACCGAACAGAAGAGCTGGGTTTGGTCGATGCAAGTGTCGCGAGTGTCTTGGCGGCTTTCGCCGACGAAGGCGATCCAGAGAACATGGAATACAACGCAGAATCCGGCCTCTCCATCGCAGACATCGAGAAACTTCGGAACATGTCCCATGACGTTGTGGTCAATGCAGTACATTTCCTTCAAACCAGAAAGATCTTGTATGAGGTGGAACTTCAACGCTACGCAGTTCTCGAGCGCCTAGATATGGAGCTTGATCGCAACTTCGACGCTGGCAACGACGATACAGGACTTGGGGATGTTGCTTTGATCTCTGCTGTCAAATCCGAGGCGGAGAAGCTCCGTGAACAGGCTCCTACTTTTACAACTTTCATTCTTACCATGCTCAGAGCGAATGGTGCGAGGCCTGTGGRTGGTATGATGGGGATCACAAGTATGGTAAAAATGGTGCTGCCGAGTTTCACGTGGGGTGATGATGAGATTGTCTGGCTGTTGGAGCAGATGGAGAAGGAAGGAAGTGTTGTCAGGGATGGAGGTGTTTGGAAGGTTGCTGGGTGATGATAGATAGACTCTGCCATGACTTTGATGACATAGATGCAGAAAAGGGATACTTCGAGGGATAGTGCTCATTCCGTCCGTTGGCACAGCACTGAGTGTGCAGCGATTGCTCAGCGCAGCAATCTGGAAAGATGCTACATTATTCAACGTATACCGGGAAGAATCAGAGGCAAATACCAAGGCACGTCAGTCTGCTGCAGATTTCCCGAGTTCCACCACCTTGGCAACGATACGAAGCTCGAGCTTCGGCAGGTTTATCGCGACAGCACTTCTATCTAAGCAAATAGGCAATCTTGCTTTACCCTTTTTATGTCTCTCTGCTAGCCAACTGGCATGAATGATCCCCCCGTGCTGGTTCATGCTCAACATCATCCGAATTGGAAGTTGGCCTGAACTCTCTACTCGACACCCATATTCTCCCTATACACTCCGATCCTCCCAATCGCTCTCCGCAACACTAATAAAAGTAGTGGATTAGCTTCGTACTACTGCTTATAATCATGATCTGGATCTTCCTTACCTCGCCCGATGCATCTTCAATTTGAGTTCCAACTCACGCACCAACAATCGCATATCTTTTTCTTTCTCCACAAATTGCAATTCTCGAGCCCTGTGCTCTGCCTCATCCTCTACATACTGCGCTTTCCTGGCCGCATGATATGCCTGGTCTGCCACCCGTTGAGCCCGCCTGGCGACGTGATATGCCTCATCTTCCACCTGAAGTGCCTTCCTGGCCTTGTGTTGTGCCGCCTTCGCTTCCTGTTGTGTCCGCCTAGCTTGGCATCCTGCCCTCTCCGCGATAATCTTGTCTATTTCGAATTGATCTATGACGGCTTCCGAGGCTTTGCGGTGTGCTACAGAGTCGAGATTCGTTTGGGGTGTGGGATTGTAAGGTGGCGTTCCGTGAACAGATAATGCTGGGGTTGGRGAAGTTGGTATGGTAATTGATTTTTTCTTGGTGGGCGTGTGAGATGATGGAGAGAGCGAATCTTTGCGATGCACATTTACGGGATCCAAAGGCGAAGGAGGGGAGTTGATGTTCGGAAAAGTGTGAGAAGGTATCGTTGAGGATTCTTGACATGGCTTGATCGTTTTGGGCGAAGAAGGCGTGATGAGAACCTCTCTCTGCTTTCCCCTAACTCCTTTTTTGTTTCTCGTAGTAGGGTTGCTTGGTGTCGACGGCTCTGGAGGTCCTCCAACAATGCGGGCACCATGGGAGGGGCCGGTCGTCTCAGGAAGGGGAGCATACCTGCCCTTGACATCTTCATCGGCTCTCCTGTGCGCATCCTGTTCATAGCCCTTCTTCAGCGCATCATCCTTGACATTCCGCATCAAACAGACCTTGATGACCTTCAACAATGCGGTGCTCGCGTCTCTGGCGTACTTTGGAAGATAAACCGGACGTCTATCAAGGGGAATGCAGACATAGTATTTATAGTGCTTCACTTGATTTTCCGTAGAAACCTCGATGAGCCTCACCAAATAGCATCTTTCTCTTTGGCATTTTGGACCAATTTCCGCAAAGGGCTTGTGGACGTTGAATACTTCTGAGGGCTTAACTTGGGAGGATTTGCTGTCACGGATCACTTGGTCCCAGATTTCGAGATCGACGGTGTATTTGTCCGTAACATTGAGACTGTTGATGTAGTGTTTCGAAGGCGTGAGAGGGAGTTGGCCACTCGGTGGAGCAGGGGCGACGATGGAGCTGTAAACAAGTTTAGCAAAACTTGAATTTGATTGCGGAGATAATCAGTCCACTACGATCTACGAACATACCGTAACATGAGACCAGCGTCTCCCACTTTAGACATCTTTCGCGTCTCAGAGGCGGCACATGCTTTGTCGTTATCCTCGTCGTCTTCATCGCGGAACCGCTTGCGTTTCTCGCTCTCCACACTGGAGACTGATGAACGGTTCGATCCTGTATCAAGACCGACTGCTACACGTTTCTTGCTTCTGGGAGAAGACGCTTGCTTGGGTTCAGGACTAGCAACCACTGTTGCCTTCGTCGTGGCGAAATGAGTACTGGCGGTGGACGAGCCGGCCGGCTGGCTGTTCCTCATAGCGGCCGGAGCTGTTGGAGGCGGTTTGCCAGAGGGACCTTTAGAAGGCCCTGCTGGAGGAAGACGCATCCGCCGACCTGTCATGTAGGATAGAGGCCGTCTCGAAGGCGTGTGAAAAGGATAGGGACGAGAAGCAAACGAGAGTAAGGTACTGGACGATGGTGAAGAGCTCGTAGAAACGTCACTGTCTCAGACGGCGTTCCCATTTGTGAAACAGGTCGACCGCGTACAGTAAATCGACGAACTAGCACACAGAGCACAGATATTGGATCGAAAACACCAATATCAACACCAGCGTGAAAGCTAGGCAAGGATGGGAGGTGTGTTTAGGACCCAATCCCTGAATCCCATCCAGCATGCCGTTTGAAGTGGACGAATTGTATTCGCCGGAGTGTGAACAGACACGTCTCTCCAATGTTCAAACACGGCAGCGGCATTCGCAACCCGACAGATGATATCCAAGTAAACGGGACGGGACCGCAGGGGCAAGCTACCAAGCTGTCAGCTGTAGCAGCCCGCAGGCATCCATCGATGCGATGCTCGCAATTTTACGACCTGTAGATCTTCTGACTGACCGCTCCGAATATGATACCGGTTAAATGTTCTGCAAGCTTGTGAGCGGAGGTTGCGAGCTGTCTTCTGCAGCTACCCGTGGTGGTACAGCGGGAGGCAGCGGACTCCAGAATGTTGATACAACGTACACCGACTCCAACGATGAATGCGGGGGCCAGCGGGAAAAGCGATGTGAGACAGAAGAGGAGAGCAAGAGAAACGAGAGCCGAAGCAAGCGAGTAAAAGTAGCAAGACAAGAGAAACGAGAGCCGAAGCAAGCGAGTAAAAGTAGCAAGACAAGAGAAACGAAGACAAGGGAAACGGAAACCGAAGCAAGCGGGTAAAAGAAGCAAGGCAAGAGAGGTTTGAGATTTGTGCACAACCTGCATAATTTGGGCTCCAAACCTGTGCCCAGCACAATTCTTGTAGTCTCTTCCTCGTCAGAGCATAGCATGAGCAGAGCCTCATTCCTTTAACTGCTTCCACAAGTGCCACAAACGCGCAACCTGCATACAATACATTTAAATCCCGTAAGACCGCACTGGGGATGCTGTCGACCCGTAGAGTCCGTGTAATGTCGGGCTATGAGGACGTCGCGTCCATGGGTGGGAGGCGCGATGTTAACCCAGGTGTGGCCTTGCGAGCAGTTGGAGTTGGGCATGGTTGCGGTGGTTTGAGGTGGTGTGTTGTGATGGATATGCGATAGATGTCTTGTGAGTGAATGGATGAGATGCTGTGGTGCTGAGTGTGCGACTAGCCAGTAGTTGTTGGTTGTGGGGAATGGCGAAGGTGATGATTTCTGAGGCTCCTGCAACGCGAGAGAAGGAGGTTTATGTACGCTCAGTGGTTRTGCTCCAAGATGAGACAGGCGGGCTTGGTGTCTCGGTTGTAGCGCGAAGAGAGCAGAGAGAGCTGAGATGATGTCGTTTGATGTTTCGAGCTTAGTGGTTCAACGAAGTTATTTCATGCTGGATTTGCGGTTCGCGAGAGACGTCTCTGATTCCTGGCAATGTCTGCGTTCTCGAACGTCTAAGCTCATGTCTGGAATGTCGGGTTAGGGGCTTGGCCAAGCTGCCATGATCCAGACGTGAGGAGGCGCATTTGAGCACTTCGGACACCTGACTCGTTGTTGATGTCGTTTACCATGTGCGGGTGCACATTCAGACGCCATCAGAAGGCACGGTGCTAGAATAATGGCCATAAATCGACAAAAAGGAAAGGCGATGTTTCATCGCATTCATTCAACTTCCCCATATAACTCCAGGGTATGTACAGCACACCACGCAATGTCTCAGACTGATCTCCACACCTATTTCGTCGTATTCGCAGGCGTAACAGCATATGTCGGTCGCACAAACCTACACAGGACGGGTCAGTAATCCAGTCCAAGACATACTCCCACTCCCAATCTTCCACGGATCAACATACCGGTCTCCATGGTAAACACTCTGGCTCTTTCCTAGCAGCTCCTCCTCCATCTTCTGCTGCCCATAATGCCTCCTCACCACATCGCGGTCCTCTTCGGCTTGCAGGAGAGGAATCAGGTGGATGCGTGACCACATCTTCTCCCGTGCCAGTTCGCTGTAATTTGTTAGTCAACACGTGTTCTCATTCAAACCCTCCACATGTTCTCACTTGTGCTCGCGGATTCCCTGACCAACGCGCCAGAAGCCATATGTCATGATGCCAGCGACGCCGAGAAGATAGTAGGCGGGACGGAAGCCGCGGACGGGCAAGTTGCGGCGATATTGGACGGGCTCGTAGCCGCCGGTCGGCGGCATATCCTGAGGCATGGCGGCGGTATTGTTATGGGGGAGGACGGTGAGGCGGAACGTGAATCAATCAAGCTGGCGGCCTTCAATGGAGTTTGGAGCAATGCGGCATGGGCCGCACTGCGGGAGGTCGGAAGGTTAAATCTATTAGCGCAGAAAAATTACAGCTCTCAGTTCGAATATGCAAATCCCACGACCTCACAACGACAAGGACGGGATGTCGAGGGAATAAATCGCAGAATCACCACCAACCGCACCACCACCACCGCCCACGGGATCGATATCCACCATGTCGGTCGACTACCTCCTCCACGAATCCTCGGTGGGATATGCCGTCTTCGCCGTCAAATTGCAGTCGGACAGCATCGGCTCGCGCCTGAAGGAGGTGCAAGATGCGCAGACGGACCTTGCCAAGTTTGGCAAAATGGTCCAGCTTAAGTCTTTTGCGCCCTTTCAAGGCGCCGCTCAGGCGCTGGAGAACGCCAACGATGTCAGCGAGGGATTGATGAGCGACTACCTCCAGACTGTGCTCGAGGCCAACCTGCCCAAAGCCAGCAAAAAGAGCAAGACTTCGCTCGGTGTCGGCGACAAAGGATTGGCGGGTAGCATCAAGGCGGGATTTCCCGGTGTAGAATGCGAGACGCCCGATACCAGTGAGCTTGCCGGCGACCTCCTCCGTGGTCTGCGCCTGCATGCGGAGAAGCTGTTGAGCGGTCTCCAAGTCGGTGACATTTCTCGCGCACAGCTTGGTCTAGGACACGCATACTCCCGCGCCAAGGTCAAGTTCAGCGTTCAGAAGAATGACAACCACATCATCCAGGCCATTGCTACCATCGACCACCTCGACAAGGCCGTCAACACCTTTAGCATGCGTGTGCGTGAGTGGTACGGATGGCATTTCCCGGAGCTCATCCGAATTGTATCAGAGAACCAGAAATACGCCCAGTGCGCTCTGGCAATTGGTGACAAGAAGACCCTCACCGATGACTCCCTGCACGAGCTGGCCAAGATTGTCGACGATGACGAGAGCACCGCCAAGGCCATCATCGAGGCTGCCCGCGTGTCCATGGGCCAGGATATCGGTGAGGCGGATATGGAGAATGTCATGATGTTCGCCAAGCGCACTGCTTCCCTCGCCGCCTACCGCAAGCAAGTCGGCGCTTACCTCGTTACTAAGATGGGCGTTGTCGCTCCTAACCTTGCCGCATTAATTGGAGAGACCGTCGGCGCACGTCTCATCTCCCACGCTGGATCCCTCACCAACCTCGCGAAATACCCCGCCTCGACCGTCCAAATCTTGGGCGCTGAGAAGGCCCTCTTCCGTGCATTGAAGACCAAGGGCAACACTCCCAAGTACGGACTCATCTACCACTCTTCTTTCATCGGCAAGGCAGGCACCAAGAACAAGGGCAGAATATCACGTTTCCTTGCAAATAAGACCAGTATCGCGTCCCGAATTGACAACTTCTCCCAACAACCCACACGGAAGTTTGGAGAGGCATTGAAGGCACAAGTTGAGGAGCGTCTAAGATTCTACGCCGAGGGCGTCAACCCGACCAAGAACGCCGATGCCATGAAGTCCGCCATGGATGCCGCACTTGCGAGCATCAACGTTGAGGACCCCACCGCCGACGCTTTCATCGACGACGACGCACCGGGTGTCAGCTCCAAGGCGGAGAAGAAGAGCAAGAAGAGCAAAAAGGTTGACGAGGATGTTGAGATGGCAGACGCGAAGCCCAGTAAGAAGGACAAGAAGCGCAAGTCAACAGGTGACGCCGACGCAATGGACATTGACGAGGGCAAGATTGAGAAGAAGCTGAAGAAGGAGAAGAAGGAGAAGAGAAAGTCGGATGTGCTGGCAGGTGGAGAGGTTCCAGTTGAGCAGATCAAGGAAAAGAAGAAGGAGAAGAAGAGCAAGAAGTGATATGCTCGTTCAGGATTGGGATGGGAAGGTGTTTACGAGGTGTTTGATGGCGTTACTTTTCCAAGTCGATGATGCTGGGTTTGGATGTGTGGATGTGTGTATGTCCTACTGTACTGAGAGTAACATCGTTAACTGTGCCGGACACCCTTTCCTTTCGGTTTGTGGAGTGATCTCTTGGCCGGATGTGTTTTGTGTTGGATATCACGCTCAAGCTGCAGACATCCCCCACGGTCAGTTATCACTGGCTACATATATGTCGACTCCGGCTACATGTAGTAACCTCTCCTTCTCTCTTCCATGATCTGGGGCGTTCTTGCTCGTCACATAAGGCAGTTGCCGAAAGGACGTCCAAGTACGGATGTCACTTCTTCGACACCTCTCTTGAAAGATACAATGAACAAAGCTTCACATACACTGGATATCAGTACTGCCCGAAGGTCACCACTGGCAACTTGTCATCATATCACTCGACATTGATACTACGCGAACATTACGACGGGCACTTGTCTACACGTCATCCGCTCAACCTTCGAAGCTCTCATTGCTACAATGGCAGCAATGTTCAACATGACAGACTGTTTGGCCGTTCTCTCAAAAATCATCAGCTGGCAACCGGCTCGAATCAATTCAGAGGTCATCCGTTTCAGGGCTTTCGCCGGTTACCTTACGTTGTACGCCTTGTTACTGTTATACACTGGACCTCATCCTCGGCTGCCGATAACATGGCGGGCCCTTCTTTCCGCCATCGACTGTCTGGCCGGGTATTCTGCTACGCTGGTACAAGAGGATCTTCCAGTGACCTGGATATTGCCCATCGCTTGCCTAATTGCTCGCAGACTCGTAATCCTTTGTCATCCTGGTATCCGACGCTCTCCATGAGCATCGAGATGACATTCTTGCCGGCAGATTTGTACTCCCGGTGGAGGACTCTGAGAATGAGGCGGACTTGGGAGAGCTGAGGAATGTCGGGTCTGGGAAGCGGACGGATAGTGCTGCAGAGGGCGGGGAGGAGGGATCGCAATGATGGCACTTGTCACTTTGATCACTCGCTGTTGTTCTCAGGTGCTATCGGACTGTCACTACGAGAAGGATGGAATGCATGATTTTACACATTCGAGAGTTCGGCATATTGGTGACATAGGAAGTCAACTGAGTCTGTTTGAGACTTGTTAAATATCGCCGCCCAGAGAGAGGACCACCAAGAAGGGTAGAGAATGACCTTGATGCGTCTGTTTGTTCTTACAACGCAGCTCTGTATGATGGTTTTGATTGCTGAGCAAGGGCTACGGGGAGTAAAGTGTGTTTGCTCGGTGCCTTGTAGTGATGTAAACCTCTACTGTGTCAGAAAGTATAAGAGCGACACTATCCGTTGCACATCAACCTCTTCTCCACACTCACAAAGTATCCCAACGCAGAGAGTAGAAAGATTGCCGAGACCCTGGGCACGCAACAATGAGTTCATCGAAAGAGCCACCGAAGAAGCTGGACAGTAAGGCTACAGCAGTCTCCGACGATCCCTCCCCGGCTTTGCCTGACTCTCACCGTCCATTCGGAATCAACTCCAGGTACATTCTGGATGCCCACCTAGAGGATTCCCGCCYTTTGGAGTCCGTCCCGCGACCAGGCCCTACATTCCCCTACATGGCAAACTACTTCAGAGACTGCACAGAAGCTGAGAAGCGTGACCAAGAACTATACGTGAACCACATCCACAAAGAACTCCCCAATCAGTTTTTCTGGAGCTGCATTCCGAAGAAATACCACCCCAAAGTACCGTTCTTCCCTGACCTTCTCGATTGCCATCCGGAGTTCCTGTACCAGGTGCTTCTGTGCATCAAACTCACAAAAGTCCAAGCGATGATCAATGACGATGTGCTGCATGCTTCTCTCGACGTCGTAGTGGTTCCTCAACGTCCGAGCAGGATTTATCCTGGTGGGAAAAGCGGGATTGTGTATCTTGGGTACCAGTTGGGCAAGTTCGCGAGGGAGCAGAGGGAGAGGATGTTCGAGGCATATGACCGGCTCGAGCGGGGGAACGATGAACGTAGCGCGAATTGAGAGGTGCTAATTGTTGTTGAGGGCTTGGGTTTGAGGAAGTCTGGCGTTGAAGGATCCACATGGAAGGGGACCGGGAGAGGTTGTGTCTGAGTTTGCACATTTTTTGCTCTGATGTATGTCCATTCCACTCATGACGTTTCATAGGCACCTTAGTAGTTTCAACACGTATCAGCCGATGAGTGATGGATAGCAATTCACGAAATTGACCAGAGAATGACCATTGTGTGTTAGCGCTGGAAATGCGGTTCTCAAAAACATTCACATGATTGCCAAGCGCCGCTCCTTCGCCATGTCATCCTGCTTGGATGCGAACCAGGCAGTGCCAATCCCTCCTGACGTCAGTTCAATATCCTTTTCCTGTGTTGATACCGCGACAGAGATCTGATCGAGCCTTCGCCATGTCGTCTTGCTTGGCGTAGATGAAGCGCCTCGATGGCCTTCAATGTCCCGGCAATGACTAAGTTGAGAGCGAATGTGTCTACATCAGCTTTCTCAGGAGTCGCGATGGCGTCGGCACTCATGTCATGACGTTGAGACATGATCTGAGATCGGAAGTGGGAGGTATGAGGTTAAGCCATCTGGCGCTTCTCTCAACCTGGTCAAACCATCACGCACGCTTTGCTTTGAGTGACCACTTGTATTGCACAAACAGCCACTTTGCTCGTCGGATATTACACGAATTGGCCGGTCGGACTCTGGCACATGGCAAAGTTCTTTTTGTGATGGACGAGCAAGTGAGCAGGTTTCAAATCCGCCCTGACGTCCAGACTTCATACAGCTCCGTGAAATCCGACAGCTCTGAGGTTCTTAGCCCTAGAACAGAAGTCCAGGCTCAGGAGAAAGCTACAGAGGCAGCTAATCTGAACGAAGAAGTGGCCCGACAACGCTTGGCCCAGAAGGTAATGGAATTGGCAAAGAGGCAGCAGACTCCCGTGGCTTGAGACAGGTTTGTATCCAAGTGAGAGGGCAATGTTACTGAACACGAATGCGGTGGTATTTCAGGTTTGTAATACTACAGATTGTCAGCTTAAAATCAGATTCGTTCATCGCATCGTATCGTCCTCATCGTCAGCTTCCTTGAGATTGACTCCTAGCGTGTCACTCAATGATCTTGAAAGTCTTCAAGATGTCATCAACACCCGCACCCGAACCATCAGGAACAACAACTTTCCAGACATCCTCGGCCAGTCTCTCTCTCGCCTCCAAAATGCTCCAATTTGGACTCTGCTCATTCCTCAGCCACTTGAAATCGTCCACTTTCTCCCATTGGTTCTCGGACTTTCCATCGTCTTCCAACATATACGTCTGTGGCAAAGGGGCGAACCGTACGTTCGAGCAGTCTTCGATAATTGGCCTTGATGTGGTAAGCAGATATATGTCGCAGTTTGACGAATCATGCATCCTGAATTGTCGACTTGCAACAACGACCACGGAGTTCTTGATGTTTGTCAGGTGTATCGCACCACTGACGTGCCCGCAGATGACGAGGGAGTGGGATATGTTCTTCAGTGTCAAGCCTGCAAAYGGACTGCTGCTCGAAGGGACGGACATGTCGATGACACAATGCTCGATGTCCGTGACTGTGCCAGAGCTGGCTGTGTGAATGTTGGTTGATGGGAGTGTAATGTGTGCGTGCTCGCGATTCTTGATGTTGACCGCTGTGCTTGGAAGCGGAGCGGCATCATCTTGGCGATCACCGTCTTGCCCATTCCCAATGGGATTGCTGGTCGGCTCGTTGGCAGGAGACGGGACTTCGATTGGTGTTGTAGCAAAGCTTGAGACGTTCGACGATCCAGACTGCATTGACTGAAATCGCCGTTGGGAAGCAAGATCTGCAGCGTCGCTTATGCTGATGGCAGACTCGTTCTTCTTGGCTGTGAACAGTCTTCCGGATTTGAACGAAAACTTCGGCCGAGGTGCCACGGAAGATCTCACATCTTGCAGTTTGGTGTTCAAGGCCTTGATGGCATCGCCATATGTCCGCTGATCGTAGGCCGGAATGTATGCCGACGCATCCTGGACTTCAGTGGAGAGTCGCGCTATGGCAGAAAGACAGTGGTCGACGGCATCTGCACGTTCGCCTCCCGATGTGCCGTGATTTTGGATGCGGCTCATCTGCTCTTGCAGATCTGTGGCGGATCAGCTCGAGTGTCATTTGCATGGGAGTAAATGAACAGACCTGTGACTTCATGTTGGAAATATCGAAAGAACTTTTCGCTGGGCGTCTGCGATACTGGTGGTGTCGGCTGCTGCTCCCCGACATCGATCGTGGCCATGATGTCTCAATGTGCTCTTCCAATATCAGGGTGAAGGTCGTGTGATGAGGATGGCTGAACAAGTTTTACTCCGCAGACAGAGCGATGGGCTAGTGCTAGTGGTCCCGTGAGAACGACTTGACTTCATCAAGGATCAGCTACTCTATGAGCAGTGGTGCTTGGTTCTGGAACCAAGGTTTCGGTTGGTTATTACCTAGTCTCTCTGCACCTGGACATGTTTGTTACCCCGCCCCGCTCAAGTGTTCGGAAATAGAATGTTCTAGCGCAGTTTAAAGTGGGGCGATATTCTCCTGATCCGCGAACGATGTGAATCTTTCGACAACATGCCACTGTGTGTCAGGAATGTGAATCTTCGTCAGAGACCTCAATGCCCATCCAGACCGTTTGCACTGTCTGGTAGATGGAATTGACGCGACAAGGAACTGCTCTGGTGCCCCTGCGGAAAGGACTACGAAGCTTCATACCTCGCGTTAGTGAGCACGTGTTGGGACAGCAGACATTTCTTCGCTGTGAACTACGGTTCACAATGGACGAAGATCGCTAAAGGGGTCAAGACTTTTACCGACGTGTTATTTGATCGAAATGGCTCGAAGGTTGTGTCTCATCGGTTCAACTTCGAAGCAGCCTTGCAAAAGCTGTGCCGCATGTTGTTCAGACAACGTGCCGTTGTAGGGGCAGGAGACTATACATCAGCCGATATTGTGGAATCGAATAAGCTTATCCAAGGCTATTCGCGAGAGACAAGATGCACAAGACTTTCCGGACCGGAGCGAGAAGAAGCGTTCCGCCGCCAGAGCCAAGGCCCTCCGGGCTCGAAGCATATGCACACCGGGAATGGCCAGGAATGCTCTACTCCCCAAACGCAATAGAAAAACAGGAATAGGAACATGGCTTCCACACTGCCACCATATCGGACATGCGGGTTGCTCTTTGTTCATACGCTTCAGCCTCGCCTTGGCAATGGCGTTCAGTGTAACACAAAACAGCGGATCAACCTCCATTCGGCATGTGTGTCAGCATCTCCCACATTGCATGAACACTAAGATTCATTAAGATGATGGTCTAGGCCCAAGACAACAGGGCTGCGTATGAATCGAAATGCGCCTCGAGCAGATCTCCTATTCGCACGCGAGGAAGACACCTGAGAATGAGCATATAATCGCCGGTCGCCCATGTCCTTCGCGGCACACTCAATTCAACTCTTCAATTTCCAGTCACTGAGTTTGCCATGCAGTTCATCAAATGTCTCGGTATCAGCACGGTGCTGTATTCTCTCGCAAGTGCAACGAGCTGCACTTCCGACCTTGCGATCCCCTGGACATTTGGCAGCGGCAGCGATGACTCGGCCTCAGCTGCAGGTGCAGAATTGAGGGCTGAGGGTGAGGCGAATGCTCTTGGTCTTATCGGGAAGCGTGAGTCTGGCGATCTTGATTGTACCTTCGCCGAGATCTGCCTTGTGGATACGGATAATATGCTCTTCTGCATGGATGCCAATACTGGTAAGTGAGATACTGGGCAATGTCCGGTCTTCGTAATGCTGATGTACAACATCATAGGTGATTTCCACGACATCTCTGGGGGCACAGGAAATGTTTATACGGGGGAAACTACCACTCAAGCCGGCGAAGATGAGACGACCGCGGACGACGAGACGCCGAGTTCCACCGCATCTGGCCCAGGATCCATATCAACAGCCAAGTCGGGAAACGCAGGGGCTTGCACGTCAGACGTCGCAATACCTGTGCCTCTGGGAATGGGTGCCAGTGGCAGCCAGGCAAACTGCGCCGCAGTAGAAGCTGTTGGCACTTCGAGTTGCGACAGCAAGCGGGCTTCGTCAGAACTAGAGTGCACCTCGGGGGAGATGTGTATACTCTATGGAGCGACCCTCTTGATGTGCTATAAATCAGCGACTGGTAAGTCAAGTTTTCGGTCTTCAGATCGGGAGATGGGTTGCTGACGTTTTCTGTTTTGTCTTATAGGAGACTATCGTGACGAACATGGAGGCAAGGGCAATGAATACTCTGGAAAATACACAGCTTCGAATGGCGAGGTACAAACCGTGACTGGCACCATGCTACCGGCTCTTCCTACCGCTGGTGCTTCGAAAGACGCAGGAGAGGCAACAAGCACCTCGACTACCACGAGTGTGGGCGGAAGTGGCAATTCAGATAGCTCGGCACCGCAGAAATCTGCCGTAGCTTCACAGCAGTCCACTGGAGCGACAGTAAAGGGTGGAACGTGTGGGGTATTGCTCGCAGTGGCTATGTCAGTCCTTGTGGCAGCAGTACGCCTGACGGCAGGCTGGTGAGAATACCAAGGAAGCCTTTTGAAGGGTTAAGAATGCTCCTTAAGTACGCTCTGTAGGTAGTTGCCACATGAAACTCATTTATATCAAATTGCTTAATCTTGCCGCTCAGTTCTTGGGACGTAACTGTCTCTACTGGTGGCCTTGTAAACGGGATGTACTTTCAAGGCACTCGCTGCCAATGCAAAAAATATCATTCCGGCGAAGCTAGATATTGAAGTTAGTTGTAAGTCAAGAGATGATACCACGAGCAACGGCCAATGTCAGTAGCGACTTGATGCTAAAAGTCCCTGAAATAATGTCAAGTTGTATGCAGAAGAGTGAAAGAAAGTCAGGCCTGTATCCCCCATGTCAGCTTTCTATTCGATTGAGGCCACGAAACAAATATATCTACAATTGTGGCGTCTTCCACTGAACAGCTCTTCTTACTTTCGCGAATTCGAGGCGAATCTTCAAGGTGTTTCAATTCTCGTCCAGTCTGAGAGATCTTCGAGTGATGTAACCGACTTGGACCATAAGCGAGTTGTGCTGGCCGTTGCCGCAGCAACCGGTTCTCGCCGAATGTTGATTCACATGAAGAGCTTCCAACCCGGGATAAATTTAGAGCAAACGCATCCGCCGAACGTCGCAAACGCCCGCGCGAGGTGATTTCATTCACTCCCGACTTGACGCACACGAATAAAGGCCACTTTGCTGTTCCCAGAAAATATCGACAGCCAGCATGTCCCGTCCCTCTCTTCCGACGCCGTGTCCCACGGGATCGCGAGGATTCATCATTATCGACAGTGCGACCACGACAGACGAGAACACCGAAAACATTGAATATACGCGCGCATTCCAACCGCTCCAGCCACGGAGACGGTCGATGATGTTCAGCAAACCTGCCAGCAAAGCCCCTCCACGAAGAAATAACAACCACAATCTGGAGGATTTGAGGGAGGAGGAGGAGCTGTATCTCAGCCAGCAGCGTCCGGTGCCAGAGATGAAGAAGACATTGCTTGGTAAGCCCGCKCAGAGAATGCCAGTCAGAAGACAGGGACTGTCGCAGCCAGAGCATGAGACAGCACAAGAGGTAATACAACCCCAGAGAGAGCACAGGGCGAGTGGGATATATGGCGCAGTGAAGGAACGAGATACGCGGCGACGAACCATGTTTATACCTGACGACACGACCATTATGACGATACATCCGGGAGCGAACGACGCCACGTATCGGTTGGACGACACCTTCCAGCTCGGATTGGCTGATCTGACTCTGGATTCTGTTGGAGAGACAATTGGGACTAAGAAGCCCATGCGGAGACCTAGGAAGTCTCTCGCTGCCGCTCCGAAGAGGATACCATTGGGTCAGATGCAGGGAAACTCGATGGCAACGAACTACGATGGCCCGGGAGCGTGAGTGTTCTATGCAGATGTCTTGGAGTACGAAGCTGATATTGACTAGTGACACTGGCAAAGAGAATGAGTCGCCGGAACGGCCTTGGGATGGTGTGCAGAAGAGGACTTTCAAGGTTCCACTGGGAGAGTCCAAGTTGACTGCGCTTCGCCAGGCAAACGCACCTCGCCAGTCCATCGGTGGTGCCATGAAGCCATCATTGCCCGTATCAAGGCCCAGAACATCTGAAAATGCTCGCACTACCACCGGTCGGAAAACAACGAGCCCACCGGCGTTGAAGCTTAGCAGTCTGAGCGAAGCACCAGAGAAGACCAGCTCATATCGCAGCAATGCTGTGATGACCTCGAAACCGACCTACGGTCGAATGCATTCTGTCTACCCTAGAAGAAGCCCACAGGCCCCACCAAGCGTCTCGCTCAAGGAAACAATATCACTGCGCCGAAGCGAGATGCAGACAGCAAAGATCAACCAATATCCGGTCTTGTCCAACAACCTCGCCCATCCGGAACTGTACGAGGACAAATGGCTGAGTCACCAGGAAGTGGCATTGACGCACATCATCAACGAGATGTTCTCCCGAGCTGGAATTGATGTGGATCATTCGCCAGAGTCGCACGAATCGTTGAGGTGTAGCTTGRTCGGTCTTTACGACCAACCCAATGTGGCTGACGTGCACCAACACCTGCACGCGAGTGTCCAATTTGGCGCACTCAGACCGAACCAATCTTCCGATTTCGCGCCGAACGTCACCAGAGACATCGGTTTGAGGAAGCGATTCATCAACCTTTTCGTCCAGAACTACACAGAGCCTGCACTCCGAGCTGCCGTGGAGGTTGTTGTGGGTAGAAGGATGCCACCCACCACTCGACGATCCGTAGAAGGCGATCTGAAGATGGGTGAGAAGATACTGGATCCTCACGCCGATAGAAGGTCGCTCATTGGATTTCTGGAGACTTTCTTCGTGGACTGCGCAGATACGGACCAGGATGTTGAGGATATGAGCCGTGAGAAGAAGGTTTTACAACGCAGCCTGATGCTGATATGGCTTCTGGACCATGCCAAAACGACTGGCATCATTCCAGGACTTCTGTTCAAGACTGGTGCGTCGATGAAGTCTTCACTGGCGACGCTCCAGGAACTGGGCCGCATCCTCCTTCCAACGACACCGGATATCGCGAAGGCGTTGAAGCTGATGGGCTTCACTCTTGGACACATGCAAGCTCCGCTGGATGAGGTGATCTTTCGTGTCGACAACCTAGCCGTCGACCTTCGCGATGGTATCTTCATCACGAAACTGGTGGAATTGGCCCTTCAGTCCTCCAACCAAGTGTCGTGCAAGGACCTCAGAGTGCCTTGCTTCGGCCATGCCTCAAAGATATACAATAATCAGATCGCTCTGACCGCACTCCGAACTGCGCATCTACGGGCCGGCTTGGTCCCAGTGGATGTCACCGCAGCTGACATCGTAGACGGACACCGAGAGAAGACGTTGGTATTGATCTGGAGCATTGTTGGTCAATACGGTCTGTCTCAAATCGTGGACTGGCGGGAGCTCTGCGCGGAGATTCGTCGTGCTGGAGGCGATATCGATACACCGGTAGGATCTTTCAGCAGGGAAGATCAAGAAGTCCTTTTACAGTCCTGGGCTGCCGTTCACGCTTTCAACCACAACGTTGAAATAACGAACCTCACCACCTCGTTCGCTGCAGTGGGAGCTTACACGGCAATTCTATCGGCTTTTACCAACGCATCTGGAGGTTTGGAAAAGCAGCTCCTGAGTTTGGAATTCCCAGCTACGTGGATCAAGCATTTACTGGGCACGCTGTGTACAGTCCCGAACAAGATCACTACCCTGTCAAATCTGGCATACCTAGCATCGAGACTTTTGCCACTATCTCGAAGAAGCCGTGCTGCAAGCACTATCCAGCGAGCCTTCCGCGCTAGGCGAGAGCGGACTGTGATGCGCCAGCGAATTGCTCTGATGCGTGTTGCAAGAGACTGCGCGACGATTGTGAAAGCACAGCAGCAGGTTGTGGGTGCGGCTGTTGTCTTGCAGAGGGCGTGGAGAGCGGTGATCGCAGGAAGAGTTGGTAGATTGGAGAGGGATGTGAGTGCCTTCCAGACGGCTGCGAGAGGATGGTTGGCGAGACGCAATGAGTTGGAAAACAGGGCTGTATGCGGATGGTGATGAGGATGATTCTTGTTGGGGCGAAAATGCCGATTATTTGATGCTTGTTGATTGGAGATACCCCGTGTCGGCGCGATACACTCGTTTAAATGTTACAGTTTATGATGAAACCCAAAAGTCGTATCTTCATTCCTTAATCGTCCCAACGCCYCCAAACAGAGATGTCAGGCTTCGCCCTCTCCGATTCATTCTCTCGAATGGCTTGGTCCGTTCCTACCAGACCGCGCCACCAATGATGAAGACTCTCTCCTCCTCCCTTCGGATCCACTGGACGACCCTGTTCGCCCCATGCGCCAGCGCAGCTCGAGAAGCTTGCGGCCCCGCTACACAGTACAACTCGAACAGCTGTGTCTCCCATGCAACCGCTGTAGAGTCAGAAGCAATGCTGTGCTGGACCTTGAGATGCGCAGTGCGAGAATGAATGGATTCGTGCAGTTGATGGTATAGAGACATGAGTCTTCGCTTAGTCACCTCGCTAGAATGACCTCCAGTATGTGCTGTTGGAAATGAAGGCATGACGAATTGGACATTGCCGCGGGACTTGTAAAGGAAATGTCGCAAGACCGTGCCGGGGACAATTTCCGAGCATGGAGCATGGCCTTTGCGAATCGCGTTTCCAATGATGGCAATGCTGCCATTAGATTCCAGCTGAGCTACGAGTTCATCCCGCATCTTCCGCATTTCAAAGAAGGCATCTTGTTTTGCGCTGATCAAAACGATGGCCAATTCGTCGTCGGAGCCTATGGAAGCCGATCTCTCCTCGCTGGTAATTGCTCCATTTTCCGCTGCGGTGAAGAAGCTAACGTACATGTACAAGAAGCCAGTGTTGTTGAAGCCGGGCAGACACACGGGAATCCAATTCTCGCCACCTCCAGCTTTCACACTTCCGGCCTCGAAAAGCATATTGAATATGAGGTGCAGATCTCCGGGGTGCAGCGAATGCTTCTTAGGCCTTACTACACTGACCAAGCGGCCTGCACCTACAATGAGACCATAAAGGAGGTTCGGAGAGCGTACCTTGAGTAATGTCTCGTTGATGACCCTTCTGTGTGTCTTTCGGAGTCGGAGACACTCAAGTGCGGAGAGCAGAGTCGACGGGGAGCCTCGGGTGAAGCCATCCGCAAGACCATCTAGGAGTACCTCAGTCCCCTGAAGCGGTCGTCGCAAGTCTGTGGAAGGTCGATTTGAGAACATGCGCTCCATACTGGGTAGAGTCAATGTCGAAAGGATCTGCATATAGAGCGACTCCAGTTGAGTCCGTAGCTGTGCATCGCTCTCGGGCAGCCGGCTGATCGCTATCAGATTTAGCGGTCCTTTTGAAAGGATCACAAAGCGTGTCCCGCCGGCCGTGAATCCCTTCAAGCTATCATTGGAGCCCTGATGGAAGGATATCACAGTCTGAGCGACTCCTATGTAGTGACTGATGAGCTGGTCATCGCCATGTCTGCTGTAGACCGGTTTACCAGATGCAGACAAGATGAAGAAGTGCTTCAGCTTCGCTTTCCAATCTGAAAGTAGTGCTTCCTCGCTGGAGCCATCGGAACTGACAGAGCCCAATTCGTCAAACTCGTGTTGGATCTGTTCGCTCAGGACGTCATCTTCGCGCGATGAAAAATCAAACAAGTCGTCTTCTATTCCCACGTCCGCATTTGCGGTGTTCCATGTAGAACCCCCGGTGATATCGCCCATTACGCTTTCGTTGTCAAGATGAGTGTCCAGAGTCGGAACAAAACTTCGAACGCTTGCCGAGTCATCGCCATCGCTGGTGCTGTTCCCCACAAAGCGGCCGAAATGAGTATAGCTAGCTTTCCGGGAGAGTGGTCTGGCAGATGGAGACGGCAAATTACTTGATTCATTGGAAGTCTGGGTGTGCACGTCGCCCAGCGACAAAGCAGTGGTTGGCGTGGACAGCAGCTGTGGTCGAGATGACCGCGAAGAGAGTCTCAATGATCCTCCCGCCTGAGGGAGCGGAGGCCGTGGAGGGAGCGGCGGGGGAGTCAGCTCCACAGATTGTGTCATGACATCTCTCTGCTCTGATTCATCAACATCGCTCGGATTGTCGCTGCTAATGTCGCCCTGTGGATTGCCATTGCTGCTCACAGCCCCATTCGCGGGTGGCGAGCATGTCTCATTGTTTGTCGGATGGYCAGATCCAGCATTGGCTTCATTGCTCCCAGGCATCGCTCCAGCCAACMATACTGATACGTTGCGCAGAGACGGCAATCTCGGTGGACGACGGCGTATCGAAATGAGCAGAGCCGAGTGACGTTGAAGTTGATGTTACAGTAAGTAGGTATCCAAGCGCGGTGGCAGGAGCCAAGTCCGAGATCCGCGCTAGTGTCGGAATAGGTCAAGCCGAAACCTACGCGACTCGCGCCTTCTCAAAGAACAACCTGTTCACAGAACACATGCCAAAGATTCGCGTGTTACTTTATCTCTCTCTTAGCGGGCTCCCGTCGAACGTTGTCGGAGCGACAACGGCCTGTCAGCCAGCCAGTGCATCCGCTGACGAGTGAAATGCGATATGCTGCAAACATTGAACGAGCCCTGAGCTCATGGGAAATCTCCCCCGAGGAGTGGGCGGATTACATTGCCTTTCTTGCACGATTGCTCAAAGCTGTCCAAAGTCAGCGCAAGGACGACGTCTCCGATCTTCCACACAGCCATGCCATTGCCACGCGACTGGCCCAATGCTTGAACCCGGCTCTGCCTTCTGGAGTCCATCAGAAAGCACTGGAGGTCTACACTTATATCTTCTCCACATTCGGCAACGCTCACATCGCAAGTCACATCCACGAATATCTCCCGGGACTTACTGCCGTGTTGTCTTTCGCATCGCTGTCGGTAAGACCTGCTTTGTACCGTTTGTTCGAGGACCACATCCTTGCGCTTTCTCCATCCGCTCTACGCCCGGCACTGAAGTCGTTGATTCTCAGTCTCCTACCAGCGTTGGAAGATGAGACCGGAGAAGACTTTCAGCGAGCGTTCGCGATCTTGCAAGGCTTGGAGCGTTCTTTCACTCCGGACTTCAGATCGGTCGGGCTGGGCAGTGATCAGGATGGCTATTTCTGGCAGTGTCTCTTCCTCTCCGTCATCACCAGTCCTTCTCGGCGTCAGGGCGCTCTCAATTACCTATCTAGGACTCTTCCGAAGCTCGCAGCGAAAGATGGTGGTGCAGAAGCAGACCAGAGAGCGGCCGACTGCGTCGTTTCGCCGGAGCCCGGTTTGCTCATACGCTGTTTCGTTTGCGGCCTATCCGACGCTCAGATCTTGATTCAGCGCGGATTCCTCGATTTACTCGTGACCCATCTACCTCTGAATTCCAGAGTTCTTCGAGAAAGGGTTGGCACTCAAGATCTGGATCGCTTGGTAGCAGCCGCTATGCTAGTGCTCTTACGGCGGGATATGAGCCTCAATAGGCGGCTTTGGAGCTGGTTCCTAGGCCCAGAGCCCAAAGATCAGCCCGGAAGTCGATCGCCATCGCCGAATGTCACACGGAATGCTTCCAGTTCTGGAGGCTCGGACTCACAATTACGCTATTTCTCGACGTATGGCAAAGCCAGCCTTGAGCGCTGTGTTTTACACATGTTCCAAAATGTCGACAACGCGCCGCTGCAGCGAGCCCGACCCTTCAGGCTTTGTCTATCGCTCATGGACCGGTGGGAAATTGGCGGACTGCTAGTATCGCAGATCTTCCTTCCTGCGATGAAGAGCCTCTACGAGTACAACTTGACAGCGCCACCGAACGATGTTGCTGAAGTGATTCGAAGTGCAAGCTTGTTCTTCGACGGCGTCGAAGCCAGCCTGATATGGGAGTGTTTGCTTGGCATCTTGAACGATTCATTCGAATCGAACTCTGACGCTGCACAAGGCGTCAAGCTGTTCAGATGGATTGTCAAGACTTTTAACGTCAGGGACGAGGAGATGCTTACGCTACATATCCCGCAGATGCTACTGTATCTCATCTGTGTTGTAAATGCGAGATCAACAACGCCGGAAGTGCGCGTGGTGCTGCTTGACGCAGCGATCGTGCTTTTGGACATGCTTCCTGCTAGAGTCTTCCAGCCATCTGTTGGGAAGTCTGGCAGAGGCGCTTCACCCTCCTTCCCAGAGGATGTGCCAGATAGCGCTGCCAGACGAGCAATATTGGAGTTCTATCGTGCTGGAGATCAGGCCGCTGGTCAAGTTAAGTTGCCTTTTGCCAACGACGCGATATCAAATCTCTTAGCTGTCAAGGCCATCGAGACTGCTGGGCATTCGCTCACCATCCTGGATCCAGATCTGTATTCTTTATCTACAACTTTTCTGGTGACACTGCTGGGCAAGGCAACGCTGCACGCCGGATTCAAGACACAGCTCAACACCGCGCTGCTTGACAAGTTTCGATCGACAGACGCGGAGGCCATCTCATTCCCAGCATTGAACTCCACTGTCAGTTTGCTGTCGGCTCTGGCCGCTGAGGAGGCGTATCTTTCTCCCCAGGACATTGTCAGTCTAGAACCCACATTGACATCCCAGCTGTGGGTATACATGTCTCCAGAACTTCCGAAATACCATGTCGAGGCTGTCAGGGTGTTTTGGCAGCTTCAAAGCCTGGTCAGGAGTGATGATATCGCGACGGCATCTCTTGCTGGACTTATCAGGAATGTGAGAATCTCTTCCACGATGTCCTTAGAGCAACGATCAGCTACACCAACAGCTACGACTGGCGTGGATGCAGATACTGCAAGAAGATTCGCTGTTCTGTGGAACCATTCAGTGTCCGTGCCAACCTCGAGGACTGGCGGTAGTGTCCGACGTGGAAGTACCATGAGTGTCCTACCAGACTCGAAACTCGTGAAGCGCAATCTTTCGGTCTTAGAACATCCTTTGGTGTTGATCTTAGACGCTCTACAAAATGCTGTAGGGGACCCTACTTCTGATGCCGTGAGAAGCTGGTTGCACGGCCTGGCGAGTCTCGAACAAGTGTTTCAGATCTTGCTGCGGCAGCTTCAAAGGGATCTACCGGTAGTCGGGCTTACGATAGCTCATTCGTCACAGGCAGCCTCTCAAGGGTTGTCAAGAAGAGAGCGCGAAGACCGAGCGCGCGATCTTGATCATGTATACGGTCAATTTTTGAACATCCTCACCCACGCCAGCGCGTGGACGTGGCGATGCTTGAGCAGCACCTTCCTGTCAGACGGAGTCAAGATTGGCGAGAAAGATGGCTTCCAGTTCCTGACGGAAACATGCGTGCAGGTCCTCTGCAGCGATCACTACTCGTCTGAAAGAATGAATAGGCGCCTGGTGCAAATCCTTGACATCTTGCTATCTTGTCCACTGGCTGAAGAGTTGAAATCGCTTGACCTTGATTCAGCGCTTCTGGATCGCTTGATGGTCTGCTTAACGGGGAGCATGAGCTCACTCCAGGGTGGACTACTGACGTTGGTCAAAATGGCCTTGAAACTGAGGCTTTCCAACTCCGTACCAGAGAGCCCACGGGAGCAGATACGGCCACGGGCATCCCTTAACACGAACCGTGCCGTTGTCACTCGATCTCCGTCTGCCTCCGCGCCATCTCTGGTGATGACGCCACCGCCACAACTCTTCAAGTGCCTGCAGATGGGGTTCTCCGCACCCAGCTCACGCTACYATCTGGACCAATGGCTTGCCTTCCTCGCAGACGTTTTACCAACCTTTGCCGACGCTATCTTCTCCAACTTGATACCGCTCGTGGAGTGCTTCTGCGGCGAGCTTACTAAAACCCATTCACAGCTAGTAGCAATGTCCCACACAGCCTCTCACATATCATCCAAGTCTCCCGAAGCTGTGCTGATAAACTTACTGGAAGGATTAGAGATGCTACTGAACCGAGCATACACATGCCTGCTTGCGGATGCAACTGATCCACCGCCACCGCAAGAGAGCCATGCAAAGCCCAGTTTTCTCACGCACGTGGCTGCTGGGATGTTCAAATCCGAGGGACCTCCCAGTAGGACTGCTCAAGCCAACAGCCGTCTCACCGTTATCCTTGCATTCCAAGATGCGATCCGCGTAGCGTTGAAAATGTGGCTGTGGGCAAGTAGTGCGTTGGAAGTAGCGGATATTGATGCATCGAGCTTGGCGACGACTGCATACAATGCGCTGAAGGTTCGTAACAAATCACGACATCTTCTCGAGCAGCTRTTTGCTGTCGAACCCCTTGAGTGCCTAGAAGCCAGTGTTGCGTACTGGTCTGGAGCCAAGACCGAAAACGAAGCATCGGCAGCTCTGAGCTTGCTGCACGTTATGCCGGTATCCACCCCGAAGAACGTCGTGCCAGCGATCTTGGATGCGTTATGCAGTCGTACCAATCCATCCGCCCTTCCTTCCACACGGCAATCCAGTCTGACCCTTGACATAACCCCCTCCGACGTTGCAACGTTTCTCTCCGCTTATCTGGCCTCGATTGAGGATGATGCATTGGACGAAGTGTGGTCGGACTGCATAACGTTCTTACGAGATGTTCTATCAAATCCACTTCCCTTTAGACAAGTTCTTCCGCATCTGCTGTCAATAATTCTCCTTTTGTCCGAGAAACTAAGCAATACCAACTTTGGGGAGCAAAGAAAGATGAGGCGCGACATTGGAGACATATTCCAGCGCCTTCTGACTGCCACTTTCACCACACTGCCTTCCGGCTATGCAACTGAGCCCGCACTAGAAGACACTGCTCGGAATGGGGTCGAAAACTCCAGGCATGCCACACTGGAGCACTCCATGACTCTGCTCCCGGTCCTGATCCGGGTGGCGTCTAAACTCGACCTGATACTGGAATCCCCCGAACGCATTTCAGCCGCCATCAACAATATTACAGCCAGTCTGGTCTCCTCGCTATTCAGAGCACGATCTTTTCCAAAGAATGTTGGAAACGACGTTCTCACGCTTCTGACCCATATGACTCGAAAAGCACCAGGAGCAAAACCATGGAAGAAGGAGATCGCAGACGCCTTCAACGATCCGAAACTTCTCTCTGCCACTCCAGAAGTGATGACGCAAGGCTGGTTCCCTGCTCTCCATCAGTGGTCTCTTCACGACAAAGACCGCGGCATGCCCGAGCTTCTGACGCGCATTACGCCACCCTCGAGCGCGGGAATCATGTTCGGCGTTGGCGCCAGCGCTGCTCGCCTTGAAGCCGATCGCCGCACACAGCTCAACTTGCGAAGAATAAGTATCTTACTCCTTGCTTCGCCTGAGGACACCTACGTTGCAAATTTGAGAACGCTGGAAGAAAAGCTCGCAGAACTTTTCGATGCGAGTCCTTCATCATCGCCTTCTGCAGCCATTAGAGCTGAGCTTTTCATTCTGTGCCGAACATTGGCGGTGTCTGTCAGTGCAGTGCACATTGCGCCATTGTGGCCGATCATCAATGCCCAATTGCAGATGGCTCTGCGTTCAATGCTGYCCGTGGGTGATGAGGCTGAGAAGAAAGATGGGTATGACAATCTGGCGTTACTACAGTGCTGTAAGCTGCTGGAGGTGCTAGTTGGGCTGGGACTTGATGAGTTCCTCTTGCATGAGTGGTTGTACGTGACTGATACCGTCGATGCTGTCTATGCTCCAGAAGGATGGAAGTCTGGAGCGCTCGCAGATATGGTGGGACAGGCTCTCGGCGACGATGGAAGAGACGAGGTACCAGCTGCAACGACCGGAAGGCTGGGTCTCATCATACACGATCTTGCAGTCGACAAGGATGACATCAAGGCGTTGCCCAAGGCAGAGTTCATACGGACTGTTTTGAGACCGTTCTTGAGTCAATTGAGCATCAGTGCTTATGAGGGCGTCTATGGCTTGGAAAAGGCGGATGCTGGMACCATCAGAAAGGAGCTGCTGGAAGACCTTTTGGATCTCGCTACGATGGTCGAATAGGAGGGCGACAATGCCGATACCATACATCACATTGACACGTCTGCGAGACACAGTATTAACGAAGCGCATAGCGTGAGCTCGGAGTCACGTCGCCCAAGCTAAGTTTAATAGCAGTTTGTACCACGACATTACCATGTCGTTAAGTCATCATCACGGATCAGTCACGAGTATATGCGGCTAGATAGTCCTTGAGTTTGCGATTATATGCTCTCCATAAGGCATATTTCATGCGGTGGCTCCGTGCCGTATCTACGACAACTGATGCCTTAAGAGCGTGAACTGGTAACAGGCACTTCTCATGGCATCCAGCGCCGCTCTAAAATCACGGTGGAAGGATCGTGGGGGATGGAGGCCGGGAAGTAGTCCTGGGAAGGTCCGGCACAGCTTTAGTTGGCACACAAGCACAAGCACTGCTGACTTGAGCCACAACCTCCTCTCCAGCGCAGCCAACTCTAGCATAATCTGGAATCAAGTTCTCCTCGGTCCTCTGTCGCAGAAGGTAGTCATGGCAAAACTCTACGCTCTGCTCTAGACGTCCCTCGATGTTGCTTGCACGGAGCGAGGTCAAGCAAGTGTTTGATTCACAAACAGGTGGTTTCGCGCATTCCTTGGACGTCATCTTCACAACGAAAGAGCCTCGCTCAATGGTGTGCACGAAGATGTAGCCCGATTTGAAGCCGGCGTATGAGTGCCAGGAACCTACGAAGGAGATGACACCGCCACCTTCTGCCTCGTCGTCTTCTGGGTAGACATCGAAGAAGCCGGCTTCGCAGATGCTGCCTCCGCTGGGGTCTTCGGTCACGGAGCTGATGTCCCATACGGTGAGGCCGTTCCTAAAACGAAGAGTTAGCGATGCCTTAGATAATTCTACTATGGCCAGGGGCTTTCTGTAGCTCAAGTGACAACTCCAAACTATCCTGCATGCCTTTCACCCTTCAGTGTACTCACCCGTAGTTAGATTGATACAGATAGCCGTCATAGATATACTGGTTGTGATCGATTGAGCGAGTGCGGCCCGCGAAGTTTCCGCTGTAATGAGGAGCCTCCAAATTCCGGATGTCGAAGATGTGGGTCGTAGGTAAGCCATTGGTTACTGATTCTGGGGTCTCGGCGTCTCTCTCATCAAATTCGTCGTCCAAGAAGAGGTACTCCTGCCAAGTGCGGTTGTTGACAACACCCTGGTGGGCATACTCGACGCCGGGGTAGGCAGTCCGAGAGATGATATTAGTGACATTTCCCACTTTGTCGGTAACATCATAGATCGTCAGTGTGTCCTCATTGTATCCATAGCAGATGTCACGACCGTAGTACTTGGTGTCTGGTCCTCTGTATACCAGACACTCAGCATCGTGAACATAGCMATCGCCTGCCGCACAGCCTGGGCTAGTGACATTTGTTGGATCCGAGACATCGAGGAAGATCAGTCCGCCTCTGCATGGCATGATCTTGGGGTCATTTGGCCTAACGCGAATTGTTTCGTTGCCAGCAACTGAGCCACATGCAATGGCATAGTTGAGTTCCTCATTCGTAACAATGTTGTGAGTTCGGCCAACAGGTAGCTCGTCCCAGTGAGCAAGAAGGTCATCCTTGCAAAAGATCTTGGGGTTCGCTGGATCGAGATCAAGGAGCTTCTTCATGTCGAAGAAGTCCACTCCGTGGTTAATAGCTTCCGATCCTATGACGATAGTGTCTCTGAGGGTGCGGATCTCTCTCCAATTGGACCCAACACCATCATAAGGCGGCAGTCGACCGAGATATGAGATCTTGCCCTCTGGAGTGATCTCAGCGAACTGTGAATCGTATCTGAGTCAGTCTTCTGCGTTTAGAGTTTAACGTTGTCTCCATACCGCGGTGCCGTCGTATTGACCAATGGCAACAAATTCCCGTCCGTCTTCTGACGTCCAGCCTGTCATGGATGAGCCTCGTCCCTTGTTGCCTCCTAACGCTGTATGAGGCAGGAAGTGATACAAGTCAATGTCTGGTCGCAACAGTTAGCAACTTTGAGATAGCCATCAACAGTGGAGGGGTCCCATCTTCTAGCAGTGGTTCACGGCCTCCCGACGTATCGAGACTGCTAAGACATCTACAGGGCTCCAGCCGATCAAGACTTTTGCAAACCTCGTGGCTAGATCCTCTGCTACTTCGGCGATGTTGCCTCTCCAACTTGGTATCGCAGCTCGACGAGGTGTTGACTATCTGACTTACTATTGCAACGAAAGGTATCGTTGGTAGACCCAGGTATTCCAGCGGCGAAGCCGTTCTCGCATTTCGTGTAACCGAGCTCAGGCCACTGCGAGCTGTTCATCGCTCCAGACTCCATTTCCGCGTCCCATTGCGCCTATGGAGATGTGAGTTAGCGAAGTAGGCTTCGGGATTTCAAACAGCAGAACCAACCATTTTGATGCCCATGATGTGGGCATGGACTTCGCCGGACTCATACTGCTCTGTGGTGAAACGAGCCACCGTGAGGCCTGCTAATGCAGAGCATGCAGCCGCAAGGCGGACTACGCTGGAAACCATGGTGTTCGAACCGTTTGTCTCGAGAGAGGCTCGAGACGCTCTGTTGGTTGAGACAGAGAGGGCAACTTACAGGGGACGCTCACGACTATATATCTTCACTTTACAACACCGCCATCGGCGTCATCGTATTTGCCATGCAAATTCAGATGGAACCCAAGACGGAAGCAAGTGCTTACTACTGAGGCCCTGTCTGCGTTTTGCTGCACGATAAGAAGGCACACCGGTCACATTTGAGTCTAGACGGGACCGAAAGATATCCAGAGTCTTGTCGTGCCGCCAAATGCGCAGGGTTGACAGTGTGAGAGAAATCCGATTCGTCCGTGAAGCTGTCGGTCGTAAAGTCCAATGCTATGACCTGCAGATACCAGCCATGCCACGTGCACCAAGGTCTTGGCTTGGTCGACGCTACGCCCAACAAAGCAGCCCCGAAGCACGCCAGCATTGGCAGCGCAGATGTGAGTGGGGAAACGTCGGATGGCGGGGACGTTGAAGATATTCGCTAGGGAGTCGAGACTATAGATCGGATAAGCCAACAGTGGACGGTTGGGAGCACGTCCGGTGAGGTATCCAGCATGATTCCGTGACAATAATACGCAGTCATTCGTAGAATCAGAGGGAGCCATGATGGAGGCGAGTGTTTGTTACCAGTACAATCACTCTGCTACGGATACCAGAGTACGGTCTTCGACAGACGACACTTCGTCGTGCTTCCTGACGCCCACAATTGCGCAGTCCTCCCTTGGGGCAGTCGGCTGCATACAAAAGAATGTCTTGCGGTATTAGAGTGGCTTAAAAACCTTTCCAGTAAGGGGCCCGCCTAGAACGGGCTCTTCGAAGCCTCCACGATGAAGTCACAGAGGTGAGGTTGGTTACGGAGTTGTTATAAGTTATGCTTACCGCAGTCTTCTAGGAACCCTTTGGGTAACGTGCCTCATGAAATCTGACTCATGCAGTGCTTCATTCGCAAGACAAGAGTTGGATGTCTAGACTCAGCAAGTCACAGCGGCTCCAATGATGTGTGTTTTGTGATGGTTGGGAAAATTCATGTGGTTGATGTTTTCCAGAGGTAAGTAGGTAAGGTAAGGTAAGGTAAGGTAAGGTCATTCCTGATTAGTCATCACGGGCTTGCTTGCGACCTCACATCATCAAAACCTTGCCACTCTGACCTTGAACTCGCCGCCCGGATCACGTCCAACGGCGCATCACCATTCCGACTGGACCTCACGTCCCAACTCTCACATGTCCTCAAATGTCCACGAAAGCTGCCTTGAAAGCGGCCAAGTCGGCGCTGGACCAACAGCAATACGACGCCGCCATTGAAGRGGCGCAGAAAGCCCTTTCCACAGATCCTCAAAACTACTTCGCTCTGCTTTTCCTAGGCCGCGCATACGAGAAGCAAGGCAGATACGAAGACGCTGCCAGATCGTACAAATCAGCTGCTTCCTCAAAGCCTGGAGATACGCAAGCATGGCTTGGTCTATGCAGCGTCTACGAGGCACAGGGTCCACAAAGGGTCGACGAGTATCGTGAGGCAGCTGTAGGTGCATCGCAGCTCTTCGCCAACGCTGGTGATCCTGAACGATGTCAATCAACCATCAACAAACTCTTCGCATTCACCAAGCAGCACGGAACTCGGGCCCAGAACAAACAAATCCTTCGCCTCCATCTTCCAGGAAGCCCCGTATACGACTGTCTAGAGGGAAGAATACCACATCCTTCGCATACCTTTACTCGTCTTGTTGAGATCACCGAGGATGAGGAATCGCAGTTCATCGCAAAGCAGATCAGTGAACGTCGCACCCGGATAGGAGCCAAAGTCGGACAGGTAACTTCAGAGGTAAAGCTACAGGTGTATCAAAAAAGTGAGCTCGAAGATCTCTACCAGCAGATCATCAATTGGTCCACCGATGACGATATAAGACGACAATACGAAGAGAAGCTTCTTCACCGCGCTTACGAAATGCTCGAGGTATTGCCGGCTGAGCAGAAAGTCTCGAAACTCGATCAGGTCCTTACACTTGCCGAGGGTATGGTGATCATACATCATCCTTTCCGTCTGGCCTGGGATTTAGTATTGGAGTCTCGCGATTTGGACGAGCTACGAGACCTGGATGTTGGAATCCTGCGAGAATATGCTACATCGTTCCCAGACAGTGGTCTTGCGAGGATATTCAAGGCATGGCTGAGTAGTGAGATATCACCTTTTCCAGCCCGACCGAAGACGGACGAGGATGATGATGACTTATCCCAACCTATCGAGCCGGAAGATCGCTTGCTTCTGTTCACGGAAGCCCTGGCAGTCGCAGGACAATCCCCGCTTGCACACCGTTTGGTGGGCGATTACTACCTACACCTGGAGGAGCACCAGAGTGCGGTGGAGACTTCGAGAACCGGCATTGAAGTCGTCGCCATTGAGGCTGGGAAGCTAGGAATGAGCTTCCAGAATACGAAAGATGCGCTGAACTCTGTATTGGCCACCGCACTTGTACATCATCAAGCTCCAAGAAATCATCCTGAGGCGAAAAGATTGTTCGAGGACATTCTCCAGCGCAAACCCATCTTCACTCCATCGTTGATCGGTCTTGGCTTGATTATGGAGGAGAATGAGGACTATGCAGATGCCATCGAATTCTTCGCACGAGCTTTGGAACAAGACAAGGGCAATGTGCGCGTTGGTACGGAGCTTGCTTGGTGTAGAGCGCTAAGCGGCGATTATTCACTAGCCGCAGCTGAACTCGAAGACTTCCTTCAGCTGATCAAAGCAGACGACCCACGTACGAGAGACTTGCGTGCGCAGACTCTGTATCGGATTGGTATCTGTTTATGGGAGATGGACACCTCAAAATCGGCTCGAAAAGATCGTAATGGCGCATATGGCCGTTTCTTGGCCGCAATCAGGACCAACGTTAACTTCGCACCGGCCTACACGAGTCTGGGAACGTATTATGCAGACTACGCCAAAGATAAGAAGCGAGGACGGCAATGCTTTCAAAAGGCCTTTGAGCTATCGCCTGCTGAGGTCCACGCTGCGGAACGGCTGGCGAGAACGTTCGCGGACCAAGGCGATTGGGACATTGTGGAGGTCATCGCTCAGCGAGTTGTTGACTCTGGTAGGACCCGACCGCCACCGGGTTCGAGAAAGAAGGGCATAAGCTGGCCGCATGCCGCCCTCGGTGTGGTTCAGATGAACAAGCAGGAATACCAGCTCGCCATCGTCTCTTTTCTCGCTGCACTACGGATCAGTCCCGACGACTATCAGCCGTATGTCGGGCTTGGTGAGAGCTATCACAATTCTGGCCGCTACAACTCCGCTCTCCGAACCTTCAATTACGCCTTGCAGCCTCACGATGGAGTCGACCTGAAGATCACAGGGGAGAGATGGTTCGCAAAGTATATGCTTGCGAACGTGTACCGAGAGCTTGGCCAATATGACGAAGCGTCTGCAGGTCTGCATGCAGTGCTTGAGGAACGTCCGACAGAATTTGGTGTACTAATGTCGTTGCTGCAAAACTACGTTGAGCATGCATGGAGATGTGTTGAGACTGGTCTTTTTGGCCAGGCTGTAGAGAATGCCAAAGAGGCAATCGCTACGGCCGAGAAAATCTCCGACGAAGCTCCAAACGCGTTCAACATGTGGAAAGCTATTGGAGATGCGTGCTCCATCTTTTCGTGGGCTCACGTGCATTCCCCTAGCTTTCCCATTGATACCGTACTGAAGTTGCTCAACTTGTCAGCTGACGATCTGATGTACGAGCCTCTGGCTGATGTCGACAAGATTTCGCTATCTCTATTGCACCAGAATGAGACAGATAGAAGTACCGCTCTTTCTACCCCGCTGATTGCGTCCATTCTCGCTTTCAAGCGGGCCATCCACTCTTGCTCCCACGATGTTCATGCGCAAGCGGTGGCGTGGTACAACCTCGGATGGGCCGAACAGCGAGCGCAAGTGGGAAGCAACTCCAGGAGTGGAAAGAAGCACAGTAGTGCTGCTGTTCGATGCTTCAAGCGCGCCATTGAGCTTGAAGCTGGTAACGCCGAATTTTGGAATGCTCTCGGGATCGTCACGACCACACTCAATCCTAAAGTTGCTCAGCACTCTTTCGTTCGCTCACTTCACCTCAACGAGCTTAACGCAAAGGTTTGGGCCAACCTGGGCGTTCTATACTTGCTCCAAAACGACACGGAGCTGGCTCAACAAGCTTTCGCCAGAGCGCAGAGTACAGATCCAGATTATGCCCATGCATGGGTTGGTGCAGGACTCATCTCATTGTTGACTGGAGATGTAACGGAAGCCCTCAACCACTTCACTCATGCTTTCGAGATATCCGACTCTACCTCAGTCATCGTCAAGAAGCAGTACGCTGTCTCGACCTTCGACTACCTCCTCACTGTCTCTGCTGCGTCAAAAGATCTCACCAAGCTCATTCAGCCGCTGTTTGCATTGGAGCAACTAGGTGCACAATCACCTCAAGACCTGCCATACCGCCACCTCGCGGCGCTATTCCTTGAGAGGGTGGGCAACTACGGTGAAGCGATCGAAACTTTGACTTCACTCTGTAGCTTGGCGGAAGCAGACTACGAAGCGTCCGAGTCACTTGCCGCTCTTGCACGATTCGCCTTGGCGAAGGCAGACCTTGCTCGTAATCAACTAGCAGCGTTGTGTTTCGCAGACGCCGCAGAGAATGCTGAAGTTGCGCTCGACCTGTCAGCTGACGCTGACGAAAGCGGCCTGGATCCTGAATCACGCCGCAAGCTGCGTCTTTCAGCTCATTTAACAGCAGGGCTAGCGCAATTCAACAATGGTAAGATGCAGAACAGCATTTCTATGTTCAAGGCAGCCTTACAAGAGAGCGCGAATGATCCCGATGTTGTCTGCTCTCTTGTGCAGGTTCTTTGGGCGCAGGGAGGTACGGAGGAGAAGTCAGTCGCCCGGGAGCAGCTCTTTGAATGCGTAGAGAAGAGCCCAGAGCATGTCGGCGCTGTCACGCTTTTGGGCGCCATAGCAGCACTTGACGCAGATGATGACACTATCGCCGCCGTCCGAGACGATCTGCTCTCTCTCCGCACCAAGGATCATTTGAATGCTAGGGATGTGAATGGAATCGAGATGTTGTTGTCATCGCTTGCAACACTGTCATCGAAAGAAGATGGAAGGACCAGCGTGCTCACTGAGGCGCAAACTGCCATACTGCTGAGGCCGGATGACGCGCAGGCTTGGTCCAAGCTTGGGGAAGTTGCAGGAGACGAGTGGGCCACAGAAATGGCGCTCAAAAATGCGACGAAGGAGGTTGCGCCATTCGGGGAAATGCAGGCGGAGGAGCTGGCGCAAGCATTCGCCGGCGCTGGCAGGATTGGCGATGCACAACGAGCGATTTCGATGGCACCGTGGTCTGTTCATGGGTGGGAGACGCTGGGTGAAGCCTTGAAAGGGTGAATATTGTGAGCATCTACCTGTAGTTTAGACGATGAGAGACGATAAATGGTAAATGTCGACACGCCTTTGAAGATGCCAATTTTCCGACGATACAGTGTTGTATCGCTGTAGACGGCAGCCTTTTTGTCACCAAGAAAGGTTGGTCATTGTCTGCAGATGCATGTCGCTAACGAAATCATACCGCAATGACTATTAGTCTTAGAGGGGTGAGTATGGCTGATGGTGCTATGATGTTATTGAAGCTCGTTGTCCGGAACTACCGTGACAGCTGAACTACCTGCAAATTGTGCAGAAAATAAATTGATTGGGCGAGCGATGTAATTGAATGCCAGGAAACCAGTAAATACATAAATTTTAGGCCATCAACGCCGACTCTGGCACTCTCAGTACCCTTGACTTGATCGAGGCCTCTGTCGTCAGCCCCAACAAGAGATAGTCACTACCCCAACCCTAACCCTGAGACGGAGACTAAGTTTCGGCAGGTCGCGATGAAGCCGCGTCGCAAAGACAACAACATCGCGTTTGATATCACCATGGATGACTGGACGGCTTCGGCACTTTTCTCGCCGTCAAAGGCGCGAGCACAACAGGCGCAGGCCAAGGACTGGAATGCCGTTGAGGCATGGCTATCCAAGAAGTACGGCTCACGCGTGCCAACGTTTGAAAGAAACGAGGACACGCTCCAAGCACTGTTGAGCCTGGCGGACCTCAATGAGAGTGCGGATGAACAGCGCAGCCAAGTGGAGAAGATACAGAGATCCGCCCTGCAGACACTGTCGAAGAGGCAAGATGGTGTCGCGGGTGAAATTCTTCACGCAGTGCTMGCGGAGTCAGCGAGCGACTCCAATCTTGACCAGCTCGCAGAAATGAGCATAGCTCTGGACTGCCCAAATGCAGATGTGTCTACCCTAGGTCGAGATATGGTGGATCTCACTTCGACAGAATTCGAACTGGCTCAGCAAGTCCAGCGGACCGATCGCCAGCTTGCCGCTTTAAAGGGCGAACAAGCACGCATCACCCAGCTGCTTCGACATCTCAAGAGCGAAGATTTCCAAGCTCCTGCCGATACCGTGGAAAACACCGCCGAGTGGGCAAGAATGTCTAAGCAGCTCAAAGCCAAAATCTCCGAATATGAAGAACGCCTCAGTACTTCGCGACCCGTGTCACGGTCCAATGGCGTCGAGAACTTGCAGCGCCGGCTTGCAGAAGTAGATCAGCAACATGAATTGCTGGCAAGTCTCGAAGTAGAGCTCAAGGCATTCCAGGATCTGCCTGCAGACGCGCGTTCGGCCAAAACGACGCTTGAAGGCGCACGAGAACGACTTCGAAGGCTCACAGAGAAGCGCGATGGCCTTTTTGAGAGTCTTGCGGACCAATGAAGAAGCTCGGAAGACCTCAGAGTAAAGTCTCCGCCAGTATCAACCTCGCTAGCATGAGAAGCCGCATCGCACCATCTTCTGGACCTTTACACCTATTTTGACCTTTCCAGTCCCGGCCTGCTTTTTTACACACGATTGTAGGGTGGTATGATCGTCTGCACGTTGGACGAGGGAATCGTCAAGCCGACAGGTCTGAAACATAGGTGCCGCATGTCGKCCATGTTACAAGTCTTTCCATATTTGGCTGGGAATGTCGCGATGCAAAGCCGATTTTGTATTGCAACGTTTCTTTCTATGCACGACTTCCCATCTGCGTCGCGAAGGCTGCAATCTCCTTCCCCACCTCTTCACTCGCCTCAATGCAGTGCCAATGACCAACTCCATTCAATACCGTGAGCTCCTTCTGCTTGCTRCCGAGATGGTCATGGATATATTGGACTCCTTCCACTGGCGCAGATTTGTCTTCGTCGCCTATGAACGCTGTTAACATCGGCGTACACTGGCCTAGTGTTCCATTCACGTACCAGCCAAAAGCAAAACCGGTGTCTGGATCTTTGCAAAGCCAGGATCTTTCATGTTGACGATAACGTTGCAATGCGAAGCATATGCGTTGGGATCTTGTCCCAGGATGAGCTCTCGGATCATGGCTCGCTGCAACGTAGTGCTTCTCGCATTGGTCGCTGCTTTTGGAATTGTGTTTGCAAGTGGTTCCATACCATCTAAGATACAGGTCAGCCATCTTTGCAGTTCAAGCAAATTACTTCATGTCGCACCTTTCATGACAGTCTCGATACGGGATGTAAATATCTCCGGCTTTACGGAGGCGGGATTGACCTGTGTAGAATGTTCAACACCTAAGAGACACCTCAACTCCAGCTCGAGTACTTACAGGTCCAATACAGACAACACCGGCCACTCTACCCGGGTTCTTGGCAGCAGTCGTCAAGACCATAGGTCCGCCCATCGAATGGCCTCCTAGGATTGCCTTTTCGATCTCGAGGTGGTCCATGAGTCCGATTACATCATCGGCCAGCTGCTCGAGCGTGAGCTGTTCACCTTTTGAATTGGATTGACCCGCACCATATGTCGTTGGAACCACAACCCTATGACCGCCAAGTTGCTCTAGGATGGGGACATAGTAGTTCTCAGACGACCCCAACCCGTGAACGAGAACGATCGGGAGTTTGCCGGCGTCGACATCATAACCGAGATCCGTGGCCTCTAAATAGTGGATCCGGTGGCCATTGATCGTTACAAACGGCATGCTGTTTGAAGTTCGTGGTCGCTTCGATAGGATTGTTGTGGTATTGTGTATGGTCAATGTCGAAAGTCGAAGGTAGAGGCCGTACCGGCTCGGTACCTCTCTTTCGGCCCGGATAGAGTACTCTCGGCACAAACTTCTAGCTCCCAAAGCGAACAATATCTCCACACGATCCCCACAAGTCGGATACTTCTGCGACACCCACCCTCCATTCGCTGTTCTTCAGGACTGGGTGCACACCTTGATCGGATCATCAAGCTCGCCACTAGTGACCGAAAATGTCAAGCGAGACATCACCTCAGAGGAGCCATGGCTACAGACATGATGTGAATCTCTCCAACGCATTTTGCGAGTTACCAAGAAAGTTATAAATGAGCTCTATACGCAGAGCCACGCTGTGCTTTGCGTCTCGAAACGCAGAGTTGATACCAGGCAAACTACCTCAATGAGGTAAAACTTTCAGCCTCTTTGATTAGCAGTCTACTTGRAGCGAATATGCGGTGCAACAGGAGTCACCTCCCCCCAATCCCCGCACCATCTGAGTGCTGAGTCCTCGGACATGCAGCTTGCAGCAGTCTCTATAAGAGTGGCAATGGTACGAGTGCCCTTTTCTTGCTAAGCATAACGATCCTGCTCGTTTCTCTCACTGTCTTTAATATGAACGACAAGGCCAAAACGTCTGAAGCCACGCACGCGGAGCAAGCCAGCGACATTGAATCGGTAAGGTTCCACAACCCCGAGTGACTCCAAGGCTGATGTCATTCAGAACAAAAGCGAAGATGCTTCCCGTGGAGCTGGCGGTTTCGTCGATGATAAGAAACGAGCTCGAAAACTCAGACGTGAGATGGACAAACGTATACTGCCACTATGCGCTTTCGTCTACCTATTGAACTAGTGCGTTGGTGATTCTTGCTAGAGCAATGGACGTTCTTGACTGACGTATTTCAGTCTCGATAGAGGGAACATTGGGAATGCCAAAGTCCTCAATAACGAGAGCCAGGACGATCTACTCAACCAGACCAATATGTCAAACACCGACTACCGCGTGGCAGTCTCGTTGTTCTCCCTAGCTTATGCACTGTTTGAAGTGCCCAGCAATTGGATCATGAAAAGATACGTCAGGCCGAGCGTATGGTTAGCGACTCTCCTTGGAGCTTGGGGGTGAGTCGTGTTGGAGTCTGCTGCCTTGATCATGCTGTGCTCACAATTCTTTCAGATTATTCACCATTGGATTCGCTGGAGTGCAGAACTTTGCACAAGTCACCGTACTGAGATTCTTCATTGGAGTGAGTACTCTGACAGAGGATGAACAGGTCTTATGAAATCACTTTGCAGACGCTAACGCCTACGATAGGTCTTTGAAGCAGGCTTCTTTCCGGGAATTGTCTATCTGTGGGTGTTGCCAGCAATTTAGTCCAGCAGTTGAGCTACACTAATCTGGCCAAGGATAACCTTTTGGTACCCCGTGGAAGAAAGATCTGTTCGGATAGCATTCGTGCTTGCATCCGCCACTGCAGCTGGAGCATTTGGCGGCTGCATCGCGTACGGTGTCGGTCATCTGAACGGCCGTGGCAATCTTGAAGGGTTCCGGTGGCGTAAGTATTTCAAGAGGMTCTTCCATTACACAGGCTCGCTAACACCTATTTAATCTCACAGTGTTCATCATAGAAGGTGTTATCACTGTGGCCTGCGTTTTCCTTGTGCTGTGGAGCCTGCCAGACTACCCGGCCCGCGCAAAGTTCCTGAGCGAGGACGACAAGAAATTCGTGCAAGACCGGATAGCTGTCAAAGGCGGTGGGTACACTCAGGAAAGATCATCTAGGAAAGAAGTACTCGCCACCGTGTTCAGCCCAAGAATGATGGCGCATTACCTAGCCTATGTGAGTTACTCCGCTGAGCACTTCTCACGCAGAGAGACAAACTGATCGCTCGCACAGCTGACTGACTGCGTCCCTCTCGGCTCTCTCACATTTTTCAGCCCGACGATTGTCTCCGGCCTTGGATATACGTCGATCGAGGCGCAGCTAATGACTGTCCCCCCGTGGGTTGTTGGATATGTCGTGTGTCTGCTGGTGGGTTGGTCTGCAGATCACTTCAATGCTCGTGGCTGGCATATATTCGGCTCCTCGACACTTGGCGGCATCGGTTGGCTCACGGCTGGTGAGTGTGAAGCCAATATAGCGATACTCTGGGTGAGTTTCGTCTAACGTCAATCTTAGGTCTTCTTCCGGTGGATGCCTATGCAGCTCGATATGGCTGCCTAATGCTTTGCGCATGTGGTGCCTTTCCCAGCTCGGGACCCCTGAGCGCGTGGGTTACGTGCAACGTTCCGGCCATTGCATGCATGGGAATTGCAACAGCTCTAAACAATAGTGCAGYGGGAGTATCTCAGATCATCGCGCAGTGGATATGGATTCCCTCAGAGGCACCACAGGGATATCCGACTGGCAACTATGTTTGTGCAGCTTGCAGCTTTGCAACTGCATTGATCGCCCTTGGAATGCGACTCAATTATGGTCGTATGAATGAATGCTAGGGCGGTGAAAGACGTGCAAGGCAAAGAAAGGATTTGGCTGCTGTAGATAAATGGACCGGGAGCCAGGCTGTGAGACCTTCTATTATTTGCACGTCGAAAGAAACGATATAGGTACAGTGCCTCTATCGACGTCAACCAACTTCAACTCACCCCTGTCACCCTCGATTGGACTCTAGATTCGGGTCAAAGTAAGCCCGAGAGCTGCTCGTCCGTTACAACCGCATTTAGGCGAAGTATCCCCGCACGCTTAAACATTCACCTGGCCGAAGCAATGTTTATGCAGAATCACGTAATCGCATGGCCAGGGAAAGCGATTGCGCCATCGACACATATCATTCAACTCTGCAAATTCATATTCTTGCCTCCACTGAAACCTGCAGCAGATACACAATGGCTCCTGCTCTCACAGAATCTGCCACAGCGGCGCMTCATTTGCTTTCTGGCAAGCATGTGAACAAAGCTCTATTCCCAGATGGCCACAAGTAAGTTCCCGTTCGATCACTACACATACGAATGAATGGCTTAGGCGACGATGCTTAACGACATGGTTTGAAGGACTTCTGGGCAGCACAATCCCATTGCCTCTTTGTTACGACCTTACTCCGACTTTCCCAAGCAAATTGAAGGGCCAACGGTGTGGAAAGCCGAGGATTATGTTAATAACCCGGAGAGATGGACGCATGTATTCTCAGAGGAGCAAATCGCCGAGTTGAGCACAGCAGCCGATGCCTTCATCGCATCAGGCGTACCCTTGACCGGTATATCGAAAACGCACTTCCCGCTACCCACCCTTGAAACATTCTTTGGCACAATAAGAAGGGAGATTATCAATGGTAAAGGCTTCATTCTCTTCAAGGGCGTGCCCGTGGAACAATGGGGTTTGCAAAAGTCTGCCGTAAGCCTGTCAAATCCAACCCCGAGTGTTTTCGTTGCTAATAATGAACTGTAGACTGCATACATGGGCTTAGGCGCATACTTTGGTTACTTTGTCAGTCAAAACGGGCATGGCCATGTCCTCGGTCATGTAAAAGACCTTGGCGAAGATCCAACCCAGAAAGATAGAGTTCGAATATATCGGACTAACGCAAAGGTGAGTGAATGCTGCGATATCATGATCTGAACATTAGCACTGAAACTTGCGAAGCAATACTTTCACACGGACGGAGCGGATCTGGTAGGATTGCTATGCATTGCAAAAGCTCTAGAGGGCGGGGAGAGCGACATAGTCTCCACGCATCATGTCTTCAACACGCTGCGAAAAGAACATCCAGACGTGGTGGAAACACTGTGTACCCCCAACTGGTATTTCGATCGAAAGGGCGAAGTTTCAGATGGCGAGGATCCTTGGTACAAGTCTAGTATTGTGAGCCAAATGTCTTTTGCCCGTGTTGCGAAACAATGGCTGACGCGGATAACAGATGTATCTCGAAAACGACCCCAAGTCACCGCGTGTATGGGCTAAGTTTGACCGTAAGACGCGCATTGAGCTTATTCTTGGAAGATTCTAATGCGAAAATACAGCAAACAATGTGACTTCACTTGCCCGGTTCAATTCCGGACCAAACGCTCGCATTCCGCCGTTATCAGACCGTCAGCAGCATGCTCTTCAAGTACTTGAGGATACTTGCTCCAGACTAGCCCTGCACATGATCCTCGACCCGGGAGATATTCAGCTGCTGAGTAATACCCACGTGTTCCACGCGCGTACGGCCTACAAGGACTACCCTCCAGGATCGGTTGATGAAGAGGGAAGACCGCGCATCCGCAGACATCTGATGAGACTATGGCTGAGTGTCCCGGAAGGTTGGTTGTATCGACCATTGTGCATCTTCGCAAAGCTGACTTCGAGTGTGTGTATAGACGAGGGTGGCTTTAAGCTACCGTACCACGACAGCAAAGAGAAGAAACGAGGTGGCATTCAAGTCAACGACAATCCTCCCGTGTGTCCCTTGGATGCGGAATGATTGGACGTCTTTATGGGAACGCACACCGACACCCTTGCGGCAGACCATCTGTTGTCCAAGCTAGGATCGATCGGCAGAGTGCAATAAGAAGTCCACGAACCAAGTTATTACTTGGGCTTTGTCTCAGGACAGCCTATCAAGTGCCTCGGTGAGATGCTAGGGGCRGCATGTGCGTTACTCTTTGGACCCTATGAAAGGCAGATCAATGTTGATGGACGCAGGGTGCTTCCCCATGCGTGACAAAAGGTAGAAAAGTYGCAAGGCTTACCTTCAATCGCAAAGATCGACAGAGAGACGCCTACGCATTGGCTGGAATTTCAAAAGTCAAGCTCGTCCGCGTGTGTGACAATGCAAAACGACTTTGGACGCCTTAAAGCTTATGGTGGACGGCCTGAAAGTCCAGGGCGTGCAAGCTTTTAAAATTCCGGAGATGTGCATCGAAAATCTCCGTATTTGGAAGGCAGGAGGTAGGCCTAATTGTCGACAATTGCTCGAAATACGAACATCCTTTCGAAGTTGGGCCTAATCATCTAGCTATATAGAGCCGGGAGAATGCTCTGAATATATTGTGTCTATCACACTTCACAGCCATCACATCATCACTTATTGCCCAGAATGAAGACTGTTCTCGCCGCAGCTATTGTTTCTCTCCTGACTTCGGTCCACGCTTTCGACGCAGTTACCGTCAGCAAACAGACTTGGTTCGGATGTAAGACTTGTTAACTTTCTGCGGCTCCGATTTTCTGTCTCTGACATACTTAGGGCCTGACAACTGCGAGGACGGATACACTCAAGGCTGTGGTAACAACGATGTCGCATACTCGTGCGCTGGCCGAAACTACAAGGCGGGCGGTGATGGCTCATTCAACAACCGTGAGATCTCCAACAAACTCAATTACATGTCAAAGCTAACTAACTATTGATGCCAGCATTGACCTACGCAACCAAGAAGAACGGCAACCTCCACAAGCCCTGCGAAGTTGCTTGGTGAGTAAACAAACATTCAATGACACTTGCTTGCTCCGGATAGATTACTCATACAATCGACCCAGGTTCCCCTACCTGAAGAAGTACCTAGTGATGAGCGACATCTGTACAGGCTGCGATGACAACCAGATCGACATCTGGATCGGAAACGGAGATGGTGGTCAGGACGAGTTGAACTGCGAGGTCAACTCCCCATCCGGAGGCGGACACAAGCTGATCCGCAATGGCGCTTCMAACCACGAGACCAACAGTACGCCAATGATATCTTGACTTGAGATTCGGACCATGCATGACTGACATTTGTTGTTGTAGCAAACGCACTATGGAGCTCTTCGAAGCGCTGCCAGGTTTCGAAGAATGTCTACCCCGATGGTAACTGAGTTTATGGTGCCGGTGACATTTAGGTAGTCAAATGAAAATATCCTTTCGCTCTATCGAGTTTATTCAGTGTCTTTCAAACTCCTTTGTAAGAAGCCAGCAGGAAGCCAGTAGTTGCATATATCGTAAATGCTATGTATGCCATGTATCTTGGTGGAGGAATCTAATCCGATCATCTTAACCGTGCAAAACTTCTCACACTGCGATCAACGATTTTGACATCCCCATTTACAGCGCCCTCAGGATTTCCGTTGCCGTTGCCGTTGCCGTTGCCGTTGCCGTTGCCGTTGATTGCAGTTCCCGACTTTTTCGCAAGCTGTGCTCGAACATTGGGCAGCACATATCGTCCATAATCAATGGCATCGTTCAAATTATCGTAACCCCGAATTGAGATGAGCTCGCATCCGAGCTCGACATAGTCCACAATAGAGTCCGAGATAGTCTGCCAACTTCCAACCAAAGCCGTGGAAGCTCCACGAGCATTCGTAGCCGTTACGGTAGGATACCAAAGAGCTCTATCTTGTACCTCTCCTCTTTTCGCAATATCAAGTAGTCTTTGACTTCCAACATTCTGAGGGGCTGGAGCGCCGGGCTTAACTTTCCCTTTCCCGGCAGCTGTATTGGCAGTCAACAGATCCAATGTATGGTGTGCTTTTGCCCATGCTAACTCTTCCGTCTCAGCTCCAATAGGGCGGAAAGTGACCCAGATCCTCGGACGATCTTTCCGTCCTGCCTTTTCGGCTTCTGCGTAGATTCTGTCGATTTGATCTTTGGTTTCCTTGAGTGGCTCGCCCCACAGGCCGAAGATATCCGCCAGAGAGCCTCCGACACGATAGGCGTCGTCTGATGAGCCGCCTACGGATATAGGAATGGTCTTGTTCACGGGACGAACGGCGTTGCTGAAGGCTTTGAAATGATAGTACTTGCCGTTGTGATCGAAAGGTTCCCCCGACGCCCAAGCACGGCGAAGAATCTGAATGTATTCCTCAAGGCKAGTATATCGTTCAGCTTTTGGCACAAAGTCGCCCTCGGCTGCTTGGTCGGCGTCGCTACCTCCTGCAATCTTTTGAGGGATATTAGTCGTGGCTGTTCTCGAGAGGATGTTGAGCTCGCTCAACTCACAAAATGTACCACGGCTCTCCCATTACTGAGCTGATCGAGTGTAGCCAGAGCCTTTGCTGCAACGGTAGGATACATCGTGTTGGGTCGTAGCGCGATGATGATTTTCAACTTCTTTGTGTGAGCGGCAATCGTGGCGCCGAGGGTGAAAGGATCGAACATGGATGAATGGTATGGCTGTAGGGTGTAGTTGAATTCGTAGTCATCCAAGTTCCTGGCATATTTCTCCAAGTATGCTGGATCAATCGCCGGGTTGGCCAGCGGGGTCAACTCAGTCGAGGCATTGTTGAAAGTTAAGCTAATAAACTCTACTGGCATTTTGGTGAGTGTCCTGGGGCATGTAGTGTGAAGTTTGGTCAGAATTGTTGAAATGTTTGTAGAGAAATGCCGAACGAGGACAGATTATAGCTGTGGTAGCTAGTCAGCTCTTGGGTGGACCTTGTCTGGTATGGCGAATACTTGCGTGATCCTGACGTCGCTCCGTTATTGGCTGATGTTGTGGAGAGTCAGTTGTGCGGCAAGGAAACAAACCTAACGTATCCGACAGACTGCAACAAACGCGTTGGCCGCTATGTTGATAAGACACTGTGCATTGGAATCGTTTAATAGTCTCAAGCCATAGTTGGCGTGATCTTTTGGGGGGTATCTTGAGACATCAACTGTGCTGGACTGTACACATCTGAATGAAAATGCACAAAAGCCACATGCATCCAGAGCCTAGCTCTGGTGATCCCTTCATATTGCCAGACAATATCCCAGATATCGTTCATCGCCCTCGTAAAGCGCATCTAAAGACCCCAGGCACGGTTGTAGTTCTTGAAGTTGAGAACGCTCGAGTTGATCTGCTGGAGGTTCGCAACTCCCACGTTACCCGCGTCCATTGCAATCTCTTTCTTCATGATCTCGATAGCACGGGCGACACCGGCCTCGCCGTACACATTTGCGAACATGAATGGGCGGCCCATACCCACAGCCTTCACGCCAAGAGCGAGAAGCTTCAGAACATCGGATCCATAGCGGACGCCTCCGTCTGCGAGTACCTCAACTTTCTCGAAGACCCATGGAGCGTTTTCGTGGATCTCCAGAGCGACCTCAAAAGCTAAATGGGAATGCATCGTTAGGCAATGACGAGCGTTGATCGATACAAGTACTTACGAGAGGGAGAGCCATCCAGTTGACGAGCTCCGTGGTTTGACAAGTAGATTGCGGGCGCACCCAGATTGGCAGCGATGACTGCGTCTTCCCATGTCTGGATACCCTTGAGGATGACTGGTAGATCGGTGAGGTTCCTCAATTGTTGGTAGTAGTCCCAGGTGAAGGCGGTGTAGCTGGAATCAGCAGAGCCAACACCGAATCTGAGTGCACGCTGACGGTTGGCGTCCGCAGGCGAGTCGATGGTGAGAAGGATGGCCTGGAAGTTGTTCTCCTCTGCCTCGCGAATCTGTTGAGTGGCACCTTCAATGTCGATGTTGGTGTAGAGCTGGTGGAAGAGGACTTGACCTTCTGCGCGGGCAGCCTGGACGTCCGCCTGGGAGCGAGTACTGAATTGAGCATTGCAGTAGAGGATACCGCCTGGAGTTGTGAGCTTTTAGTACTCTCAGCCTATGTGTTGGAGACTCACCCTGTGCAGCGCCTCTGGTTAGGCCGACCTCGCCGGTCTCGTTGCCATATCCTGCAATGGCGGCCTGCCATCATTGTGAGCCAAGTTCAGACCAACGATTAATAGGCGGCGAAAGATACATACCGGCGCGATGAAGAATGGGGCTGAGAAGTTGTGGCCCAGGATGGTGGTGTTGAAGGTCGATTCGATGTTGTTGATATCGATCATCGCTGGATCACTGTATTAGAACGGAGCATCTCACTGATGGATAGGATACCTACTCCTCGGTCGGAAGTGCATGCGTGAGTAGGCCTCCAAGTTATTCCTGTACGACCATTCACCAGCGGCGCCTGGCAGCGACATTCAACGTTAGTGATTGTACGATAATCGGCCAGAGCGGTATGCTTGGACTCACCGGCGCGGTAGTAGGTGTATGATGAGATGTTCATGTATCCACGAGCAACATATTCAAAGTCCTGCAGACCAATGATGTCGTTGACATCCGGCAGTGAGTCGACATCTCCCTGGTTGATAGTTCCGTACTGCTCGAACGCGGCAGTGTCCGGTTCGTTCAAGAAAGGACGAGTTGCGTCAACGCTGGCAATCAATGCCGGAAGCAGAACCGTGGCGACGGACGAGAAGTACATGGTCGGCGATATGGATGGGATGGTCGAGGGAAATCTAGCAAGGGAACTCGAGAGTTGGGTGAAGGGCTACGGCATGTTATATGGGCGCCACTGCTACTTTGGGCGTACGACAAGAGTTAGCAGTCAATGGGCGGGTGGGCCTCCGCTGGTCACGCTGTTCGGTGAGCCCTAGCCCTACCTCCTACGGATCCTGCGTAGCGAGCAGGATCGTATGGAAGTTTGGACTTTTGGCCATGAATGATCGACGGCGCTCCGTGTCTCTTTGATGGTCTCGCCCGATAGTCTTTGGTCTGTCATCTTGGCATGCAGGGGGGTAGGTGTCTTTGGGTGGCTCTCTTTTGGTTTTCTCTTGCACCACTTACACTCGGTATCATCGTCGACGTGGAAGCTCAACTACACTGCTTGACATGTCAATACTACTGCAGAAAGTTGAAATAAAATGCCTGTGTCTCGCAGGGTTGTCGAAATGCTCGTCTTCGTCTTGACGGCTGTAAGCCGGTAATTGTTCCTGGTTCAGTATGTTCACGAGCCACGACTTGTGATTMGATGAACGGCAGTGAAAATTGCCGCGCGGGCCAGGATGCCTTCAAGTTTCACTAAAGATCGGAACTACGCCTCTCCAGGACGAGGCGCACGCTGCCAAATCCCATGAAAAATGACGAATTGATGTAGATGCCAATGTGTTAAGTTACGTGTGACGAGGTCAGCAGCGTGTCGCGAGTCCAAGCCGAGAGGGGTGTTCTCCTCCCGGCGATGAGACGATTGTGGTGATTGCACCAGAACACTGAAACTACCTGGGAGAGTCGAAACCCCTCTTCCGTGGACTGCTTAGTATGTCACTGTCGGCGGTCTCGGATTGATAGCGAGATGAGATGAGGTGAAACGATCCAGAAGTGGCATGCGCAGAAATTTAAAGAGTATTTCGCCAAGTGGGGACAATAGATAAGACTTTCATTGGAGAAAGGCTGACTCCGATTGTACGGCCATTCGAACAGTGCGCAGGCCGACGATGTGTGGTGGTGTGCTGTGGTGTGGATGGCATACACCATGTCAAAGGAACAAAGAATAACTTGGTTGTGCGATGGAAAGCCGGAAAATTGGCGGGAAGATATCCTACATGACACAAACTGGATCTGTCTGTCTTGATGACTCATCCATTGAGTACTCTGAGAGACATGGCGTGGATAGTACCGTAGCCATGAAACACGGAGGTTCTTCTAAGTGACAAGATTATCGGGTTTGTTGTATTGCAAAGAGTAGTCATCTATCCAAGATCGTTATGAACAGGATTGGTCAAGTAGATTGTAGCATTTTAGCACGTGTAGAACTCTATCAGTCTATAAAGTGCAATCGATGGTTTCWAGGTAAGCTCACAAATTCCCCGTCACAATGTCTGCCTCTGTCGAAGTTGGCGCATACCCACCGGCCACAGCAATGTCTTGCTCCTGGCGTAAGAAGCAGTCACCGTCGAGTGTGTCGGGATCAAAGACATACTCTCTGGCCTCGGCGTTGAGCCAGCTTTGCAGAAGTTAGCGTTCGAACGAGGGCGGTGCCACGACATGATCGAATAGATACTTACCCGTGATTCCCTTCCCCACGCGCAGTGGCAGTGATCTGTCGTAGAATGTCGCCGTGAGCGACAAGAACGATCACTTTTTCTGGACGCTCCAAAAGGAACCTCCGGACCCAATGCGCTCGCTTTGGGAGAGCATCATCTCGGGAATCGGCGTAGAAGCCTTGCTTGCTCGTCCAGTCGGGAGTGAGGCGAGACAGATCAAAGTCTGCGAACTCTGGATCCTGCTCCAACACCTCGCGGGATGAACCCGTATCGCAGGGATAGTTATTACATTCCTGGGCTTCGGGAATGCACAGTACGTTCTTGATCCCCAGACGTTCGATGGTTGGCGCCCAGCCAAGTTTGGTGGTCTGCAGAGTTCGCTTCAATGGCGAGGTCACGACGAGCTCAACCTCATTTTGAAGGGACGTGGGGATCTGATGAACAAGGGAAGCGGCCTGTTTACGCCCAAGAGGGGTCAAAGGGGCATCGTGTACTGAGAATCTTGATCAACGGGAGGTTGAAAGGGTGGAGATGGTTGAACTTGGAGCTTACTTGACCAGTCATAGCCGACATTATGTTCTGCTTGTGCGTGTCGGGTGAGGATGATACGTGAGTTGGGCGCCATTATTAATGTACGATTGGAAGTTATGTCTTAAATATATGTGAAGTTTGAGATGAATGCTGGTGAATCATGTGAAAAAGCGGCGAGGTCACATTTGGGACAGGAATGTGACGTATTTCGTGCACGGTGGTGCAATAGGCTTCCGTAGAATCAATGCGTGTAGCAGCCACACTGCAAGATGGCCAACGTTCGCTTGTTTTTGAAGTCCGTGACATTCTCTCCATCCATCGTTACTCGAGCATGTGCTTTGGCGTTTTCATCTACACGTCTACCCATTCAACCTTCACATCTTCGCCTTGATCTCCTCCAGCAATGCCTTGAGCTTGTCCATGTCCGTCTTCTGCTGAGGCCACTTGATGCCCAAGCCCTGCTCCTCGTCGGGCTTGGGAATGACGTGGAAATGGACGTGATCTACCTCCTGATGGGCCAAGYGGCCGTTGTTCTGGAGGATGTTGTAGTTGGCATGACCTTGGGCAGCGGCAATCTTCTTGGCCACGGGGAGGAGCTCCGACAGGGCGTCGTCGGGAATGTCGGTCAGCTTAGCGCCGTGGTGCTTGGGGATGACGAGCTGCGAAAAGGTATATGTGAGTGGGGTGAACAGATTCGACCGACATGCCATCAAGGTGCATCATGGGACCCGTCGTACCGCGTGGCCGTAACTGTGAAGGGAGATGAATGTGTCAGCTCAAGTTTAGGTATATGTAGGCGGGCTTTGGATCAGCCTTCCTTGTTGATTACAACTTAGTTAGTACTTACGCAAGAGGATTGATGTCGAGAAAGGCGAGCGTCTTCTCACTCTCAAAGAGCTTCAGACTGGGAATGTCACCTGGAAACATTCAATGGATTAATCTTGACTTTTCTCCCTGCGGAATGCCAATTTCTCGGACCAGCTCCTACCCTTGATGATCTTGCAGAAGATGCAATTTGCGGCCATGATTATCGTTACCTAGGTACTGTTACTGAATCAAGTGTTGAGCTGGTAAAGTGCGAGTGAGTTGTGCCTCCCAAACTCCCATGTCAACAAGAGGGGCAGCAGCGATGACGGCGGGAGAGCGGAGGACCGGAGTCAAACCGGACCGAAGGCCGATCCATCATGAGAATCCGCCGAACACTCGACCGCGTCCTAGTCGACCATGCGTCGACTTCATCCAACTCGGAACAGCAGATGTGAATGGATGGGCATGCCTCAACAGGCAAACGAATTGCCCAAGATGAAGAGTTCAAGATCAAAGGCGCCGCGACCAGAATTGTCTCAGACCGCAGCAACAGAGGGGCAGAGACGTGCACCATCTGTCTGGAATCGATATCCGAGCGCGCAGTGGCAACTCCCTGTAACCACCTGACCTTTGACTTTCTTTGCTTGGTCTCATGGCTCCAGGAAAGGTCTACCTGTCCTCTCTGCAAGGCGGAAGTAAAGGAGGTCCAATACGACTGGAGGTCTGCAAATGACTACAAGACCTACCATGTCCCAAAGGCTACTGTCCCATCTGCACCCTCACAGGCACAGTATGCAAGAAATGTACGCCGAGCACATCGTCCATCAGTAGTGATCGAGGATCAATCCATCGAACGGCGCAGGCATGTGTATCGTCATCGGCTGTACTCGCTTCACGTGGGGTCCAATTGTCTCTCAGGATACAAGGATTTCTCACCGGACGATTACACTCGCTCGCCTGAGCTTCAATCAAGGACACGAACATTTCTCAGAAGAGAATTGCAAGTATTCACTTTTCTTGGCAATCGGGATTTTCTCATCGAGTATATCATTGCAGTCCTCAAGAAGTACCATGTCAAATCTGCCGATGGGAGAGCCGAGGAACTCTTGAGGGAGTTTTTGGGTGAGGCAAACTCCAAGCTCTTGCTGCATGAATTGCAAATGTGGTTGCGGAGTTCGCTTCCCACGCTGAGGGCCTGGGATGCGAAGACTCAGTATCGTGACTCGAGTTGTCAAGTGAATAAGAGTGCAAGCTGAAGCAAGCAGCCAGCAGTAGCCTGTCACTTTCTTTGCCGACAATATGCAAATGGAGCATTGGCCAGCCTACCACCCTCGGACGACTACTCAATACAATCTCACGCTTTGCCATGGCCACCACCGGTAAACATCGACTCCGATGTTCTGACAGCGATCACCAGACTGCAGGTGCAGCGCCGTCCATTGTGTATGGCTCGAGCCACTACACTGTTGATCGAGCATTGCCACTGGATGGTATCCGGCGCTACAGGTGGCATGCTCCTACTCCCCACACTCCTACTCCCCATAGAGGTTCCACCTCCAGCGAATGGTGTACGTCTTCCCCAACTTCTCGCTCTGGCTTCGATAATGGTCGATATGTCGGAAGGACTGCATGGGGTTATCCGCTGGTTCCGTCGCAGCACCATATCACATCGTTGCTTCCTCGATCGTACGTCCTCAGGAGCGGAGTCGCTCAATGCTGATCTACGCAACGAGATCGCTACACATACTTCGACTTGAATTGACAAACACATGGAGAAGATCTCACAGAGATGTGACCCGCAAACTTTATGCGTTATGCTCGTTTCATTTTTAATCCCACACTTGTGCTGGTCATTACAAGGGCAGATCGAATAGAGGGGCCGTTGAGTCCAGGGTTTTCAGCGGACGCACGGCCGACTGGCCTCACTCTGGTCTGAGTCTTCTCGACAGTGTCACATATCCATCGGAATTGACTTATTGATGGTGGGGCCATTCAAAATTCGTGAAAGGGGAAAGCAGGGATAATCGTGAGTGCGTCTTGAACTCCTTGAGCTGTGTTCGGGGTGCTTATTGTCTATGCAAGCATTTCTGTCGCCTCTGTGCCGCTCAATCGTGATGTCAACGTCCCAAAGGGCTCGGATGAAGGCGGCTCTCATAGCTGGGAATCCTGGCCGCTGGCCAGTGGCTGCTGGGGTATGCATGGTAGTCGCCGTCACGGAGCAAGCGACTACACACGCCGAGGCCGTGAAGAGCTCTAGAAATCTGCCTTGTACCATCACGTTGATTTTGTCGAGAGCCGTGAAGATGGCAGAACTCACGATGTAAGTAAATCTCATATCCAATCTCGCAGCCTCTCCCGATTGAAAAGATCATGGTGTGCCATGTAATTGGTTCTCCTTGGATGTTTTATGTTCCCCGCTTGTGTTGGATTTGCGCTTCATTTGGTCGTTAACTGTGTGGAAAAGCTGTCTTTAAAAGCTTCGGTGTTTGCTGCTCTTCCATAACTTTTCCACTTCACGACATGCACCTCTCACAGTCACTTCTTATCAACATCAGTCCAACTCACGAGGCTATTCTCGAAGAGGCCTCACGGTAAGTTCCACCACTCGTCTATCCAAAAGATGGCCCTCGAGTGTAGCGTGTCGCTAGTCGCTATCCTGCGGCCGCGCTCCAGCTCGAAGCCAGCCGCAACACCGCGACAACTTCACTCCAGAAGCCCATCACATTCAAACCAAACACGACCAAAATACTGACATCCACAATCTTCTCAGTCGGACGCTAGCATGCCGCTCTCCACCAAGCAAATGGAGTATCTCGCTCTCGCCTGGCAATGCTTCGACACCGAGCCAAAGGTACACGACATAGCCTGCCTTGATTTCTCGGGCAAACACATGCTCACGACATATCCCAGATCGACTATGACAAGTTCCGCGAGGTTGCTGGCCTCGCCAGCGCCGCGTCCGCACGCGAGCTGATGCGCGTCACCAAGAAGAAGCTGAAGGAGGAATACGGTGGGTCGCAACCACCCTCATGGATTGATTGCCACAATTTTATCTAACAGGCGAATCTAGGTGCCCTGGGAGCTGAGGTCGCTGACAGAAATGGCAAGACGTCTCCGTCTAAGAAGACTGCCACTGCGGTCACTTCGACACCAAAGTCGGGCGCCAAGCGCGGTAGACCTCCCAAGTCTCTTACTGAGGACGATGCTGAAGAGGACGTGGACGCACCTGCCAAGAGAAGCAAGCCTGCTTCGAGCAAGAAAAAGGCCGCTGAGAAGAAGAATGGCCGGATCAAGGTTGAGCCGGACGTCGATGYAGGTGCAGATGCGGGTGCAGATGCAGATGCAGATGCGGATGCGGATGCGGATGAAGAAATCATTTTCATTTGAAGTTAGGTCGCCTCTGTCAGACAAGACCACTTGTTAAATCGAGAGGGGCCGCCTTGATAAGGAATTGGGGAAACAGCACTGGTGAAGCCTGGAGTTGGTGGCGTCTTTACTTCTTTCTGTACCTTGGGCCCACTTGTCGCACAGACATCACGGAGCGGAATTGAAATTCTTCAAGGCAAGAGCGTGCATTACTGTCGTGATGATCCAGTGAGATGCGCTTTGATGGCAGCGCTGAGCTATGTCATGTGTTATGCACCTATGTGTAAGACATCCTGACCGAGCCTCTCTAACCAACCCCAAATACCTACATAACACAATGTTACTTAAGACATCCTGACCGAGCCTCTCTAACCAACCCCAAATACCTACATAACACAATGTTACTTTAACTACACTCCAGCTTCTTCCGGCTTGACATCCAAACTGTCCCATTTGATGGCGCCGTCCTCGCCGTATCGCTCAACCAACCACTCGTTTGCCTTTTTGAAATGCCCACAATCCAGAAAGCCTCGGTGCGCACTCAACGGGCTGGGGTGTACAGCTTTGAGCACAAGATGCTTCTTGGTATCAATCCCGGCGCACCGCTTTTGCGCGGGCGCTCCCCAAGCAAGGAAAACCACTCCTTTGGTTCTCTTCGCCGCCACCGTATCGATGACTTTCTGCGTGAATGCCTCCCAGCCTTGTTTGGCATGAGAGTTGGCATCATGGGCACGGACAGTAAGGCRGGTGTTGAGCAGAAGCACACCGTTGTCAGCCCATGGAGTCAAGAGTCCACCGCCATTCGGCGGAGGCGTAAATTCTGGATAGTCGCGCTTGAGTGCTATGTACATGTTCTTCAATGATGGTGGCGCTTTGGTGGGAGGGCGCACGGAAAAGCAGAGGCCGTGTGCTTGGTTGACATTGTGATAGGGATCCTGACCGAGGATCACGGCTTTGACGGTGTCGAGTGGCGTGTGACGGGACCAGGAGTAGACGTCTTCGGAGGGCGGGAAAATTTGTTTCCCCGCTTGAGCTTCGCTGGCGAGGAAGCGCTTGAGTTTGAGGAAGTCGGGACTGGTGATTTGCGAGTGGAGTACGGCCAGCCAGCTCTCGTGGAGGGTTGCAATCTCCAACTTGAGCAGACCTTTTGTTTCATCGGACAGCTTCGCAAGCCATGCTTCCTTGTCGAATTTGGTGGTGGTGGTTATGGGCGAGGGCTGTTGTGTTGGAGAGCTTGCTGCGGGTTTGCTGACATTTGCACCGGGAGTCGTCGGGCTGGACTTGGGAGCAGAGAAGAAGGATGTGATGGACGCGTTGGCTTTGGGCTTCTTCACCGAATCCGTGGCCAGGTCAGCGGCTTTGCGTTTGAGAGACATTGGTATCAATGGGATGCAATCAATGATGGGAGGATGATTGTACACTGATGTGATGCTTCATCTGAAGTCGGGGACGCGATGGGAGAGACGCGATGAAGGGGACCGACGCGTCGGGATGACGTATGCTCTTGTATACTATAAACTCTACATCAAACTCGGCTTGCACGCCAACTCCTCCACACGACTCTCACTCTGCTAACTTAGTTGCTTGGGAGGGTAAAAGTGTTTGGAACTCGTTAGCAAACCAACGTCACGCCAGATCCGAGACTTTCAGAGACACCGTCATGCGTGGTGAAGGGCCGAAGTCCAGAAGAAGCTGGTAGACGACATCTCATGTGGTATCGCGGCCGCCACTCCCACGAAAATGGTTCAAGACGCTGTTCAAGCCGTATTCGTGCATTCAAATGTATATGTCGACATGGCAATCAGCTCCATCTCTTCACTACCTACCTGGTCGACTGGCAATCCTGTCCCGAGAACGGCCCGGCAAGGTACACCGTATCATCGGCCAAGCGAGGGCTGCATGTGGCATTAGTGTCGTGTTGGCAGAACTTCCAAYTTACGATTTGCTCCTCTTTTGCTTCGTTCACATCTTCCAACTGTAGATAGCTGGGAACGACCGAGCAGACACCATGTTCCCCGCTGGGAGCACACTAATCGCTGCTGGAACGTTGCTGATATCCCCTGCTCTCGCTAGCTATGCATTTTATGTGGGCAAAGATCTCACGGCAGACGGCAGTGTCATGATCGGTGGAACGGGCGAGGAGGTCAGTAGCCACTGGCTACAGCTTTTCCCTGCAAAGGATCATGCTCCCAACGAGACCATCACTGTCGGCGTTACAAAGAGTGCTGTCCTTCCCGGAGAACTCATACAGATCCCTCAAGTCAATCATACTTATCGATATCTATCCATGGAATACTCTGATTACGAAGGATTTCCAGCGCCTCTTACGAACGGAGGCTTGTCTGAAAGAGGCATTGCGGTTCGCGACGTATGGTATGAGATGCCGCTTCGAACTTGTCCAATCCCTGCTAATCATCGACATGTTCTAGGTCGGATTCGAGATCGGAGCTGTATGATATGACTCCTTTCCAGCGGGGTCTGCAGTATAGCGACCTGGCTCGAGTAGTCCTGGAGCGAGCCAACACAGCTCGTGAAGGTGTTGAGATAATCGGCGATATGATTGCCAAGTATGGATACGCTGACTATGGTGGTAACTCTCATCTTATTGCAGACCACAATGAGGGATGGGTTGTCATCGAGTTCGCGGGAGGCCAGGGTCTCTGGGCGGCAGAACGACTTGCATCGGACGAGGTGCGGGTGTTGTATCCTGGCTATATCCAAGACTTCCCCACCGACTTTGAGATGAACAGCACCGACTTCATGGGCTCGCCAAATCTGGTCTCTTTCGCCGTGGAGCAGGGTTGGTGGGATCCGAACGGCTCCAAGCCTTTTAACATCTTCAACGTGTACGGCCTCCAAGGTAACTACACTGCTAGGGATGGCGGCTTCAAATACATGTCTCAGGCTGCACTGGAGAATGCAACCATGGAAATGGCTCCCCTAACAGAGGAAAAGCTCATTGAAAGAGTCCGAGATTATCGCATCTCAGATGATGAAGCAGGTTACGGACAAGTGCTGAGTCTCCGCGAAGGGACTGACCCAGATCTTCTACGAATCTGGATAGCTCCAACGGGATCCGTCACGGCGCCTTTTACCCCTTACTGGATGGGCGTGGAATCAATCCCAGCAGAGTTTGGTGAACATCGATACCTGACGACAGGAGCGTCGAGTTCATTCTTGAATCCCGACTACCAATTCCAGGAAGCTACGTACTTKGCCGGACGGGTCTTCAAGCAAGTACTGTATTATACATGCTCACAGCCCGAGATGTATCTGCCAATCGTGCAGAATGTGCTGAAGGGCCTTGAAATCTTTTCGCGCARTGAAGTCGATCTATACGAGAAGGCTGCCATGGCACTGTTGGATGGTGGTCATCGTGAGGATGCTAACAAACTGCGTAAGTGTGTTGCGTTTTGTTTTGTCTTTTCAAGCTAATGTCATCGCACAGTCACGTCGTTTTCTCACTCCCGAGCCTCGCAGGCATTGGCGACTGGAAGGACCTTGGTGGATGCCCTGGATTCGTATGTGAAGCTTACGGGAAGATGGCGGTCTCCCATTGATACCYTGATTAACGATGATGGAGAGGGTGGTGAGACTGTGAACTGTCTTGTTGGTCTGGATCCCGATCAGCCCGTTTGGAAGCAGCCTCAGATGCCCATCCGGCGGAGTCCAAAGAATAGAATGCGCCTGTAGCGGGACGGAGTGAAGGAAGAGGTATAGTCAGGGGCACTTTCGAAGGCCAGACGCTGGCGATGATTGGGCTTTGCTGCTCCGCGTAGATGGTTTCCTTGCTAAAGTTGTCACCCGGCTGATATCGCGCCGGGCTGAGTCAAGAAAGATGACTTGGCCACACCGCAATGAATCCTACGCATCTTGAGCGTCTCCATCCTTCTGCGAAGGTTACATCAACCGAAAATGATTGTTGTCGGGACATTGGAGTCATACACCACGGTTTGATCCTGCAAGGGACGGCGCGTAAAGTACGCTGGAAGAAGAAGATGCCGCAACCGCCTGAGAACCAAGCGCACCTTGGGACATGCTAGTGTCGGAAAATTGTCAAAGCTGATGTTCAGCGATGATGAGGCGCGAACAATTTCCAGATATCGTCCATCATGTCTTGCGTTTGGTCTCATCCACGACGACTTCATCGAGAAGCCTGACCTCAGGGTGCGTGCCTTCTATGGTGTCCACATTCGCAGTGTTACGGCCATCATGTAACGTATGGGGGTATACTATCTGAAATCGTGGTTAACTTGAGGTATGTCTTCTACTTACGAGCACGCGATGAGAGTGAGCCGTCATACGGATTTATAACCAAAATCCCTTACCTCAGCATTGAGGATCGGCACTCTTCCAACCTCACTCCTGCATTAGCGGCAACTATGGACCAAATGTCTGGCCCAAATTCCCGTGTCTCAAGCCCCGCAACCCCTCTCATGACGACGGTGGCCGGATTTGCGGTCTGGACTTGCGTACCGTTTCGATGACAAGAGCTATATCCAGCTTCTTCGATCACTCAACTTTAAAAGCTCATTTGTTATCTTCTTCATATCCCTTCTAAGATCCAATATCCACCCTTTTACTCATCATCACAAGTCCAATCGCAAAAATGGCAGAGCAGTGGGAACAGACATTCAAGACGTTTGGTGAGAAGACATACACCATCACGCAACTCATCCAGAACGCAAATGAGGGCGATGATTTGGAGGAGCCATTCAAGGTGTGTGATTCTTTCCTACTATCTAGGCTAGCTTCGAGCTGCACGAGAAGAATGCTGACGTATCGTACGTCCTCAGGAGATCAAGCAAGCGCACGATGACATCGTCAAAGAGGCCAAGGAACTTCCAAACGATATCCCAGACGTCGATGACGATGGTGCTCAACTGGAGCTGAAGAATGCTGCTGGTGATGTAAGTCGATTGATATTCTCACCTTGCAGTGACAAGTCTAACACATTTTTACCATCCGCAGATCGTCATCGCAGGTAACAAGCTCATTGCGGCCATCACCGAGAAGCTCGACATCTGGAAGGAGAAGAAGGAGTTGGGCAAGATCATCAACAAGGTCATCCTGACCAACAACGACGTTCTGGACAAGCCGTACCCACCGAGCAACCCCTACGCGCCAGAGATCCAGGGTCAGGCGAAGAAGCTTCAGACGGAAGCCGTCAAGGTGAAGAAGCAGATTGAGTCGGCAGAGTAGGAATGCCCTTCAAGCGGTCGGAAAGAGACCAGACTCACACCGTGTGAAGATCTGAATGCTCGTCAGCCGAACAATTAAACGATGGAACATGAAATATCATACAACAACGATCAGTGACATCTCATTGAGCATTGAGTGGGCATGAATGGGTGTCACGAGCATCGCTGCAAACCCATGTTTGTGGGTTTAACATGCTGTTTGATGAATCTACTATGATCTCTACCACCAGTGCAATGAGCTTACAATCGCAAATGTTGTTGACGTCTGGAGGTTGCAGCCCTCGCAATGCCAGGACTTGATCGCTTGCTGCATATCTGGTAACGAGAGGGCGTAACTTTCGGTCCAAAAGCCGGCCTTGCAAGGATCCTGTGATGCCAGCAGAGGTCACTATGCAAGCACTCTCTGATGCCTTGAAACATTGATGCTGATCGGTATGACTACTATGGATGGTCCTCCTCAGAGTCGACCATGGCTGTTCTGCAACGCTGTAGCACGGCAGAAACACAGTGCCCCAATCATCACTCCTACCACCGATCTAGCCAGTTCCACGGCGATAAGACCTCGGCAGTCAACTCCCCTCCAGATCGACAAACGCCAAAAGATTGACGACAGCTTGCAAGTAATCCGTCGAAGCTGTTTGGCCAGACGCATTTGATTCATATACACAATTCCTTCTCCGCTTCCATCACCTTTTCTTCCCCTCCCCACCATCGCCTAGATCTATCGTGCTGATTGCGAATCATGGCAGAACTCCGCGAGCGCAAGCCAGCGCCCAAGCAGGCCCAAGCACCACTCCGAGACGAACACGAAAAGTCCAAATCCAAGCCTTATGAAGAACCCGATCTGCAACCAAATGTCTTTGTCATGATTGGCATGATCGCGGCATTCTTTGCAGCCCTCGGGGGACTGGTATACTACAAAATCGACAATCGGGAACATGGTCCGTTTGCGAACTGGGTCAACACGAATTATCCAATCATCGATCGAGCCTTGAACAGACAAATCGGAACTTCGAAGCCGTACTTTGGAGCATCCGCGCAGTCGACGGCAGATGTGGTGTTGAAATTGACCGAGGAAGAGCTCAAGGCATACGACGGAACTGATCCGGAGAAGCCCATCTATCTCGGCATCAACGGGATCATCTTTGATGTGTCTGCCTCGCCTGCATTCTACGGCCCGGGAGGTCACTACAACCACTTTGTCGGGCAGGATGCTACCCGAGCGTGGGTGACGGAATGTTGGGATGAGCCGGAGCAGTTCACATGGCGTATGGATGATGTAGAGGTCATGTTCAAGCCGAAGTGGTTGGACGAGCAGCTGGAGAATGTCGGCCGTGGGATATACGAGGATGGCCTCGAAGATATTGGTGGTATGCCTGAGGGAATGGTCACCGAGATGGCCAAGAAGGCTATGGAGCGGTTTGGAACCGTCACCGATAAAGAGAAGGCGAAGAGGAGAAAGCAGGACAAGGAGGTAGCCCTGGCCAAGACGAAGGAAACTTTGGATCACTGGGTCAAATTCTTCTCGGACAACCCCAAGTACAAGCAGGTCGGTGAGGTGATTAGGGATGATAGTCGTCCGGCTCCACCAAAGCCATGCGCCGCGGCGATGAAGAAGCGGCCAATGAACGGCGGCAAGCTTGACGCTATGACGGGCAACATTGGGGGCAACATGTTTGGTGCTGGCGGGGCGGCCGCTGGTGGACCTGTAGGCGGGCCTCCTTCTGATGCGAAGGCAAAAGGGGAGATGCCAGAGTCGGTGAAGAAGATGCTTGCGGACAAAGCAAAGGACGCCAAAAAGAAGGCCGAAGGAGTCGCTGGTGACGTGAAGGAGAAAGCCAAAGGGGTGGCTGAGGATGTGAAAGAGACTGCCGAAGATGTGAAGGAGAAGGTTGGTCTGGGAGAGGAGGACCACGATGAGCTGTAGACGGTAGTATGATCAATGCACATATTAGAGACATCTTTGATTGGGTATGTCGCCGTGCGATTTTCAAAAGCTCACCCAGGTTCGGCAACATAGGTGGTCATACTAGGGGGTGTCAGCAAAGTACTGTCCCCGAAATCTAACGGCCAAAAGCTCCCGGCAGGTGAAGACTGTCGAAAAGGACTGATCGTTTGGTCTCTCCCCACTTCTTCCAGCTCGTGCGAAGACCTGGTACCATCGCTCTCATTTGACTCGCCACTCACGTCCACCACACGGGGAATGCGTGGAACATCTAACCCTACACCTCCTAGTCTCGCCTGCAAGATTGGCATCAGTGCGTTACTCCCTCCTCGGAAACTGCCCAGAAGTGTAGCCAAATGCACGAGACTGTCTTTCGGCCCAAACTCTGGCACTGATGTGACCGAGTGGGTGGGCAGACATGTGATGACGTCTGCCAGCGAGTTTGCAAACTCGAACAATTTGAGTTCCATGCCTGGACCGTGTGCTTCGAGTGCATCGATGGAGAGTTGTGATATGGTGGAGAGAAGGTCGCGCGTCGCTTGTATGGGAAAGAAGATGCTATCAAGAGATTCGGAAGGGCTGGTAGACATTTGCATTTKGGAGACGGCGAGTTTCCATAGAGAAAGTCGCATCCATTGTTTGGTGACGAGAGCATCGGCACGCTGGATGGTGTTGTGTTGTCGGGAGAGCATTGGTAGAGCTCGGAGATCGGTATCGAGAGCGGTGAGACTGACGGTGGTTGGGTTGGCGTTGTCGAATGCTTGGGAAAAGTGTGCGAACATGCTGCAGAGGAGGGTGAAAGCGTCGAGAGAGAACTCTTGATTGTTGGAGGCTAGGCTGGGGAGAGAGGCAGGGATGGATACGGTTGAGGGAATGTCATATTGGCTGGCGTGGGCTCTGTGGGTCATGTGTTAAGATCCCCGGGTTGGAATGGAATCGAGGATGAGATCTCACCTGTCTGTGATGAACAGAAGCCAGATTACCCTAAGGCTCACCTGCTCTTCGTCGCGTGGTAGATTGGCATAGAAAGAAGCATTATGCAGATTCAGCAAGTGGGCCGTGGAGATGGCCTCTTTCAGTAGTAGAGTGCTGGTCATTCGCTGTCCAATGTGGATGTAAGCAACATGCATGAAGAAGCTCGTTCGGAGAGAGTCTAGGGAAGGATATTGTCGATATCTGCGTGTATACCGAAGATGTTCAATCTCGTCAATCATGGCTTGAGCTACTGGCGTTTCACCACCATCCATTGCGAGTTGAAGCTGCAGTATCGTGGCCGCACATATGCTCGCCGCGAGCATGTAAGCTTCAAAATCGGGCTGAAAGTCGTTCAGTCTGAGGATGAGGGCATTGGTGTCGACTATTGGCCACACAGGAAACATTTTGTGGTTGTAAATGTCAAGATATAAGGTAAGTGTGGCCGTGCTGATCTGACCAATGCCATAGCTGTGACCTGCGTCCTGATCTGCTGGAAAGGAGTTCGTAGCCAGGTGGTTCACACGTCCAGACTCGAGTTGATCGCCCTGATAGGATTGATGAGTCTCCGTTGTGGCAACAAGCCGATCGAAGGTCTTCTTTCGAATGCTTTTAGGTCCCATCTTCTGCCTCGGCCGAAGCCTGTGACATTCTAGTGAAGAATTGAGGCATCGTGAGCACGGGTCTTCTCCGTCACATTTGACCCGTCGAATGGAGCAGGCGTCACAAACYCGACGCATGGTCTAGTCGGCATGAGCGATGGCCTGCTCATTCGATCAAGCAGAGCCTATTCGAAAGATTCTGAGTCGTGGCAAATGTCACGTTGGTCAAAAGACGGGTCAAAGAGGTTGGAGAAGAGGAAGCGCCATGGAAATCGGGCTTGGTAGTAGGTACGACAGTCTCTATTACATAATCCAGATACTTCGGCAGAGAATGCTTGTCCAAGGACGTTTGACGTGAATGTGGCTATCGATTGGAAGTCATGCTATTCTTTCGTCCCTCGAAACACGCTCTACTACACCCAGCAAGTTCAACAGGTTATCTTCTTGGCAACATCTACAGTCGACTTCTCTCGCCGGAGCTAGTGCAAGCAAAGGCTTCAAAGGGCTTCAATCGAAGCGTTGACCGATCCAGAGAGAGCTCATCGTACGTACTCACCAGTAGACGACTTCCTCTCAGATCTACCGCATTGCCGGGTACTTTCCATTCTACATCCTGCTCCCGAAAGTTGCAGACTACCAGAACCGACTCTGTGCCACAGCTCCGAATGTACGCAAAGACGTCGTCGTTCTCGGCGTCAATCATGTTGAAGTCTCCATAAACGAAGACGTCGGGTAGTGCCTTGCGGAGCTTGAGTATTGCCCTCCAATACTCGAACGGGCTGCCGCGAACTCCGACTTGATCATTGGCGTTACATTCAGAGTAGGTGTCGTTGACACGGAACCAAGGCTGACCGGTGGTGAATCCTGCATTGGACTCGGCTGACCATTGCATGGGCGTTCGAGCATTGTCTCGAGATTTCAAATGATATTGGAGTTTCGTCTTCTCCAGGAAATGCTGTTCACTCGCGTCCGTGTTGCTCAACTCCTGCCAGTGATTCAGTGTCTCAAGATCTCGGAACTCCTCCATGCTCCAATCTGTTGGGATGTTGGACATGCCCAGTTCTTGTCCTTGAAAGAGGAAGACAGTGCCACTTTGTAATCCCAGGAATGTCGCAAACATCTTCGCGGATTGCTGTCGGTACGCAGGACTGTCGGATCCCCATCGGGAAATGGCCCTGGCTTGGTCATGGTTCTCTAGGAACAGGGCATTCCAACCGTTGTTCTCGTACATGAAGTTCTGCCATTTGTTGACAATGCTCTTCAACTCGGACATTTGCCAGTCTTTTGCAGAGAACTTTCCTCCAGCACCGTGGTCAATACCCTCCACAATCTCAAAGTTGAAGATCATGTTGAGCTCTCCACGGTCGCTTCCAACGCATCGTAGAATCWCATCCGGGTCAGTGATCCAAGGCATTTCTACGACAGAGAAGGCGTCATACTCTTTCATGATGGCGCCAATATCTCCCAGATACTCGTGCAACCGTGGACCATTGGCATAGTGCTCACAGCCGTGGTGGAAAGTCTTGCTCGTATCTGTCACCGTGGCGTCTGGTAGGAGTGGATCTTTGCTGATGAGATTGATGACATCCATTCTGAAGCCATCAACCCCTTTATCGAGCCAAAATCGCATAGTGTTGTAGACCTCTTCACGCATCTCATCACATTCCCAATTCAGGTCGGGCTGCTCAGGAGCAAAGAGGTGAAGATAGTACTCTTCGGTGCCCTCGTCATAGGTCCATGCACTCCCTCCAAAGTATGCAGACCAATTGTTTGGCGGGTATCTATTCTGGTATTCGTGAAAGCGCGGCTTACGCCATATGTACCAGTCGCGGTATGGGTTGGATCTGGAAGACCGTGATTGTTGAAACCACGCATGTTGGTCTGAGGTATGATTGACGACAAGATCCATGAGGAATTTCAAACCCCTCTGGTGAAGGCCATCAATCAGACGGTCAACATCTTCCATTGTGCCATATCTCTCATCAATCGCTCGATAATCAGCAATGTCGTATCCCATGTCGACTTGTGGACTTTTGTAGATTGGACATATCCAGACGATATCCACGCCGAGAGCTTTGATGTAGTCGAGCTTCTCGACGACGCCTGGAACATCTCCAATCCCATCACCATTGGAGTCTTTGAAGGAAGATGGGTAGATTTGGTATACCGTACACTCTTTCCACCACGCTCGCTGTACCTTGTTTACTGACGAGGAAGGTCGAAGTTCGTTCATGCTGGTAGTGTGTTGTATCATGTAGTAGGGGGATTAGAAGGTGAAATGTGAGAAGAAAAGACCTCGTGCGAAATGGCTGCGTCTTATTGTTTTGAGCAGGAGCTCCATCTTCAATCACAGAATGGTCCCCGCCGGTGCATGAGAGGCCCCATGCTCGCGAGCAATCTCGCGGAGACTCTCGGCGGGACGATAGTCTTGAAGGCGTGGAGGGGCGCCATCTGATCGGATCCCGGTTTCGTGGTAGTTCTCGCAGAGAATCTCGTCGACAATCTCGCAAAGACTCTCGCGACGACTTTCGCGAAGACTCTGTTCCGGCGAGCTGATTGGCTGGAGGCGACGAGCCGAGCTGGAGTGGCGTAAACTCAAACAAATGCCGACATCAGCACGTGGAGAGCAAACCTCTCTCACCACCCGATGCATGTTCTTCATCTTCCCCAGACCACATGGCCACCATGGAGCATTGCGGAGATGGCGTTGGACTAGAACGCAATCGAACAACCGACTAAACCAGGCGGGTTTGGTGAAGGCCGTGATGGACATGTCATGGGAGGTGGAACAACATACATAAGTGCTCTGACAACCCTCCCAACTCACACCCATCATTTCCAGCGCTCCCATAATTGAATCGTCTGAAGGCAACTATTGACCTCCACATCTCCCGTCGCCATAAAACACACATCTGCCGACACCATGGGTGGCCCAGCGGGAGTCGTTGCCTCCAGTGGCAATGAGGTCTACAAGACCCTACAAAACAACATCAACCCACGATGGACCCGCGATCCAGGTCTTCGCAGTCTCAACTTTGCCATTCTTACCATGTTCGCGTCTGCAGCGGCGAATGGTTACGATGGCTCCCTCATCAACGGTCTACTTGCAATTCCCTACTTCAATTCCAACCTAGGCGACATCAGCTCGAGCCTTCTCGGTCTCACCATTGCAGGCATAAGTCTTGGTGGACTGCCTTCCTTCGTGCCAGCATCCTATGTCAGCGATTACATGGGCCGGCGATTCTGCGTGGGCATCGGGTCGTTCCTTATGCTCGCTGCTTCTGTCATTCAATGCGCGACATCTGGTGTCTATGCTTTCCTCGGCACGAGAATCATGCTTGGAATCGGGCTTGGATTCTCACAAACCGCCGCTCCTCCTTTGACGACGGAAATTGCTCATCCGARGCATCGTGGCAACGTCACCAATCTCTTCCAGGCGACTTGGTATTGGGGAGCGATCGTGTCAGCTGCCGTGACGCTCGGAACGCTGTTCATTGGAAATAGCTGGAGCTGGAGGGTTCCATGCTTGCTGCAAGGACTCTTCCCGGCAATTCAACTACTCGGTCTCATCATCGTGCCAGAATCCCCACGCTGGCTGGTTTCCAAGAACCGCCATGACGAAGCCTTGAATATTCTTGCAAAGTACCATGCGAACGGACAAGTTGATGACGAGCTGGTACAGTATGAGTACCATGAGATTTGCCAAGCCATTGAACTTGAGAAAGCGGTTTCCAAGACGACAGGCTGGGCTGCGTTCTTCGCCACGAGAGGTAATCGTCATCGCCTGCTCATTTGCATATTGGTTGGATTCATGATTCAATGGGCGGGTAATGGCATCGTTTCTTGTAAGTGTTGATCACATGCCTTCTCAGATACCCTGCTTACTTCACAGATTACCTCGCTCCAATCCTCAGAAGCGTCGGTATCACCAGCGAGGTGACTCAGGCTGGCATCAACCTTGCCCTGCAGATTTGGAACGCTGGCCTCTCATTTCTTGGCGCACTCGCAGCAGAAAGATATGGTCGACGACCTCTCTGGCTCATCTCCGCCACTGGCATGCTGTTCTCGTTTGTCGTCGTCACCGCACTCAGCGCCACCTTTGCCGAGCACGGAATTCAAGCAGCGGGTAGCGCAACGATTGCGTTCTTGTTCATCTTCTTCGGGTTTTATGACATCGCATTTACCCCACTATCGATTGCATACCCTGTGGAGATTCTCCCATTCAGTCTCCGTGCAAAGGGTCTGTCGGTGAATCTTACCACAGTCTTTGGAGCTGGATTCTTCAATCAATATGTCAATCCGATTGCGCTCGATGCGATTGAGTGGAGATTCTACTTCGTATATATCGGAACACTGGCGGCCATGATTCCGACGATTTACTTCTTGTTCCCAGAGGTAGGTTTGATGATCCTTCTCCGTGGCATGACCATCACTGGCGACTATGCTTAGACAAAAGGACGTACTCTGGAAGAGATTGCTGTTGTGTTTGATGGAGAAGATGGACAGTCAGATGCATATCGAGCGGCTTCTATCGCTCATTCAAGGGTTGAGAAAGAGCCGGAAGCGGCGCAGATCGATACTGTGTATGTTGGAAAGGTGTAATGTGAATCTATACTGCTGTTCTGAGATATCGAAAGAATTCTCCTGCTTCAAGGGTGAGGTTGTGTTTTCCGAGAAGGCTCTGCATGAAGCAATGAAAAATCAATGTCCTCATACTCGCAGCCTGCACAGGGAATGTTAATGTTGGGATCCCAAAGCTGAGGTATCAAGTACGTGTCTGCCTCCTTCTCATGCCTTCCCGCGAGAAAGATTGGGGTTAGTGTGCAAAAGCGCCGCCTTTGCAATCTCCAACATAAGCTCGGCTTGTATTTGATGAAAGTGATAACATCTCAACCAGTTTGGTCGACTTTATCGATGGAGAGAGATACCATGACAATGATCGCTCTTAGCTCAGTTTCTATCTAGTAGGTAGGAGAACCTGTCGACAGGCACGCTCATTTCTAGTGGCGCGGGGAGCTGTCTAGGAACATTCGCTCTCCGCTTAGCCGGTGTCTGGTAGGCAGAGCGACCCAGCAAACACCATGATCGGCTTCATTGGTGGGGAGAGCTGTGTAGTCTGCGCTTGAAAGAGAAGGCCGAAGGGGTGGCTGAGGATGTTGAAAGAGAAGTCTGCAGACACTGCTAAGGATGTGAAAGCTAAGGAGAATCTGCCGACAGGCACGCTTAGTGTTAGTAGTAGAGTGAGCTGTCTAAGGAACGCTCGCTCTGCGCCTAGCCGGTGTCTGGTAGGTAGAACGACCCGACAGCCACCATGGTCAGCTTCAACAATGGGGAGAGCTGCGTAATCTGCGCTAAAAGGAGAAGGCCGAAGGGGTGGCTGAGGATGTGAAGGAGAGGTCTGCAGACACTGCCGAGGATGTGAAAGGTTAGGAGATGGTAGAATGATACATGCACACTTCCAGTGGTGGAGTGAGCCGTCCATAAACATTCACTCTCCGCTTCGCCGGTATCTGTTAGGGGGGACGTCCCGACAGCTCGCATGGTTAGTTTCAATGATGGAGAGAGCTGTGTAATCTACGCTTGAAGGAGAAGGCCGAAGGCGTGGCTGAGGATGAGTGTCTTGCGCGCACAGCTTCGTTGAGAACGTTTWCATCGATTTTGAGAAGCGACAACGCCTTTGTTGCAGTGTCGTCGCCAACAACGATCATTGCTATTGAGTCAGAGGCGTCTCGCTCTCTATAGACTCGACGACTCAAGGACTTCTAGATCTGTTGCTACTAGCAATCCATCTTTTGCAGTCAGTATGCCTTGTGCCTACAAGTCTATTCCATGGTGACCTACGCAGGACTCCGTTGCCGACAAATCCTTTTACTGAGATTTGCATTCGCTACATTATATTCCTAGCATAAGGAAGAATGTACTTACATTGATGTGCCCAGACGGCCTTCCTATGAGGATCTTTCATCGAGACAAGACACTTCCAGTCGTCTTCATGACATCTTTAGGCCTTGCTCTCCGCAGAAACGACGATTCTAGAGCTGCCAGAACCTTTATCGCTAGCAGAGCGCCTCGTCATTTAACGGAGAGGGCAGTTAAGGGCGCGATTTTTTCGATGATTCTCTTATATCGACAGCTCTGCCATCGGAGCCAAATGGGAAGAGCTGTCGATATAAGAAATCATCCACAAGAGTAGAGCCCTGAACTGCTTTCTCGATTGGTCAACGGGCCACTCTGCTAATGGCAAGAATTCTGGCAGGCCTAGAATCGTCGAGCCTGCAGAGAGCGAGGCCTTGGAACCATTGTGGGAATCCTCGAACCAGTGACCAGTATCCCAGATGTACTAAACGCAAGTGATGCTCGATCGGACTCATTCAACCTCGAGGGACTTTTCCACTGACCTTACAGGGTGCCGAGCAGCATCGAACACCGTCTGTACAGGACTCCTCCGATGAGTGATCCAGCATTTCCCGGCTGCCATCGTGTTCCAAGCGCTGAAATCGGATATCAAATCTACGCCAGACTCTTTCTTTACGGGTCTATGACCATTTCGCCCTATCCATCTTTTTCAGAGCCAAGGACTGTACAAAGGCGTTCACCGTATTGTCCTGCGTTATCATGGCTTTCGTCGAGCGGAAGGGTCGAGACGCTGCTTCGGGGAATGATTACTTTACATGGGCATTCATTGCCACTCGCTGACATGATCCTGCGTCCAGGCTGGCGTCAGATTGCTCATGGTTCGGGATCGCGAAGTTCAACGTGTGAGATGCCTTTGGGTGAAGTCCAAGTGGAGCTCCGGGGATGCTTGGAATTCCGCAGCCAAGATTGAACTATATGCCCGGGGTAAAACGCAAATCTCACCTCACACCTTTCACCACCTATGCAACAACCACTCAATTGATGTACTCTGTCATTTTGAAGTCGCAAATCCGTATGCCTGAGCTACAGTCCGAATCCTGCTGCAATTCCAAACCTTGCAGCACTTCCAAAGCTTGCAGCACTTCCGAATCTTGCTGCAACTCCGAATCTTGCTGCACTTCTGAATCTTGCAGCGCATCCTGGCTCTCCGTACGACCTATCGACAGTCACCATGACTGGGTAGAGGAGGCAATACTTTGTATCCCTTCTGCGGTGATTAAGGATTGTACACGGTGTATCGGCGTGCAGAGGATGGGACGCACGGGTTCGATATCGGGAAAGAGCAGACGTGGAAGATGGAGTTGGCTTCAAAGTCGGGTTCCATGGCAAGCYCCATTTGACGAACTGTCGATCTGAGGATTATCCATCGGGACAAGACGTTCATCCCCAGGATGTGGGCACCCTGTAAGCTCGATAGGGAACATGCCTTGAGGTTGAATGCGTCCGACCGACCACCACCTGCCATTGGTATATCTGGAAGGATACTGGTGGCTAGTCCGGGGATTSCCGGTATGTGGACACGGTTATAGGTGTCGCCCAAGATCAGACAGGTCGCATGCTCAAGGCTTGATATAATAGCCATAAAAGTGAGTGAGAATCGCCAGCTTCTCCAGGGATCTGCAAGATGGATGCTTTCGACTTGCTCATTGAGCCAGAAGATGTCAGATTGATATGCTTGATTGTGGCGGCTGCGATCCCAGTCTTCAAAAAAGCAAAAGTCTCCCATACAAGCAGAGACTGCATTGGCTCATTGTTGCCACGCAGAGAGACGACTACTTCATACCGTCTGGTTTGATTCTTGAGAGAGCCGGAGACCGTGGCAATCACTCCGATCATCATCTCTTTGGTCGTACTATGTGCGGTGTACCTGCATTAGTATCTCCCGTGCTTGGATTGACGGCGGATGAGACTCGGGTCGGCTACCTTGTGTCACGTAAAAGCCTACGGAAGTTCCTGCTCGTTGCGGTCTGCCTGGCCTTTGGCGCACGCGACTCGATGTTGATCTCACCCGTAGCAGGAATGAGGTCAGTCTCGTCGCGTATCTTTCCAATCTTTGATTGATGACTCCGCTAGCTCCAAAGTCTTGGCAGAACACGAAAGAAATCAAATCCAAACCCCGCGCCGTCTGTCTTCCACCAACACCAACAACCCCGATGTGAGTTCCCGATCCCCGCGCTCGCGCCTTGCTTCCACATAGCTGACTATATCCATAGGATTCCAAACGCACAGGGAAAACGAGTGCGTGATGACAGGGAAGGTGGAGGCGGAGGCGGAGGTGCAAGTGGAGCTGGAGGTGGAGGTGGGGGATTGGCGCGGTTGGCGGCCATAGCGAAGGAGGAGAAGGAGGTGAAGGTGGCTCTGGCCAAGGCGAAGGAAGTGGGAAGGGCGTTGGTTGCCGAGCTGCATAAGCTCGGCATTACGCCTGCCTGCACCCAAGCTCAGATGAGCGAGATGATGGAAGGGGTGGAAGATTCCGGCGCTAGGGCTGGCCCGGCACCACGCGAAGGTCCTCCGGCGAAGAAATTTGCCGCTGTGAACGCGCGAGGTTCTGGTGCCGAGAAGCCTATGCCGCAGGCTCAAGAAGTTGCTTGGGGAGGAAGAGGTGGTGGCAATGGCTCTGGGAATTTGCTGCGAGGATCGATGCCGCAAGGTGGTCCACGCGGCGGACCCCAGACGCCTGCACCAAGTTGGCAGTCGCACCCAGAGCAGACCACCGCGCATGCATCTCCACAGGGAGGCGTGGCGGCGGAAGCTTCGGGTATTGGACCAGCCCCTCGAACTGAAGCCCAGAATGCGAAGAGGGCGAAGAAGAACGCGAAGAGGCGCGAGGCGAGGAGGGAGCTGGGGTTGCGGAGACGCAAGCCTCGGGGACCACCGCGACCAGCAGATGCCGGCACGGGTGATACACCGGCTGAAAAGTCAGTGGACACAGCGCCGACCGAGATCATTGTCGGACGTCACGGGGGACAGCAGGAGCTTTCGCAGAAGGGAGCTGGGGTTGCGCAGATGCAAGCCTCGGAGACCACTGCAGCGTTCCCTGTGCCCTTGGGCATGCCTGGGACGGAAATGGTGGTCAAGGATGAAGTGTTGGGGGAGGAGGCGGAGACAGTGGCAGACCGGGGGCAGAAGAAGGAGGAGGAGGAGCAAGAGGAGCAGAAGGAGGAGGATGAGGAGGATAAGAAGGGAGTGTTGGGGGAGTTGGAGGAACCGGCGGAGAACGAGGCACAGGTCGATGGGAAGGGTTCCGGTGGGGTGGCCGTTGATGAGGTGGTTGCTCCATCTTATGAGCATGGCATCAAGCTGGAGAACATCTAGCTTGCCTCAATTTCAAGAACTTTCGACGATCATATCTACAAACCGTGCGGCACTCTGACAGAACTCTCATTTTTGACGTTAATGAATTTTCAGAGAGATCCAAAAAATTATGTCCGAAGTCGCAAGTGTACGTGAGGCTAGTAGGCAGGTCTGCAAGTTCTGCGAATAAGTCTAGCATAGTGGTCGGATCTCTCGTGTACGGTTCTGAGTTTGGTCGTTCTTCAACTCCTCCTTGTCTCTACAGCCTCATCCCCAACACTAACCCTCGTGCGGCACAACCTCCCTTCATCATCGATCCACTGGTGGCACGCCCTATCGATCCATCAACCTCGTTCCATGAGCTTCACCTCTATCTCCATCTCGTCGTCTCCTTTTCTGGACTGATTTTGCGAGATCYAAGGTGACAGCTTTGRGGGTGCAACGGATCGGTCGACGTCAAGTCCGTCCGACAGCGATTGAGGCCTCAATCGAGGTGACTGTTGCCATCTCGCATTGGAAAGACCCCAATAATGGCACCTGACCGGCGATGCATCTGGTCACTTTGAGTGGATCTTGCTGACGGCTTTGTGCTGTCAATGACACCGTACCGGGATATCTGGCCAGCGGATCATCGCGACCGCAGAGCGCCAGCTTCTGCCTCATCCTCGGGTCCAGAGAATCGATTCATCGTGCACAGTACAAGAGACCATTGACATGCTAGGTGCTTCTCGTTCTCTGATCCTACTCGCCAAATCGAACCCATCAACTTTGACCTCTCTAGCGCGATCTTACACCTTGATTTCCTTCCTCTGAATCTTTCTCCGAGCCTTTCTGGTGAGATGGATGTTGTTGCATTTTTGCTACAAGCCCCGTAGTGTGCATTGGGTACCCTCGTTGCCTCCAACACTCTAACGCCATTCGCTTTCAATATCTCATCGTCTTCACTGCTTCAACCCCTCAACATCTCATCGCCAGCACTGTTTCCTTCACCCGTTAACATCTCATCGCCGCCACTAGCACTTCGAGCCATCCACACATCAACACCTCATCGCCACCAGTCCTTCAACCCCTCATCACCTTATCGCAACCAGTGCTAGCCTACTGCACTTCAACACTTTGACGCCTCCTCGCCACTACTGGGCCTTCGAGCCCTTAACACCTCGTCGCCCCGCCACCACTGGTTCTTCGACCCGTTGACATCTCGTCGTCTCTGCAAGTCCCTTCACCCCTCAACATCTCATCGCCACCAGTTCTTCAACACCTTAACCTCAAAACCTCATCGGCTCCGATTCAATCATAAAGCTCAACTAAATTGCCACCAACTAGAAGTGGATGGCACACAGCTCTCGAGCCATCGATGCTTACTTGTCAAGCCTCTGCAGGCCATCCCGGTCTACTGTCGAAGCCATCGCCAATAATCATACTTCCTGCAGGATCTCYTCATCCCATGGTCATCGTTGGTGCTTCAACGTCACCGACGGTCCAAAATGTGTACATACTGGCTTGCTGATGCCAATGTCGACGCTGCTCGACCTTTGCGGCCGTGTGCCTCTGTGACATCGCCCAGGTGCTTGAAAGCTATCTTTGACATCACCYAGGTCCTCGACGGCGCGTATCTTCTTGAGGTCTCCCAGATACTTGACGGCCGTATATATCTCTCTCTGTTGACGTCGCCAAGATACTTGACAGCTGTAGATAGCGCTTAACGTCCCCAAGATCTTTGACGGCCGTGAATCTATCCCTGACGGGCGTGTATCTCTTGATGTACTCAAGATCCTCGACGCCTTCTAGGCAGGCTCGTCGTCGCTAGTCACCACTCGTAGCAAATATGTTCAATGTCAATCTTTCAATCGTCCCATGTCGCTGTATCAAAGACCCAGAACGTAGCGATAGTCACATCAAAGCTGGATATGCTGTTTTCTGCACTTCTCTTCAAAACTGAGTCTAAGATCAAGTAGCCAAAGTTCTCAACGCCGAATTTTCAAACTTCCACGACGAATACCGCATGCAACTATTGATAGATGCGTTAACGGAAAACCCTCGATACGTTTGAAAGTGGGAATAAACACCCTCTATCTGTAGAAGAGTATCCCGATGGAATATTTCTTAACGGAAAGTTCTCATCGCCTCATTTTCAAACTTTGACGACGAATACCGCATGCAACTGATGATGAAAGCGTTGATAGAGCAACCTGGTTACGTTTGAAAGTGAGAATAAACACCCTCTTTCTCTAGGAGGGAAGCCGGATGGAACATTTCTTAACGGAAAGTTCTGATCGCCTGATTTTCAAACTTTGACGACGAATAGAGCATGCAAATGATGATAGAAATATTAATAGAAAAGCCTCGATACGTATGAAAGCGGGAATGAACTCCCTCTTACTCTAGAAGAGCATCGGGGTAGAACATCTTTAATGCAAAATTCTCGACGCCGAATTTTCAAAATTTGGCGACGAATAAAGTATGCAAATGATGATGGAAACATGAATAGAAAAGGCTCGATACGTTTGAAAGTGGGCATGAACTTCTTCTTACCCTAGAAGAGCATCAGAATAGGTATTTTTCAATGCAAAGTTCTCGCGAGATGCCGAATTTTCGAACTTTGGCGACGAATAAAGTATGTTACTGTTAATAAAACCGTCAATCGCAGAGGCTCGATACGATTGGAATTGGGATTGAACGCCTTCTTCTTATAGAAGAGTGTCTAGGAGATAAACTTTTTAATTCAAAGCTATGATCGCCTCATTTTCGAAATTGGAAACYATATAACTTATTAAATGATGGAGGGGAAGGATTGAGCCAAAGGCACAACATGATTTACAACGAAGACCATGTTTCCTGTCCTCTGCATCGGCATCTGGTGAAGTTCTTTTTACAGCATCGGCTGATTTTTGAATTTTTTAGGCGTATATCTCCTTTGATTCTGGAAGTCAACCCTTTGGTTTGAGCTGGCGTGCAACTGAACGTACAAACTATGCTGTCTGTAGCCCGCGGGTTGAACGGGGGATGAATGAAAAAATCGATTTTCTTGAGTTAGCATCGGCTCATTTTTGAACTTTGAAGGCTGCTAATAATTCAGTACGTACACCTGCGTGGTTGAAATTGAAGTACAACGTGTTTGAAGTAGTCAGCCTCCAGCAGGCCAAATTATGGAGAGTTTGAGGCATGTTCAAAATCTTCGCCTCGTTCTTGATGGTTAAGTGCATTTGCCCCCACGGAAATTGATGCTATCCTCTATTGAAGAAATGTGAAGAATCTCTAGGTTCTAAACTACATGCTACCTTACTCTCCGGGCGGGAGAGCAATGATTGCTGTAGGGGCTGCTGATTGCTTCTTTTTTGATGTTCGCCAACAATTCTCGTCACGATAACGCACAGGAGGTCGTTGTAAACAAAGCACATGATGACTCACGTAGGGCTCTACATTCTGTGTGCTTTTTAAAGTTTTTGGGCGACTTGAAAGATTAAATTTCTAATCTTCAATCGTCTGTAGTTCCGGCAAGCTTTATTGCAAAACTTTGTCCTTTGAACACATGCTCGTTCACCGTATAGTTCTACATCCAATACACTGAAAACTTCATCGGCGAGGTTTTGAACTTCAGACTATATTTGTTCCCCCAATTCTTGATCAATCGCTCTTGAAAAAATCCACAGGTGTAAGCGATGCGAACTCTTGCGTTCACCCGGTTCTCAGGATTTAATTTGGACGTTGCGAGTGCTCCTTCCTTGTTGAATGGCACAAGACGGAAGGAGGGAGCTAGAATTGTTCCTGGACAAGTCTAGAGGAGTCAGGGAGGCAGGAGCGATCGGCCCTTCTCTAGAGGCTCTGCCTGAAACGGACGGAGGAAGGTGCGAAGAGGGGTCAAAAGAGTCTAGAGCCTGCCAGGTCGGGCTTAGCTCAGGGCTCCCCCAGTTGCTTGCAGTGCAATTCAGAGCTACACAACACTTCTGGTAACGCATGAAGATGGTAAAAGGAACTATGAGACGTTTAGTGCGTCGCTGGTATCAGAATTCTCTCCCAAAGTTCCAAAACGCGATAAATGAGTGCTGAAAACTTCGAAAGAACTGTATTTGCCCAGAGACATGGGCAGGTTATAGAGGGCTACTGAAGATATTGGCTACCTCGAGCGGTTTGTCGCAGGAGCTGGGGCTGGTGTGCAAACTGGGTTTCAATTTCGAAAACTCGAGCTTTTGATTTCTGAACGAAGCCCAATCGACTCAAGGAAATTACCAATGAGAGATGCAAAGCTATACACATATACGCTGCATTCGCAAGACAGCAGCGCCATGAAATCGGCTAGAAAGTAGTTTCGAAGTTCARAATCTCGAGAATAATTAATTGGAYGAATCCCCGGAATCAGTCTAGAGGTGTCCGCTTTGGACTAAAAATTGGGGAAATCCCCTGCATTGCCGCATTGTCGAGCACATACATTTCGAAACAATTGGATTAATTGCTCTCAAGCCCACATATGCTGCATTGTACGTTGTTCATCACGGAGCATAACAGCGGCTTGCCAAAACTGTACGGAACGCTTACAATCCTGCTTTGAAATGTGAAAATTCGGCGATATGCTATGTGTGCAACATTCTTCTAGTCAGATAGCTCCAATGCGTTGGCCAGACATGCTTCTTACGGTGAAACATTGGCTGGCAGGTTGATGAGTTGTTACATTCAATGCAGGCGCTACAATTGGCATTTCAAATTCGAAATTTCGAGGATTGATCATTTTTGACCTACTCAAAACGGTGCATTAGGCTGGCACGTTGAAGATGCATGTAATCGAACCCAGGAAACTTGGAGAGATCGTCCCAGGAAGCTCAAGGCAGCCTCAATCAGCTCTTAAAATTTCAAAATTCGAATCTTATATTGGCCTAAGAAGCTTGTAGGATGAAGATTCATGCCTGAAATCTGGTATCAATCATTCGAATTGCATCCACTTGTTCATAGCGTGAGCTATGGACGGTTGAAAATCGAAAATTCGAGAAACTGGAAGATTGACAACGTTAGAAGGTTCCGATAAG